TATACTTGTACTTTCATAATGCAAAAATTATACATACATATTTCTGAAAAAGTCGTAAAGTTGCATTGATGAAGCATCTAGAAGGGACTTTAGAGCAGCAGTTTAACGAAGAATGAATTTCTAAAAGGGTCAACAATATTATTTTGTTGTTGTTTCAAATTTATTTTTCTCCTTCTATAAATTTTGTTATAGTAACAATAACAAAAAGTGGTGAACATTTGACTTCAGACGAGTAGATTGTCTCTAAAAAAAATTATTTATGTTGTTGTGGTGTACATTTTTAACGGTCTTAACTTATTTTTAACTAATATTGATTATCGAAAAGTTTTACATAATTTCTTTTGCACAAGAAGTTATTCTAACCATAAAACAAATTCTATATTTTTCATGTAAAAAAAATAGAAAAAAATATTTTTAATTGTTACATAAAAACATCACTCAGTTTTAACAAGACAATTATATCATCAAACATATATTATGATAAATTATGTAAAAGATAAAAATGATTAGATAACAAGATATTGTTAATCATTCATTACATATTTACAATTTTTGAGATATGTGATAATGTCAAATCATTTAATTTCTGTTGAAATATTCTTAAAACCTACTAAAATTTACTTTTTTTTTCTTGTAACAATCGATTATTGAAAAGGTTGTTCAAAAGCTTAGAAAGATTATTTATGCCCGCGCAAAACTCGAGTAAATTACCTAGCTATGTTATATATAGATAGAAATTATTTTCTAGAAATAAAACTTATATAATGAATAACATTAAACCCAAGCGTGACTGGTCTTCATTATGAGTGACTGGTCTGCAGTTCGAATCTCACCCATCCATTATTATATTACTTCTACTTCATTTGTATGGGCTTTCTTTTGGCCCATACAAATATAAGAGCTACTTGTATAATTGTACATGTGATAAAAAAAAAATTAACAAAATCGGCGCATGTAATGTATCAATATTGTAAATAATATATAGTTGTGTATATATATATGATGTATAACTATATTTTAGAAATGCATATACATCCATATTTACTGTTTATACAATATTCATATATATCCCCAGTTCATCTTCCTCAACGAGTTGATTTTTAATCAATTAATTTTTTGTATAAAGTATGAAAATCCTAACAATTTGGGCGCTACTTAAATCTTATTTCAAAAGTTTCTCAAATTAAAATATTTCAGATGTTTCAAAACTCACGTACATTGCTGCTTCACTCGACATATAGCAACCGATGCATCATCAGTTATGTATTAGATACATAACTATAAATCAGATTCATATTGATTTAGGTTTGAAGTTATTGAGGTTGTGTATCAACTATAACATTTTGTATCGGATACATTGTATACAAACAAAGTTATAATGTCTCTGATAGAGGTGGAGTGATGTATTCAGATGTTAATAGAGAGAAGGGGAAATTTTTTTTGTAATTAATTCAAATGCTAGGAATTTTTGAAGATTATTTTATCTTAAGTCGTGTAATGACATAATTTTTATTTATTTATTCCCTACAACAAAATCATCAAGCAAATGCAGTTTGTAGTCGTCCCTAGCTCATTAAATTTTTGGAATTTGTATTTGATAATTTACTTTCTTTTCCATTTCTGGAAAAACCAACAAAATAAGAAAAGCCACAATAAGATGTTATTTTTTCGTCTATTAGTTCCATGTCATGAAGATTAGCTCAATCAGTTTTCTACTATTTAAAATAAAAGAAAATTTATAAAAAAAAATATGTGTTGTTTTTTATTTAGATTTTAGTAAATCAACAAGTGATTTTAGTAAATTCTTTTAGTTATATTTTATTTTGAACTAAATTTTTTTAATTGAAAAGTAATTAATTAATATTTTTATTATTTTGTATTTCCTTCATGGAAAAAAATAAAACAAGAGAAATTAAGGACAAAAAGCGGAAAAAATATCCAAAAATCTAAAAATACTTATCTAAAATCATGATTCCCTCACGTAACACAAACTCAATACACACGAAAAAAGAAGAAAGAAGAAAGAAGAAAGAGGAAAAAATGGGAAAATAGAGAGAAAAGGACGAGAGACAAAAACAGAAAAAAGAACAGAAAAAAAGAAACGAGTAGATTGAGAAGGGGAGGAAAAAAGAAGAAGAAAACAAAACAAATTAAAGAGATCTAGAAAATGAGAAATATTGGACATCTTTATTTGTTTTTTTGCTCGGTCCGAGTAAGTCTGTTGGTCTGCGAGGTTTCAGTTGTTTAAATCATCTTTTTAATGGATAGAACATTATTATCTTTTTATATATATATATATATATATATTATTATTGATCTATTGAAATAAAACTATGTTAATATTTCTATATAGTTAATTATATTGTTATTCATTAACTATTTAGTTTGCTTATTAATATCTCTATTTGGTTCATGTGTATCATATAAGAAGTTATTCAGTTTCGTAAAAAACTTATGTCCAATAAAATCTTCTTCTTTTTTCTACAATTATAACCAAAATATTTAAAGTTTTTGGCTAAAATCATCCCTCAACTATGACTCAAATCTAATGTACATCCTTATATTATCTAAGTGAGCAAAAAACATCATTATACTATCCAAGAAATAACAAGAATCATCCTTCACTCTATTTATATTAAGAAATTGATTGAACTAATAAAAAAAAAATTGTTTGTATCTTAGCCATGACGAGAAGATCAAAGTTACCTAAAAAGAATAAGGATATGTATATGAAATGAATCTTTCATCTTCATAATTTAATTTTTGTGTTTGTTAGTTTATATGTTTTTTGCATCATCAAGTAAATTAACTTGCAACAATACATAAGTCTTGAATTATTCAAACCGTAGGTTCCGATGGTTAGAAAGATTATGCAAAAAAGTTCATTTTAAAAATATTACGCCCAACTATTTAGAGATTTTCTTTAATAAAATATTTAGTATGTATGTACGTTATATACAATGCAATTCACATTTCATGCAATTTACAGAAATGCAGGAAATTTAGTGAAATTACGTAGGCGTTTAGTTATGAAAATAAAAAAATAATTACTTTATTTGAAATTTTTGAATTTGAAGTTGTATTTGACTATACTTTTTGCCAGGATTATTTAGAATTTGAATATATTTGTCTGGATATGATTTAAACCCTAAAAAAATCACCCAACTTGACTAGCTTAACCATGTGTACATATATTCATTCGACTTCATACATTTTTTTTTTGTTGGTAGAGTGAGTTTCTTAAAAAAAAAGATAGAAGAATAAATCTTGCAACTTTTTGGATAGTGCAAAAATATTTTTTGTTCACTTATATAACACAAAGATGTACTTTAAATTTAAATCATACTCCAGAAATGATTTTAGCCAAAAACGTAAATATTTACAATATTAAGAATTTAACCCATTGGGGATCTCTAAAAAAATTCCTTGTCGAGAATTTAACCCACCGAGTATGATAGGCTTCAGGGGCATAGCTACCCTATAGTGAGGATGTTCAATTGGACATTCTTCATCGGAAAATAATACCGTATATAAGTAAAATGATACACGAAGTGATTAAATAATAAATTTTGGACACCCTTGAAAGATTAGGTTTTGTAGCCCAGTGATTTTAGATACCTTGAAAGAGCCCTAAATTCTCATGTGTTTAAATCTCACCAGTGACATTTTTTCCCTTTTTTTTGAACACCCTTCGTGAAATTCCTGCCTCCGTCACTGATAGGCTTGTTACTGAGTGCTTCATTGGTGCTATTTTGGATATATGGGTATTGGGTCTAAGACAATTTGCAATTAGATTATGTAAAACATTATTTATATTATATTATATTATATTAAAAGTATGAAGATTTTTAGAAATATCAATTAAATTTGTTTTTATTAGAAGACTTCACAAAAGATAAAATTGTCATTTTTTAAAATTATTAATTAATTATATTAAAAATTAAGGATTGCTGAAATATATGATAAGAGGTACTCCTAAAATATATGATAGGAGGAAAATGTATTTTAAATATTAAGAAATCTTAAAAAAATACGTAAATACCAACATAATTTTGACTTTTGATATCAACAGAGAGTTTTGTTCATTGCCTTTAATTATGCTCCTTAATTGTTATGTGATATTGTGATGGCTTATAAACTACTTTTTTATCTTAAAAATTTTCATTATTTTTTTTAATTTACTTAATAATATAAAATACACACAATAAATAATAATTTGTTCTTTTTATATATATGGTAAAAGAAAATATATGAGAAATAGCAATATAATTTTTACCTTTGATATCAATAATCTATTCTAACTTGTGACTTTTGACTTATCGGTCAAAAATAAAAAATCTATCAAAAAAAAGAACAAGTTTAGAAAATTCATTGGAGGCACTGTAAAAATAAATAATTAAAGAGTCCTAAAATATATGATAAGAGAATAATGTATTTTAAATATAAAGAAATCCTAAAAATATATGTAAAATACCAACATAATTTTGACTTTTGATATCAATTGAGAGGTTTTTTATTACCATTAATTTTGCTCCTTAATTGTTATGTGATATTGTGATGGTGAGTTATTATGTTCCTTTTTAATTACACTTTTTATCTTAAAAAATTTCATTATTTTTTAATATAAAATACACACAATAATTTATTCTTTTTATATATATGGTAAAATAAAAATATATGGTAAATACCAACATAATTTTGACCTTTGATACCAACATAATTTTGAACTTTGATATCAATAATTTGTTCTGACTAATGATTTTTGACTTATAAGTCAAACACCAAAAATCAATCCAAACAGAATTTAAATTTAAAAAAAAAAAAAAGGAAAAGTTTAAAAAATTCATTAAATTTGATCAAAATCAAATCTACAGTAATTTGTCATTTATTAATCAATGCATTGCTATATTAATACTGAAATCTTATACTTATTCACTTGGAAACTTTCCAAATTAATTTTTTTCTTACCTATATAAACCCAACACCAAGACATTAATATAACATCAAACATAAACCAATTTCCTCCCTATTTTTTTTTCTTTTTGCATTATTAAAAAAACATGTTGATGAATAACTCATTCCTCTTCATTCTTGTTGCTTTTTTAATAATATTTCCACATGAATTTAGCAAGCCTACTAGAGCTTTTTCGAATTATAATTTTGTTTATACAGATGGAACTCATTTTGCATTAAATGGAAAGTCACTTTATATAAATGGTTTTAATGCTTATTGGTTAATGTATATGGCTTATGATCCATCAACAAGAAATAAAGTTACAAATACATTCCAACAAGCTTCTAAATATAAAATGAATGTTGCTAGAACTTGGGCATTTTCTGATGGTGGTTCTAGACCTTTACAATCTGCACCTGGTGTTTACAACGAACAAATGTTTCAAGTAAATTTATAGACGTTAAAAGATTACAGTTTTTTCTATTTGTATCATAGAAATGAATTGTTATTCCCTCGTGTTCCGTTATTTCTTTAAATATAATTTATAATACGAGTAAAATAATTGATATTTTTCTTAGTTTTTTCAATAATTTTAAAAATGTGTATGGACCTTCGAGTTAATTCTTTTGTTGTTTTTATTGAGCCCTCTCTAACACTTTCACTGCATGAAAAATTATCTTTAGCAACAATTAATTAACAGTAATAGCTTAATTGTCGTTAAAAATGTATTTTTAGCAGCATTTAGCACTCTTTGTAAATGTCCCTAAAGCCTATAGCGACACTGCATCCAATGAGATAATTAACTAATGCCGGTAAAGGCTTTATCATTCTTTGTTAATGTGTATATTTATCGCCGCTAAATGTTTTTTTTTTTTTTTTGTAGTGTTCTTTTACTCGGTATTTTTGGTGTTATATATCTTTCCTATTTTTAACCTTTTTTTTTTGTTTATTAGGGATTGGATTTTGTGATATCAGAAGCAAAAAAATATGGAATTCACTTAATTCTTTCATTAGTTAATAATTGGGATGCTTTTGGTGGAAAGAAACAATATGTAGAATGGGCAGTGCAAAGAGGGCAGAAATTAACAAGTGATGATGATTTCTTCACTAATCCTATGGTCAAAGGATTCTACAAAAATAATGTCAAGGTAAAGATCGGTTACGGATTTATGTGAACTCAATAGTCATTGCATGTATATATAGAATCAACGAGAAATATTTATAAATATTTGACAGTAAGATCTGTTATAATTATAGTGTAAATCTGAATTAACGTAAAAACCTATAAAAAAAATTACTTGTCTAACCCTAATAATTTGTAATTGTTATTGATATTTGTATTGTGCGTATAACAAGTTTATAATAAGTGTATAATCAAATTATAAACTATATACTAACTAAAAAACATTAAAAAGTTTTTATTTATTTATTTTTATAAAGGTTGTGCTTACAAGAGTGAATACAATAACCAAAGTGGCATATAAAGATGATCCAACAATTCTTTCATGGGAATTAATAAATGAGCCTCGATGCCCATCTGACCTCTCTGGGAAAACATTTCAGGTATTATATTTTGGCAAAGATACACGTTTAGCTGATCGATCAAAAATAATTATTACATTTTACATGAAGTAATAATATATTCTTTTTTGTTGTTGGACTTGTATTTTACAGAACTGGATTATAGAAATGGCGGGATATTTGAAATCAATAGATTCAAATCATCTCTTGGAGATTGGACTTGAAGGATTTTATGGGAATAACATGAGACAATACAATCCTAATTCTTACATTTTTGGGACTAATTTTATCTCCAACAATCAAGTTCAAGGAATTGATTTTACCACAATTCATATGTACCCTGATCAATGGTAAATAAATCTCTTTAATTTTTACCCCCTCCCCCCACCCCAATTTATATTTGTATATGGTTAGTGAGGATTTATATGTATGTATATGTCACGATCCAGACCGTCGTGATTGACACTCACACTAACTCTCCGGTGGGAGAACCACTACTACAACACAAACCAAGCAACTAAACCAAAACTAAGGCATGAATTAAATTACGAAAGCAAGTTAAATACTAAGGAAATAAATAGAGTTCCCATAAACTCTAACAAAAGTCTAACAATAATAAACTAACAATGCGGAAGAAATAATCTAGAATCTGAAAGTCAATGTACCAAAACATCTAAAAGTTCAACAAGTCTAAACAAGAAGGGATGCAACCCCAATCTAATGAACCAATCAACTAACTAGAACATAGTCTAAGTCCGAATATGGTGGACATAGACAAAAGAGAACCCATGGTAGCCCGGAAGAATTGGTTCATCCTTGAATTCGAACGATCACTGATCTCCTAAGCGAGGTCTGTCAGTAGCCGCTTGAAGAAGCCATATACTCAACAAAAATAAGAGCAAGTGCAGTATCAGTACACAACCACAGTGTACTGGTAGGATCACGTGACTATCCCACTAAGTACAACATACATAAGTCATCACAACAATATAATCACATACATATAAAGAACATATACAATATCATCAACTTATATGAACAATGAACAACTTCACATTTCTCAAGATATGCAATTATATCAAATCGTTGGTCCTCTAATGGAACCCAAACCCAAACAGTTAGCATACCGGAACTTGGTATCTGATCCAATAATTATGCCAGAACGTGACAACCGATCCCATAGTTATGCCGGAACGTGGCAACCGATCCAAGTTAGTTATGTCGGAACGTGGCAACCGATCCATTCAACACACCACAATCACAATCACAAGTATATCCTCAAGATCATACAATTAAGTCATGATTTCATGGTAATAATCATTCATCTATCTCATTTACAACATGTGTGATCAATAATGCAACATTCATATACATACATGTATCATAATAAAGCAAGAACAAACATGCATCACACAATCATAGAATCACAACCATCACCTACCTCGAAACAAGCTTGAAACCCTAAAAAATTTGATCATTTCCTTTCCGAATTCGTTCCGCTTGTTCTTGGTCTACAAATAATCAATATAATACGGGAATCAATAAACAATCACTAATTACCCGAATTACTAACAATTCTATGAACCCTAGATCAAACCCATGATCCCAATTATCCAAATTAGGATTGTTTCCACCATAGAATCTATAACAAAACCTTCCCCCATCAATATTCACCCATTCTACTATGTTCTACGGATCGAAAAACGGATTCGGGGAGTGAAAAACTTACTTTTAGCCTCAAGAATGGTGAAAAACGAGTAGGAGTCGCATGGGTTTGTTCCTTAGCTCTAAAAGTCAAAAAGGGCATAATAAGGTCGTTTAGGGGTTTATTAACTACCTTAAGTCACGTCGAGCCCGCCACAGCGGCCACCACCCCGCTACAGCGGCCCCTCCAGAGTAACACTCATCCTGCTAAAGCAGCTTGCACGAAACCAGTGAGTTATTTAAAGAATTCCAAAATCTCCATTTCACAACACACCTCTAACCAACTACGCTCAGAAAATATCTTTTACGCTAAGATCGATTCCGGGAGTTCTACTCGCCCGAATTCAATTCCGTAAAGTCGTACGGATTCCTTAACGAGTTATCTAACCACTCATGTAATCAAAATCATACATAATTCACCCGATTGTTACCAGATTTTTCTACACCTCAATGACTCCGATTTCATCCAAATCTGGACAAGATTGGGAAAATCCAACTACTATGAAAAAGTTTTCCGGTCCCAAATTTTCCACCGTTGACATTTCTATAACGACGAAAATAGGTCGTTACAGTATAATTATATGGTTAGTGAGGATTCATAGCCCTAATTTATATCATTATATGATTAGTGATGATTCACATAGTTGATTCGTACTTGCTTGGATTGAGATATTGCTATTGTTATTGTTATAGTCAATTGAAAAAATAGAAGTTTCTGGCGTTTGTCGACCAATCAAAATATATATTTGCTAAAGTTTTTGTATAAATGAATTTATCTTGTATGATCAGATAGTATAAAAGATATGGTAAATATCGGTGTTTTTAACATGTTATTTCTAGGTTATTAAATCTCATTTGTTTTGGACTGTTATATGTTATGTCCTCTTAACTAGGAAAACTAGTCAGTTTAAAAATAGGAAAAAAGGCTTCGCTAATAGAAGTAGAGAAAACAAGATACATAAGTGATATTCCAAGTTCATTGTCTCCTCTCTGCTATCCAACATCCCCAAACCCCACTCCTTGGCCATCCCACACTCCGTCAGCCCCGAAGGCCTACTCCTCATCCCATCTCATTTTCCTAGTGTTTTGACACGTTACGTATAAATATTTACCTACCAAACACTAGAAAATAAGTAACAAATTGCATAACATTTTGTGTACCCTTAATTGAGTCTTTTGGACTGCAGGTTACCAGGTTTAACTCAAGAGGCCCAAGACAAATGGGCTTCACAATGGATCCAAGTCCATATAGATGACTCCAAATGGTTGAAAAAGCCCTTATTAATTGCAGAATTTGGCAAGTCTTCAAATACCCCAGGGTATACTGTTGCATTGAGGGATAGTTATTTTGGAAAAATATATGGAACCATTTTTAATTGTGCTAAAAGTGGAGGCCCATGTGGTGGTGGGCTTTTTTGGCAAATATTGGGCCAAGGAATGGCAAGTTTTGATGATGGTTATCAAGTGGTCTTGCAAGAGAGCCCATCAACTGATAGAGTTATACTCTTACAATCTCTTAGGCTCTCTAAGCTATCATAGAAACAAAATAGATCAAGGATATAGTAGTATTTTAAAGATCTATGAAAGTTGTTTGTGTTGGTATATACTATCAATAATTTGGTTGAGTTATAGTATTGGTTTTAATTCTGTATAAAGACTATGTATATATGTTATATATTATAATAAAGTCTTTGTTTGAATAGATCATTGTGTTTATATGTGTGTCCATTACTTATACAGTAGATGATTTTGTGTATGGAGTTATTTAACTCATAAGCGGAAGATTAAAATTGTCGGTTCTTATAAGTTATAAATTAAATGTTCACGATCGAAGATGAAGTTCGACAAACATCTTGATGATGGTATTTAATCTTGTGCTATATATATATAGCAATGTTGATTCACTTCAGTTGAAATCAAAATCAAAAGGAAAATACCCAGGGTTAAGTATAATTCCATACACAAAAATGGTCTATTATATAAGTAATGGACACACATATTAACACAATGATCTATTTAAACAGAGACTTCATTATATTAAATAAAATGAAATAAATTGTCTTTACTCAGGATTAAATAAAATGTTATAACTCAACCACATGGTTAATAGTATATCTCAACACAATTCACCCTCCTCAATCTCCATTTGTGGAATTTCACTGGATTTGTTACTGATGTTGATTAATAATCATTAAATAATGTTTACTTAGTTTAAAAAGTTTATTAGATTCGAAAAGAGCAACATAAGTGATTACTTAAGTACAAAAAAGGAGATAATTTTAATTGCATTCATTAATCAATGTATATAATATGAAGATAAATGCTATAATAGTGTCCTTTTAACCCAATTTAGGATATCACTTAGAATTGATCTTTCAAATTGAAGCACCAATAAAATTTTGAATGTGTGTGGATTTAACGGTTGCTTTGTTTCATATCAAGTGTGATACTGAAACTATGTTTAAAATGATGATTTATGTGTTGAAAATAATTTGGAAATGAATTAAAATTAGTATTATAGTAAAAAAGAAAAAAAATCCTGAAAAGAAAAATAAAATAGCGCTCATCTTAGGTAGATCATAATATGATATGATTAAAACGCTAACGTCAAGGTGAAATCACGCTTCAAATAGAAATGATAATTGGGCAGGACAGAGTAAGACAAAGCAAAATCTAGTGGACATGCTTCGATTTGGCTTAGAGGCTAAAATCTAACCATTATTATTGTGTGAAGACTGAAGTATATATTAGTGTTGTGTGTTAGCATGATATATTTTGAGAGTGTGAGTTAAATTCTTGTTTACGAAATATATCTATGATTAATTACCCACCACTAAGCCTTCAAATTTGGGTCATGATATTTTATTTCCACTCCCTTCACTACTTATATCATAATTGCAAGCAAAAAATTGTCTAAGCAAAAAATTTAGGCTAAAATATTGAATTAATTATTTTGAATTTAAGGGGAATTATGTTGTAAAACTTTATAAATCAGAAAAGAAGGGACTAGTCTAGAAAGCCATTAAAATTAGTCAAAATTAAATTTATTAGTAATTAGTTAATTATTCATTAATTATGACCCTGGCAATAATATTAAAATCTTAATTGTAACTTTTCAAATCATTTTTTTTTCCATCTATATAAACACAACACCAAAACATTAGTATAAGACCAAGCATTAATCAATTCTTTTTTTCTACTTTACTAAAAATAATGTTGATGAAAAATTCATTCATCTTCATTTTGGTAGCTATTTTGATAATATTTCTAAATGAATTTAGCAACCCTATTAGAGCTTCTTCAAATTCTAATTTTGTTTACATAGATGGAACTCATTTTGCGCTAGAAGGAAAACCATTTTATTTAGATGGATTTAATTCTTATTGGCTAATGTATATGGCTTCTGATCCATCAACAAGAAATAAAGTTACAAATATATTTCAACAAGCTTCTAAATATAAGATGAATGTTGCTAGAACTTGGGCTTTTGCAGATGGTGGTTCTAAACCTTTACAATCTGCACCTGGCGTTTACAACGAGCAAATGTTTCAGGTAATTTAATAGAGGTTAAAAATTGTTGTTTTTCTATTTGTTTTATAGAGGAATGAATCCTTTGTTTGAGAACTGCTATTGAAATGGTATTTCTCTATAGTTCATTATCTCTTTTTAATAATTTACAATACGAGTAATACATATATTTTTTTCAATATTTTCTACATGTGTATGACACTTCGATTTAATTCTTTTGTTGTTTTTCCAAGCTCTCTCTAATACTTTTTTTTTTAAAAAAAAAAAAAACTAAAAATTAATTAATTTCATTTATGTCTCTTTTTCTATTGTTGCAAATATAATGTTAAAACCACTTTTTGAAATTCTAACAACATATTTTTAGATGGTTTGGGAATTGCATAAAATATTTTAGGGTTTTGGATCAAAATTAACTTTTAATTAATAAATAAAAATTGAGTTTTTATCATTTGCTATAAAAAAAAAAGTGTAATTATAACTATTGGATCATGTTTTCCCAAGTTTGGTTATAATTATATTCTTGTAATCTCATTTTATTGTAAAGAATCAAATTTAATAAAATCTCATTTATTTAATCAGAATATTGTAACTCTCTCTTAATTGTGATTTATTCATTTGGTTTATTTAGTCAAACTAAAGTATTCAAATCAATTTATTAATTTTATTATCATCACATTTATTTCCTTTATGACTTTCAATAAAATAATTAACTATGCACTTTTTAAGCTTTTAATTATTATTATTTTTGTTTATTTAGGGATTGGATTTTGTGATATCAGAAGCCAAGAATTATGGAATTCACTTAATTCTTTCATTAGTTGATAATTTTGAAGCTTTTGGAGGAAAAAAACAATATGTGGCATGGGCAGTGCAAAAAGGGCAAAAATTAACAAGTGATGATGATTTCTTCACTAATCCTATGGTCAAAGAATTCTACAAAAATTATATCAAGGTAATTAAATTAATAATAAGACTTTTTACTTATATGTTTTATGCAATTATTATATTTTACTCCTAATATTTTTACTTTACGTGGAGATGTCAGCAAAATAGATCTTCTAAGTCACGTGAACTCAATAATTTAATTCAGCACGCGTATAATATGTTTAATTATGAACTCATTTATTATTACAGTATTTATGACCTTAATTTTACAAGCTATTATTTTGTTTCTTTATTTTTTTTTGTTTTTGTTTTTGTTTTTTATATAGGATGTGCTTACAAGAGTTAATAAAATAACCAATGTGGCATATAAAGATGATCCAACAATTCTTTCATGGGAGTTAATAAATGAGCCTCGTTGCCCATCTGACCTATCTGGAAAAACAATACAGGTAATACAATATTTAGTCGATCGATCAAAAATAATTACATTTTCTAGTTATATTTTTACTTATTTTGTAAAATGATTTTTTTAAAAATAACTTTTATCGTACCTAACAAAGTCGGAAAAAAAATATGAATTGAATTATGCTAAGAGATCTATAGGTGTGAATATTTAGTAAGATATTATGTGTATTGATTAACTATGATTTGGCAGAAATGTATAATGTATTCGTTGAATTGGTATAAACACTTGTGTGAATATATAGTACAATATACCTTCTAAGATTTCACTATATATTTTATATGAAATAATAAATTTTTTTCTTTTTTTTTATTGGACGTATATTTTATAGAACTGGATTACAAAAATGGCGGGACATTTGAGATCAATAGATACAAATCATCTCTTGGAGATTGGACTTGAAGGATTTTATGGGAATGGCAAGAAACAATATAACCCTAATTCTATCAATTATGGGACTGATTTTATCTCCAACAATCAAATTCAAGGAATTGATTTTACCACAATTCATATTTACCCTGATCAATGGTACATAATTACTAATCCCCTCTTCCTTCATTTATATACAATTTTGCACCCTCTTATTATCATTTTGTGATTTTTTACATTCATATACGGTACGAAGAAAAATATTTTCCAAAAAATATAATTAAATTTCGATTAATGTCAGTAGAGACTATGTGAAAGATCATTTGTCTGAACAATTTATCGATGATCGATTCAACATCTGATATCATTTTTATATTTCATCTCTTTAACAAATTTAGTAATGAGCAAAACGACCCTATTATTCCAATAGAGAAAAGAACCTACGACTAGGCGCTTTTCAGAAAATTTCTACTTTCAACGAAATCTTTGAATTTCTTATTTGATTTTTACTATGTTCAACTTTATGTGTTCTTCTATCCGTATAGTACATTGAATGTATAGAAATGGCTATAAAATAGTTTCTCTTAGTCGTTAATGTTGAGGTATAACAACTCTATTGTCCCAATGGAGAGAAGAACCTATGATTTAGCTTACGAAATCTTTGAATTTCTTAATTACTATGTTCAACTCTATGTATTCCTCTATCTGTAGAATGTACAGAAATGGCTATAAGACAGTTTCTCATAGTTGTAAATGTTGAGGCATAGTACACGATGCAATAACGTTTGTACCCTTAATTGGGCCTTTTGGACTACAGGTTACCAGGTTCAACTTCAGAGGCCCAAGACAATTGGGCTTCACAATGGATCCAAGCACATATAGATGACTCCAAATTGTTGAAAAAACCCTTATTAATTGGAGAATTTGGTAAATCTTCAAATACCACAGGATACAATATTGAAATGAGAGATAATTATTTGGAAAAATATATGGAAATATTTTTAATTGTGCCAAAGATGGAGGCCCATGTGGTGGTGGGCTTTTTTGGCAACTATTTGATCAAGGAATGGAAAATTATAGTGATGGTTATGAAGTGGTTTTGCAAGCAAGCCCATCAACTGATAGAGTTATACTCTTACAATCTCTTAGGCTATCTAAGCTATCATAGTAACAAAAAAAAAAAGATTAAAGTTGTTATAATATTTTAATTTCATTCAAACATCAAGATTATTGTAATTTATCTAGATTTGATTATCTTTGTCAAAGATAAAAAATTGGTTATACTGAAAAAATTTATGGAGGTTGTTTGAGATTTTAAAGATCTTCTCTTGTTGTATTTGACTTATTTGTTGTATGTTGCGTAGAAAACAAGCTTAATACATCGACAGTCCTTAAAGTTTGTGATCTTTAGAGTAATGTTGCTACCTTGTCTACCTTCCACGTGTCAACGTATGATTTATTCATGCGTATAGTCTAGCTTTGCCTTGCGTAATATGTTTATAAAGTTATTACTCAATGTTATATACACATGTCTAACAAAATATTAGAGTTTGAAGTATTATAAATGAAATTAATTTTTTAAAATTTATTTATTTATTTCATTATTGAACATCATTAACTCTGATACAATTCAATTAATATTTCTTACTTTCTTTTTTCATCTCGAAAATAATATTTATTTTTCTATGTAAAATTTATTATAATATTTTTAAAAAGATAAAAATTGTGATTTTAAAGGAGTATAAAAAAAAAAAAGATATAGATTGATAGCAAGAGTAGAGTAGATATAAAATTAACTAAATGACATATGAAAGGAAAATGTTGATTGTTCGAGATTGAGTGAAGTTAAAATTTTAAAATAAAATTGACTTTTACCCAAAATATATATGGTAAAATGTCAAAAGCACCATTACTAATTATCATAGATAGAAATGAACATGTGCGTGAATGGTTTATATCGATAGTATTTTTGAGCCTAAAGGTTAATGTCAAGGGTATTTGAGGGTCCAAAGGTGGATGGATGGTAGTTTTGTACCAATTCAAATAATTCAAAAGCATTTTAGGCCCTTTTTCGTATAATCTAATGAACATTATATTTAATTTGCCCAATTTTAAATTCTCGCAAACAAGGTGATGTTTTGCGCCATTGATATCAATAACAGGGTAACCACCAAAGGATGTGGTGCATGCAACGGATGGGGTTTCTTCTCCCTTAATCGAGAGGTCTCGGGTTTGAGCCTTGGATATGAAAAAATCCTTGGTAGGGAGCGCTTCCCCTGAATGAGCCCTACGCGGCGCGAATACAAAATTATCGGACTCCAATAAAAATACCAAACATCGGGTAGAAAATAAAAAAAAGTATCACTAGGGTGAGGTCTATACCTAACTCCCCACCCCCATTAGGTAATTTGTGGAGGAAAAAAGGCCATGTTGGTAAATTAATTGATCAAAGGATATATATGTTATTTTCTCTAAATATATTATAGTTTAGGAGTTAACAATACATAACTTACAAATAAAACATGAATGAATAGCTTATGTGTTTTTCTTGATATTTATCAACTCTCTCTCTATATATATATTGTGTAAACAATGTACCACTAATATTATATGCATGCCTTTTTGCTTGTACATCCAATCTTAATTTCTTTCAATATGTCTTACATTCTACCTCATAACCACAATATAAGATCCTCACAACAAGTCCTTTCGAGGACATCTGATGAAAGTGAAACGATAAAACATCGAGATAAGAGAGTACAAGAAGTGTACTCAATAACCAACCTTGGGGGTAATAGTACAAGAAGTATACTCAACGACCCGACTTTACAATCCACATGGGCTCATAGAGCATGGATGGTAAGTGGGTGCACCACTTTGCTAATTTGTTTTGCCAAGTCTGCATTAGGGGTTGTAGACTCACATAGGTGGGTCGGGCCCCTTATAGCCTGCTGCATAGGCTATGTACTATCAGACCTAGCTTCTGGAATCTACCATTGGGGAATTGACAATTATGGTAGTGCCAAAACTCTTGTATTTGGTAACCAAATTGACGCATTTCAACATCACCATAAACATCCATGGATCATAACAAAGAGTCAATTCGCTAAGAATCATCGCATCCTAGCGGGGGGAGTAACTTTCATTGTTCTCCCCATAAATCTTCTATGCAAGGACCCAACAATTCTCGCCTTCATTGGAGCCTTTTCCGGTTGCATTATGTTTAGCCAGCAATTTCATACATGGGCTCACGGCACAAAAAATAAGCTGCCTAAAATCGTGTTAGCATTACAAGATGTTGGGATACTTGTGTCAAGGTCACAACACGTCGCGCACCATCGACTGCCTTACAACAACAATTATTGTTTAGTAAGTGGATTATGGAACAATTTTTTGGATGGATATAAGGTATTTGAGTTGCTCGAGAGGATTTTCTTCTTTATATTCGGAGCGCAGCCTCGATCATGGAGTGGACTTGATTTGGAATGGACTGAAGAGATTGAGACACAATCTTTGTGTGATTCACAATACTGAAATGTTGTTGTTATTGTATGAATAAACTAGTGAAGTGGCTATAAGAATAATTAATAAATTTATATGTTTTTACTTAAATAACTCGTCCCTCCTGGGGATTCGAGAGGTTTAAGTACAATCTTATGAAGTAAACTAGTTATATGTATATAGTAGATCAAAACATTTAGGATGATGATGTAAATGAAATAAGAGGGTCATATTATGAAATAGCAATATGATATAGAGTAAATACATAAAAGAACCCATGAACTTGTCAGCTAAACTTATTTTAGCACTTTAACTTTACAAATAATTATTTACCCCTTAATCTCATTTCAAGTGAATTAAAATCCACCAAACAGATAAAAAAATTAAAAACGAGTAAAAATGTAAAAAAAAAAGCAAATTAGGCCCCTTCTTTTTCTTTCCAACCAATAAGGTTTCTTCTTCCTCACACCCCACAACCTTTATCCAATAACAACCCCACCCTTTCTGCTTCCTCACACCTCATCACCGTCGCCGCCCTCAGCCACAACCTACATCACTCATTTCTTCGACGAACCATTCACCTTCTTTCTCCTTCTTCGAAATCCTCCACCCCCACTCTATTTTCCGTTCTTCAAACCCCCACTCGTACCCCTCTTTCTCCTTTTTCGAACCCCGCCGCCACCCACACCTTCCTCACGCCTTTCTTCTTCTTCTTCAAGCCCCTGTCACCGCCCTTCTTTTTCAAAACACCCCCACCCATTCCTTCATTTCAAATTAATCTTGCTTATTCTTAGAAGTGATGAACAAGAAAACATGAAAAAGTCAACAACTTATTATTGCTTCAAGATCTTACTTATGGAAGTGTTTGTTGATTGTGATGAACTTGAACCTTTTTTTAATAAAAAATTTATAATTCTTCATCTCAAATTATTATTATTTATTTATTTTGATAATGTGTTTTTAAAATTGAATATTTTCTAGTCTCGGATCTGTAGAGTTCGATTTTTTTTATTTTTTTATAATCTTGGATTAATCCTCATTTCCCCCTATTTTTTACCTTTCAAAAATTGTATAAATAAAAATAAACAAAAAATGAATTAAAAAATTCAAAATTTAAATAATTTTTAATGTGGCGCTGACGTGTCAATGACATGGCGCGTATGTAATACACGTGCCATTGTGAGACTGGTATTGTAATGTTAGGGTTGAAAAAAATCATTTGAAAGACGTTAAGACTTAAGTGGGTATTTAAACGTCTATATAGTTTAAGTGCTAAAGTAAGTTGTGATGCCAAGTTCAAAAAAAAAAAAATCATGTATTTTCTCTATGATATATTAAGTTGAAAATATTATTTTATGTTTTAATTTTATCTATATTTTGTTCAAGTACTTGATTTTGTATATACGAACTCTGATTTTATTTTTTTAGAAAAACTTTTGAACTTCTTCATTGTATCTTTATTATTTTATTTGCTTATTATAATATTTTTAAATATTAATTAAATATTTTTAATAATTATGATAATAAAAAATATAAAAATTATGAACAATATTTAAGAGTAGAAGTTATAAGTAAAATGAAGAGATATGAGATATAAAGAAGTTGAATGTATAATTTTATTAAACATTTAACTACATTAATAATTATACACTGATTTTATTTGTAAAAGTGAATAAATGAATGGTGAAAATAAAGGGGAAAAGTCAAAAAATAACAAAAAAGTAAATGATTGGTGACTGCATAAGAGATTAGTCACGTTACTATTTCAAAAATTGCAATTATATGAGATATAGATGATAGATTTTTTGATACAAATATAGGGTCTACGAAAAAGTTAATAGGTTCGTCCAAATTAATGAACCCCACCTAGCTCCGGCTTTGAATATATACATGATAGATTTTTTAATTATGATGTTAAGATATATAAATTAACCTACACTATTTACATTCACAACGTACTTAAAAATGAAAAGAAAAAATTATAAATAAATTTCAAACAAAAAATAATAGTGACGAAGATAGATTGGTACACATGCAAAAGAAAAAGACAACGACATCATATAATTAATATTTTATTTCTTATATTTTTTTTTGCGAGCATGATAAAAATGAAATTCCTCATCATAAATTTTTTGGCTGAAATAATTATATTAATTATGCTTTATAATAATAAAAAAAAAAAAAAGTAGGATAGTACAGGACCAAATGAATTGTATTGTTCATACATGTAGCTAAGTTATTAATGCAAACCAAACTTTAAAAAATTCTAGCGAAAGTAGTCAAGTTACAAATACAAGTCAAATTAAAAAAACATCTAGCAAAAGTTATTTCTAATAATGCTTCAAAAAAAGTTTTTCTTCTATAATCTGACGACACATTATTTTCATTATTACAAAAATATTCTTGATTAAATATACTTGGTTGGGGGATAATAATACATACATATATGCAATATTAAGAAAGCACGTTCAATTACTACATATAAAATGAAAAGAATCATTTGAGAATGTATTTCTACCTTTATATATAGGGATAAGGGTCTGAAAATTATTCCAACTTTGGTCGAATTTGTTGTTGCGATACTAAACTTTCATGAGGACCTATTACCCCCCTAAACTATTTAATAGTGTATTTTTTACCCCTGAACTATTTAATAGTGTATTTTAAAGGTATATATGTGCCCACGTGGACACATTACTGTTTATAATTTTACATTATTTTTTATGTCCACGTGGGCAAATATATATGTTTAAAATACAGTATTAAATAGTCTAGGGAGGTAATAGGTCCTCATGAAAGTTTAGTATCGCAACAGCAAATTCGACCAAAGCTGGGATATTTTTCAGACCCTTATCCCTTATATATATATATATATATATTGGTTACATGTTAGTTAATTTACAATCCAATATGATGAAAAAGAAAAAAGATAACCCTGAATATGAATCTGTGTAAAACTAAATATGAACCTATATAGGCAAAATAGAGAATTACCATAAGATATCATAAACTATACAAATTAAAGTTTGAAGGTTATGGACATGAAAATTATGAGAGGTATAAATATTACTAATAGTAAAATTTAATAAGGTGTAAGTCAAAAATACTTCAAATATTTTTAAAAAATATTGTCATTTTATAATTATTGGATTTTGCCGAAAGTGAAAGAACTGCTTCCACTTTGTTAGGGGGCACAAAGTAAGGCAGAAGAAGGTAAAAATTAAAGAGAAAAAAAAAGAAAAATAAATTTATTAAGAGTATAAATCATAAAGATATGATTATAAATAGTTACTCTTTATAAATTGACAAGAGAATAGTCTTTGTTGTAAATGTTTTTTCATTAATAAAATATTTATTCATAATAAATTAAGTAATTTGAGAATTGTCCATTGGAAACTAGTTAGGATTATCTTTGATAGGGTAGTCTATTCTTGTTAAATATAATATAATCCGATGATGGAAAAATGAAAAGAATAAATGAATTTCAATTTTAGTATCAAATAAAATTATAAACAAAGAAAAAAAATATATGTACGATGAAATAAAACGAGTTGAAAATAGAAATATTTATTATGCGGGGCAAATTAAAGTTTTCACGAATTTTCCCCACTACTGCACCATTTGTCATCCCTACAATGTATTTCTATGTCAACCATATTTAATTGGTACATGAAATTTCAAGCACCGATCATAGCATTGAATATATGTGCCTAAGACATTAGTAGGCAAGTAATTTAGAGTGAAAAAAGTATAATCATTAATAATTACCGGTTATGAGAATATCCAATTATTATTATGCACTCTACTTTTTTCTTTGATTTTACACTCTTACCAGCTTTTTAGTAGCTAAATTTTAACCCAATCAGTACTAATAACTTCTCTTTGCAAGTAATATCCCACATTCATACACGGTCGGCATAATGCATAAACATGTCATTTAACTTGGCTTCAACTGACATTTATGCCCTCTAACTTTGGATGTGCACAAATAGACACTTAGATTAGTATAAAATTGAGAAAGTAGACACACACGTCCTACGTGGCAGAATACACATAGGACGCTACATAGGATGAAAATTGGTCACATAGGACGTATATGTCTATTTATTTCATTTTATACTAGTTTATTATTCGCTTCGCAACACATTTTTTTTTTAATTTCCCATCCGATGTCCGGAGCCCACATTGAAGCTCCGGCTAAATCCGGATTGCGCACTGCAGGACCCATTCGAGGGTGGCGCTCAGAACGGGATTTTTTCCATACCCAAGGCTCGAACCCGAGACTTCTGATTAAGGGTGATGCACTCCCACCAGTGCACCACAACCCATGTTGGTGCTTCGCGATACATGTCAATAAAGATAAATAGAGAAATATAGTTCCAAATTCAACAGCTGATGCAACAACACAGATTAGAGAGCAAGTCAGCCACTGTCCATTTCCATTAATCTGAAATATGCTATAAGATAAACTACATCATTGTTCAAGTTGGAACAATTAAGTTTAACACAAGATGACAAAGAATAGAAATTATAAAGCTAGTCAACATAATTACATCCATCTAACTATATATGATAACTGATACAAAGCTTGAAGAGCTTTAAAACAAGTTACCATTACAACAAATGAAACCAGCAGCATTCCAGGAAGAGGTTCACATATGCTAATGTCAGAAGAAAGTTGGTTACTTGTTACTCTCGGGGACGAGCAAGCCAGAGAGAACTAAGGGCTCGCAGTCTAGCGAAATAATCACCGATAGCAAGAAGAGCACGAGCCGACTGGCGAGTTGTCAATATCCGATGCATTTGCTGCAGCATCCGTTGCCGTAGGTTATCAGCCTGACATTTACATTTCATAGGTCAGTTTTTTGTATGCCAGGGAAAGCTTTCAACATGTAGTCAAAACAAAGATAGTTAGAGCAGATAAGAGTATCTTCACTAGACATTGAAACCCACCAATCACACTTTCTGGTACCTATGTACCCTCTTGCTTAAATGATTTTGACTTTACATTCGCTATCCTCGTACCCACAACTCAAACCCAAGCAAGTTGAGGTTATTATATGAATCTTCACTGACCATGTTGTTCCATTTAAACTCATCTCAAACCAATATTATACAAAAAAAGAAGTACTACGTTTTCTAATGGTACCAACATGTACTCGAACGTGTAAACACATATTTGTATATATGGCATCTCATGCATACAAGTTACCATCTAAGTTCTAACCCAACTAAACTGCTGCATTTCAGAACATAAATGTTATGGAGATGGTTCTAATGCAATGCAAGATCTTTCAACAATAAACAAATCTTCTTTTCTTTCTGGAAGCATGCTTGTCAACCTAACTAGCAAAGTTTTGCAAATCTCACCTCTAATCTAAACCTTTTCAACCATAATTATTAGCACCATGCCAAGAATTGTACCGGTTTTCCAATTGGTACAGCTCAGTACAGATTTGTCTCCGACTACCACTATAAAATCAAGAGTGAACTTACAAAACAGAAGACGGTAAGTTATGAAACTTTGTACTAGGAAATACAATCAGAATGACACCCTAAACCCCCTCATACATCTTCTATCTTCGGAACACGTGCAAAGAAAACAAGGCTAAATATCTTCAGTAATTTGGTAGCATCCTTCTCTATGTAAGAAAATAGCCCAGAACTAATACGAGATAGAGAACTACAGTTGCTTCAACTCCATTCTTTGTTTCCTACTAATTCTCATCAGGAGAAAGTAGAAACATAAATATCAAAACCTAGAAGAAAAAAAAAAGGAAAAAAGAAATGATAGAACAAGCGAATAAGTAGTTCGATATGTTTTTGCACCCAAGGGCGTGGCCTAGTGATCAATGAAGTGGGTCAAGAACCATGAGATCTCAGGTTCAAATAATAACACTAGGTGACTTCTACCCATCTGTCCTAGCCTTGGTGGATAGAGTTTCCTAGTACCTATTGCTGGTGGGAGACTGGGAGGTGGCAAGTATCCCAATCAAACATCGTTCACAATCAAACACCATCATATAAAATGAAACAAAGAGAGTCAGCCAGTTACTAAGTAATGGAAAACACTACTAGTTCTCTCCATCTCCTGATTCTCCTCTCAGGATTACAGCAAACTGAATGCTCTTGGTCACGAAGATAGAATAGGATACTTTAGGTGGCCAATCATGTCCAATAGGGATGTTGGTCGGCATACGGCAGGTACCCTTTGGGGTGGAATGGACAAGTGATCATTTAGTTGGGAGTGAAAACTTTTCAAAGGCTTCCATATGATGCAGTCTATGAGTCTATTTGGATGGAGTTAGAATTTGAATATCTCTTGAGGAACTTGGAATAATATATGACTTTTCTTTTTTCTGACAAAGAAAAAAAGAAAAGTCATATATTATTCCAAGTTCCTCAAGAGATATTCAAATTCTAACTTTTCTTCTTTCACACTTCTTAGTTTTTTCATTCTCATTCTTGAGGGGCTGGCCGGGTGCCAACAAAAGATGTGTAAGTGACATATCAATGATATATTTGAGGCTATTAGGAATGCATTAGATAACAAAGTCTATTTTTTAAGTGCAAATAGTGGATACACATAAGTAAAACACTAAGCACCTGGAGAATGAAGCCTTCAAGAGTTCCTAGCTTCCCCATTGCCATGGCCATTTGACCCATGTAATTGGCAACATTCCCAGATGACCCTGAAGGTCCAAGAGACCCTGCCAGGGTCTCAGCCAATGACTGTTGCAGTGATTCGATTCCCTGAGATAAAGCATCTTCAGCCAGTTGGGATGACTGTTGCAAGTTGTTGATTGCCAACGATTGTTGATCAGTTAAAGGCTCCAACTGATTAATGAGAAGCTGCAACAAAGGAGACAGAAATTTAAGAGTGGAAGAATGTACTGAGGTAATGAGCGCAAAGGAGGTAAAACAATCTGCCTTCTGACCACCTCCAGCCCTTGAAAAGAGAAAAAAAAAAAAAAAAAAAAGGGAGCATGCAAAGATTTAGACATCTAAAAGTAACAAATGGAATTCTTCAGCATGAACCAGAATGAGAGAGGGTAACAGTAGAGGAAGAGGTATATCTAAAGCAAGACAGTTAGGGGAACAGAGAAATTCAAGAGTTTTCAATGCACAGAAAAGAAAATTATCACCAGAGGAACAAACAGAACCTGCAAGGATATTCAATTTGGACGGCATTCTACCGAGAACATCTGTCTAGAGAAGTATTGGGAAGTTTTTTCATCAAGAAAGTGGTTGTAACTAAGGTCAGAAGTAGTCGATTGTCCTTTATAATTCATGGTGAAGGTACAAAATAGTTAAGACTTTCATATGAAAGATTAAGCTAACTTACTAGGCCAAATTCTACAAGAAGTTTCCTCAAAACGCTGAACTCTTTTGAATTTGGACAACTACCAATCATGTTGTAAAACCTTCACACCAGTTCAGATTTGTTTTATTTTGCTAATTCAAGTACGGGAATTGGGGTTTCCCAAGCAGTTGTATCACTTTTTTTATAAGGAAATTTCCCACCTTGAGAAGTTCCGACGAACGGAATCCACCAAGCCACAAGAAGCATCTTTCTGCAGGGGTTTTCCACATGCCTGACAATATATGAAAAACATCAGCCTTTGCAGCATCACCCTTGATCTTGAATAAGTCATCATAGTGCGCCAAGATGCCATCCACAATTATACGCAGTTCGCCATCACCAGCATGAGAACTTACAGCTCCTCTCAGCTCATTCGTACGCCGGTTGTGCTCTTCCAGCCATCGTGCATATTCTACATCAAACGCCAAAGCTCCTAAAAAATACAGATGTTAATATTACATAATTTTCCGGAACGCTAAACCCAAGCTAGCTTCTAGTAAAATTGTTTAGAGTGTCAATATATATAGAGAGATATAGATATAGATATAATGTCCGAGACCCGTACATAAGATCGTTCTAGCTTATCTCCTTCTTACTAGTTAGTCATGCTTTATTAACGTGCAACCTATGTAACTAAGATTTATTGAGAATTCAAAAGTTGAAATGCAAAAGCAGATAAGCATACCATTTCCACTCATTGACTGTGATTGATCTCCTGAACTTGAAACATATATGCCCTTCAGATTAAGAAAAAAATTATCAAAAAAATTTATCATCTTAAGGGAAACTAGCTAATAACTACACAGGGCGCAAGTTCTAGAGCTAAAGAGAAACAAATTAGACCCATGAAACAATTGCTAAACAAACCTGCTGTCGAGCTCGTTGAAGTTCCTGCTCTAGCTGTGTCAGCTTCATTCTACTACTCTCTAACTGTTGAACATATGCCTAGATCACCACAAAAAGAAAACGTAAGAAATACTGGTGTAATTACTGATATAAGATCTATAAGGACTAAAGAGTAAAATTTATAACAAGTACTACCACTAGTATATGTAGTACAATGCAACTAAAAAACCCGGAAGAATAATGGAAGTGAAGAATTAGACATAATTATGCTGCAAAAAAGCAGAAAATGCACATACATATGCTCAATTTTGCAAGCGAACAGCTGGATGAATAAAGATGTGAAATGATGCTACATAACATACATAACAAAGTGAAAGGCAATAACTGTAAAATGGTTGCAAGACCTGCAGTGCTATATAACAAGAATAAATACTTGTATAAAATGAATTGAAAAAGATACAAAAAGAAAATGGTAATGGGAGCATTTGTCCTATCCCTATATGTACAAATCCAAATCAGGCGAATTTTTACCCGGAGTAGAGCATAAACCTAAAAAGATAAAGTTAAATGGAATTGTATTGTATCTTTTTATTATTGGTGTAAAAAGATAGAAATAGATGAATTAGAACTAGCAGATTTGTTAGGATCTCTGTGAGTAGCTTCCTCCTACTCTTTTTTTCTTTTCATTTCTTTTGCTTCTTTTTGAAGGCCTCCAGCATATCCTTAATGCTGAGGAATACAACGTCACCAATTTCAAAAAACAGTGTGTGACCATCTGAGAGCAAACTTTTATTTTCTTAATCATGTCTTCAACACACCCCTCACATGTGGGCTAGATTATTTTTCATGACCAATTGCGTGAAAATTCTTTCGGATAATGGGTGGCAGTGAGCTTCGAACTCAGGACCTTTACCATATTGAAGTACGTAACCATTTCATCTAAAAGCTTAAGTTGTTAGAGAGACTTATTTTCTTAATAATGTCTTCAACAACAAGAAAAGTTGTGCCTTCAATGCCCGATATATCAACAAAAGGAGGTATAGAAATAAGAATGTTAAGACGGATGTTCAGCCATACAAATAGGGGTTAAAAGTAACAACCACATCCAACACAGGGTGCCAGGAGGAAAAAACAGGATATAATGAGAAAAGATCGCCAAAGATAGTTTCGCATGTTCTACATAGACCAGCAAATATCAATCCTCGAGTATAATGATTGAAGGTAGACCTAAAATCATATTAGGAGAAGTTGTCTTAAGATGATCTAAAATCTTTCCAAATCAATGCAGAGTTAAATATGAACAGAACATAATGAAAGCAAAGTGTGATGCCCTATCTCATCATTTACATGTAAGAATGACTGGCTAGTACTATTCATCAGAAAGACGAGTACAATTATGTGGTAGTGTGATTAAGAATGTATTTGACAATGAGGGAATGATGAAGGTATGTTAAGAGTCACATTTTGTTTTCGGTTGAAAACTAATGAGTGGAGGTATATTTGAGGTAAGAAAAGGAAACCCAAACACCAGTGCTAGTTTGGTTTGAAAACGAATGAGTTGGGCGAATTTCGGATAAGGAAATGAAACCTGAACAGAAGCTCATTGATGTTTGTACTCACGCTATAATACAGACCAATTGTAGTGACAAGCAAGGAAGGCAGTCACATTGGGTTGGGCTGACATGATGGAGCTTCAACAACACTGAGTGACAATACAATGGGACAACAAATGAATTAGGACACCATAGTGTCTCATTGGATGAAACAACGTTAAGGGGACCCTACAATGGGGAATCTTGAACAACAGGAGAAAGCGCGATCCAAAAATATAGCGTGAGTTGCAGAAGGGCCATGCCGATTGTAAAACTCATTAGTCAAAAGCGCAAAATGGATGGTAGAGAAAATACTCCCAGGCACGATTTTCAAAGACAGCCTAGTCTGAACTAAAATCGATCTGGGGACTTATTCTCCGGCACATATGGCCTGAATCACAGCATCAGGGGTCAACCACATTTACTACAATGCAGGGTTTAAATCATACGAAATCACTAGATGTAAAGGTGGTACAGATTCCTGGTACGAATGGACTGAGAGTAGCAGAAAATTAGTGAGAAGGGTGAAGATTAGCATTAAAGTTTTGCGGTGGTTGGTATCAATATTTATTGAGGCGTCCAAGGTACAAGGGAAAGTTATTAGGAGATGGAAGCTCAAGGAACACTTTTGCAGAGTTTTACTGCTCTCTTAAATACAACGAGAATGGCAGATTTGTCAGTTTTATTGATATCCAAGGTCAGAACAAGTCTATAATTATTACACCGGAAGCTTCATACATGGGGGGATGGAGTAATATCGTCCACAAAATAGCCAAGTTCATCTATGAACCCAACTTGCAACCAAAACTCCAAGTTAACACGGGCAAACAATCGAACACATCTTATAGGGAGGCAGTCCAAAGCAGCAGGTGGATGACGGACTCCATGAAGAGAGCGAAGTTACATGTGAAGGAGGCTCACATAGAAGTCACAAGCGGAGCACCGCTGGCAGAAACAGATCTTCTCAATAGGTGCATCGTTGGTAGATTCCAGGACACACTACAGGAGACCCCAGCTTTAAACGACGTAAGAAGATGGGCCTGCAACACTTGGAAGTCAGCCATTGGAGTCAATGTTTTTGCCATGAATGACGGCCAATTTCTGTTTGAACTCCCATCAAGAGTAGCAGCAGAACATGTCATGTCAGGGGTATGGGCATGGAAGAAGATGAACCTAAGCTTGTACTGGTGGAAGCCAACCATTGGATGCTGGACAGATGAAGTAAAAAGAGATTGGGTCTGGATAAGAGTCATGGGATTACCTTTGAGCTTATGGTCATCGAGTATCTTCAAACAAATCGGCGACCAATGCGGCGGATTTATCGAAACAAAGGAAGAAACAAAGCTCAAAAATCACCTTCACTGGGCTCATATAAAAGTGAAGGGTGATGGGGAAAAGGTTCCGAGGGAGGTTAAGATTTCCAGCGACGGCTACGCCTACAAAATTCCGATCTGGTGCAAGGCACCGGTGACTGTCAGAAAAGTGGAGACGAGGAGAGAGAATGAAGACAGAGAACCGCTGGGTAAAGAAGTTTCAAGACCTAGTACGATGGAGAACCCAACAGTTTATACACCACAGCACGTGGGCACATCGACAGCTGGAGAACTTTTGAATTGGGAGTCACGTGACCAGGCACGTGATCGCAGCTGGAAAGGGAAAGGGCAAGCCAAATAAGCGAGAGAAAAAATCAGGGCCCAAAAAAAGCTTTAGGTCCAACAAGGTTTAAACAAAAAGAAAGCAGTCAAGAAGCCCAAAGACTAGACTTAGTAAGTGTTGAAATAATGGCAAATCTTTCTCAAACAAAGACGCAGAATAGATTCAAAAATCTGGACAACCTGGAGGTGGAGGAGAGAAATTTCATGCCTCGCGAACAAGAGGAGACAATACAGGAGGATGGGGAGAACGCAGTCACCGTAGCGAAAGCTACAAACATGGGAAAACAAATAATGGTTGTATCCAACTGAATGATAGCAATACGGAGATCACAGAGGATGCTGTACCGCTGATGATTCAGCTGCCATTAGAAGACAATTTTAATTCAAAAAGTTCTCCACTTTGGATTAAGTAACACATACTCAAATTGAGCACTGAATTTGGGGTAGATTTTAGAGGATGTGAGGAGAAAGCAGAGGAGCTCTTTATGAAAATTGATAATAACAAGCAAGGGAACAAGGGGGGCAAGGGAGAAGTCACAACAAACAAAAAGAAAGGAGCAAACGAATTGAAAAGCCTGGAACTGGATACAAAGTTCATGAGCTTTGGCACTAGAAGTAGAGGGGGATATCTGGCAATAGAACAATAATGAAGCTAAACATAGTGTCATGGAATATAAGGGGGATGAACTGTGCTAGAAAGAGGGAAGTGATCAAAAATATTATGAAGAACTGGAAGGCAGATGTAGTCTGTTTCCAAGAAACAAAGGTGGAAGGGGAAATTGAAAATATTGTGAAGGAAGTATGGGGGAATAAATGGGTGAATTATGCACAGTTAGAAGCCAGTGGAACCAGGGGAGGCATCGTTATTATGTGGGACAAAAGGGAGTGGGAAGGAGAAATTAGCAGTGTAGGGATGTATTCTATCACCTGTAGCTTCACAGAGATATGTCAAGATTTCAGCTGGCACCTCACAGGTGTCTATGCTCCAAATGACAGAGTAGAAAGGGAAGAGACTTGGTGGGAAATTGGTGCTGCCAGGGGGTTGATTGCAGGACCTTGGGTCTCAGATTTCATAGAAGACATGGGGTTAGTTGATCCTGAATTATCTGGGGGAAAACACACCTGGAAGAAAGGAGACAGGCATACAACAGCAGCCAAACTTGACAGAGTTTTGTTCTCGGAAGAGTGGGAAGCAAATTTTAGAAATATAAGGCAGTACATACTCCACAGAGTGACATCAGATCACTCTCCCATAATGTTACAATGCGGTGCTTGGGAAAACGCAAAGTCATACTTTAAATTTGAGAACTGGTGGTTGGACATAGAGGATTTCAATGACAAAATTAAAGGATGGTGAAACTCCTTCAATTTCATAGGGAAACCTGACTATGTCTTGGTTGCAAAGCTCAAAGCACTAAAAGAAAAGCTGAAAGAATGGAGCAAAACTGCACAAGGGAACTTGGGAACACAAAAACAAAATGTCTTGAAACAGCTAGCTGAATTAGAGGAGATACAGGAGAACAGAACCCTGAGGCCAGAAGAGATAACCTCTAAAACAGCATTGATCAGTGAGTTTGAAGACATAGCTAAAAGGGAGGAAATAGCTTGGAGGCAAAGATCTAGGGCAGTGTGGCTAGAGCAGGGGGATAGAAACACTAATTTCTTCCACAGAACTGCAAATGCACACAGGAGAATGAATACAATCTCAAAGCTGAAAGTGAGAGGAGAAAATTTGACTGAACCAGAGGAGATACAGAAGGAGATAGTAACTTATTATGAGGAACTATACTCTGAGCCAGAACAATGGAGACCCTACCTGGAGATGAGAAACTGTCCTGTGATTCATGAAGAAGAAAACAAATTACTCTTGGCACCTTTTGAGCAGCAGGAAATTCTAGAGAGCATAAAATCATGTGCAGGGGACAATGCACCAGGGCCAGATGGTTACTCCATGGCTTTCTTCAGCCAATGTTGGGACATCATTAAACCTGATCTGGTGGCTACAGTGCAGCAGTTTCATAAGGCAGAGAGGTTTGAGAAGAGTATTAATTCCACCTTTGTGGCTTTAATTCCTAAGAAAGTGGGAGCTGAGGAACTGACAGATTTTAGACCTATTAGTCTAATAGGTGGAGTTTACAAGATCATTGCTAAACTGCTGGCAGAAAGGTTAAAGAAGGTGCTACACAGGCTTGTAGACAGCCAACAAATGGCATTCATAAAAGGTAGACAAATAATGGATGCAGTGTTGATTGCAAATGAATGTGTTGAGTCTAGACAGAGAAGCAAGTGCCCTGGAATTCTATGCAAGCTTGATATACAGAAGGCCTAAGATCATTTAAACTAGAATTTCTTACTACTTATGATGCAAAGGATGGGTTTTGGAGCCAAATGGATTAGATGGGTGAAATTCTGCATAAGCACAGTCAAGTTTTCTATTTTAGTTAATAGAACTCCTAGTGGTTTCTTTTCATCCCAATGGGGACTGAGACAAGGTGACCCCCTGTCACCCTTTTTATTCATCTTAGCCATGGAAGGTTTGAGTAACCTAATTCGCACAGCACAGATGAAGGGTTGGGTAGGGGGCTTTAGGGTGGACAACAGTGCACAAAATGGCTTGGAGATTACACATCTGCAATATGCAGATGATACCCTTATTTTTTGTGAAGCAATGACAGAGCAAATGTTGATCCTAAGAGTAATATTCATCATCTTTGAAGCAGTCTTTGGATTACATATCAATTGGGGGAAGAGTTTCATTTATCCCATAAATGAAGTGGCTCAGGTGGAGAATCTGGCAGGGGTTTTGGGTGGTAGGGTAGGGGAACTACCAACCATATACCTAGGTATGCCATTGGGGGGAAAGAGCAAATCAATAGGGATCTGGAATGGAGTGATAGAAAAATGCGAAAAGAAGCTTACCAACTGGAAGAGCCAATATCTGTCTAGGGGAGGTAGATTAACCATGGTTAATAGTGTGCTAGATGCAATACCTGCTTATATGATGTCTGTGTTCCCAGCACCAGACAATGTCATATAGAGGATAGATGCTTTGAGTAGAAATTTTTTTTGGCAGGGAAATGAAGATAAAAAGAAGTTTCATCTAGTCAAGTGGGAAGAGGTCATAAAAAATAAGAAAGAGGGGGGACTGGGGATCAGGAACATGAAGAAACAAAACAAAAGCCTAATGTTAAAATGGCTTTGGAAGTTTATGACAGGAGAGAATATGCTATGGAGAGAGGTGATCAGGGCAAAATATGAAATGGAGAATAGGTGGATGACAAAGATGGTAACTACACCATATGGATGTGGTATCTGGAGATCAATAAGAAATCTTTGGCCTCTGTTTCTTTCTAGAATTAGATTCTAGGTGGGTAATGGAATGAAGGTGTCATTTTGGGAGGACAGATGGATAGCCCAAAGAACCCTGAAACAATTATTCCCAAACTTATATACACTAAGCCTTCAACAAAATGCAACTGTGGCTGAAATGTGGACAGGACAGGGGTGGAACTTACATCTTAGGAGGAATCTAAATGATTGGGAGATGGGGAACATAGTGGCCTTCCATGATACAATGGCACAATTTAGCAATCTGACTAGGGAAGAAGACAAGGTTGTGTGGAAGATTGGTAGCAAAGGGATTTTCAGTGTCAAGTCAGCTTACAAAGATCTTAATCAATCAAATTCAAATGATAGGATGGAGCTCTAGCCATGGAAGATGATATGGAGACCTAAAATCCCATACAAGGTAAACTGTTTCACATGGTTACTAGCAAAGGAAGCAGTGCTGACACAAGAGAATATAAAGAAGAGGAAGTTCCAACTATGCTCAAGATGCTATTTGTGTGAGGAACAGACAGAGACAGTCAATCATCTCTTTTTGCATTGCAAATGGCCAGATCAATTATGGAGAATATTCAGCAGCCTTAGAAAGATCACTTGGGTGAAACCAAGAAACATAGTACAACTCCTAAATTGTTGGATCAATATTGGCAACACTACAATTAAGGAGGAGAGATGGAGGATTTTCCCAGCTTGTATATGGTGGACAGTGTGGAAAGAAAGGAATCAAAGATGTTTTGCGGGCAAGAAGAACGATTTGCAGAATTTCAAGATGAATTGTATAGCTCTTTATTATTTTTGGTGTAAACAGAAAGTCTTAGTACAGGCAGAAGAACTTTTTGATGTTTTAGACTATTTGTGACAAAAAGCACAGATGGAGTCGGTCTAGTTTGTAATACTTTTGGAGGGGAGCTACTTTGATGAAGTATACCTGTGGATAAATAGAAGAAAAAGTTACCATTCTCAAAAAAAAAAGCGCAAAATGGGATTGTCAGCAGACATGCTAAATTCCTGCATAGAAAAAGGTAGTATTTTTTTACTAGAATTTTTTAGGCAGAACTTGCACTGGACTTTGGTTGTAATAGTAAGTTGATTCACTTCTACGTGATGTTTGGAATTTCTCTAGCAAGAATATTTTATTGATAACCATTTCTAGCAAGAATGATGGAGTCTTCAACAATGACTCCAGTCTGTGAGAAGATTAAACTAAGATAAGGTAAACTCGATCTTTAGGGAAAATTATTAGTTTTGACGCCATAGCATCAAGGTCCCAGGAGATAAATTATAAAAGCTTGCTTTTATGGAATTTTTCATTCCAACTCATTCGAAGACACTAGGACTCAATATTGTATGAAAGGAACTGTATCTCTTCAATCCCATACACTGAGGTGAATGAAGAATGGATCCTATTGCAAGCATATGATATTAGAAACATGATTTTTACTATAGATTTTAGGATTACTTATAGATTTCACATTTGGAGATGATAGTACTATCCAGAAAAGGAGGTTCTTGAATTCTTTGGTGAAAAGGTTATTTCTGAACCTAAATTCGGTGAATTGTATTCATTTATGTTATGTGTAATTGAGATTAAGAATTTGTTGATTCACTTCAGTTGATATCAAAATCAAAATCAAAAGGAAATACCTAGGGTTAAGTATAACTGCACTGTTCAGATACCCCTACCTATACACCGGACAGATAGTTACACAAAATACAAAGCAGCTCACACAGTCCATGCATCCAGCACCAGACAGCAGTTTCTCATCAGGTTACCCAGAGTAACAGATATCAGAGGTTCTGTTTATTCAATAAATTGTTCCTTTAGAGGTGTATTTCTTCTGAAGATATCCTTGGTGTTTTTTTTTTTGATAAGATAAGTGGTATTAATAACAGCATCAGGAAGATGCAAAATTTACAAGATATGGCATTTGAGCTTACAAAAAAATCTCTGGCTAACTATACAAACTATCTAAGCCATCTAAGCCAGAGCTAATGAGTTAGAAAAATCCTGAAGTTGTTCTGCATTAAAATCCTTGGTGCTGTTCCCATACTAAAGCACAAAGTAACTTCTATCAAAGTTTTGTGGTTCTCTTACTCCAGTATTGATCCAAAGTGACTAAAAGCACTGAAAAGTAAATCATTTTGTACTACGGTAAGGACCATAATCATTTTCTCAAATAGTTCGGTGCTTTTAGAAATGTAAAAGAAATATAGAAAAAGCCATTGGATTGTTAACCTATTTGCAAAACAATCTGAAGTACAAAAGGAAAAACTATATATAAAGTAAACAGCAGTGCAACCATAAGAGAATCTACCTTTTTCCTTAGACGACTCTTTCGTGCAGCTTCACGATTTTGGGAAAGCCTACGAAGCGTCTGCAGAAAAGAAGAGTTCAACTCAGTTAGAAACCTTTTTTTTCAATCATTATTCTAATCGAATTCTGAATGTGCACAATGGAATAACCTTTTGGTCTCTGGTTTTGTCACTTGCATCGGAAGTGGCGCCCAATGTTAGAGAGTTTAGAAACTGCACCAAGAATGATGAAGAACAATTTCATTAAAATTTGAAGTACAGATTAGCTTAAAAGTACAGTAAGATTCCGGAAAGTTCTGGAGCCATTAACTAGTTTGAAATAAAATGTGTTTTTTTTCAATATCTAATTGCTCTTTTTTTAGTAGACCTCTTTTCTTCCTGAAACACTTCGATAACATGCGCTAGTTTTGCAGATCAGGAAAAAGAAAAATTCCCTCCAAGTAATTTTAGAACATAGGGAGGCGATATATAATAGAGCATAATGGATTTATATAGGTGATAACAACTACTTGGGGATAAAGCTTAGTCATGTTAGAAAGCTTATACTAGGTCAGGTTCTTCCCTTCCACTGCACCACAAAATATCCTTAAGCACTGCCCTTGGAAATCAATGGAAGATAAATAAGCTTATAACTTCATTTTTAATTAACATATGGAACAGTACTGGCAATGTCTGGCCTGGAACTATCTTATATAAGGTGAATCATTCAGATTTTTGTAGAAGTAGATAGAGGTAACAGAATTTACAGGGATAGAATCTCAATTATATAAATTAAGAAAAAAAATCAAAAGAAGTTTTATGTTATTGCCTAGAATTTTGTTCAACTAGTCAAGAATAAAAGCATAAGAACTGCCTATTTTTCTTTGAAAAATAAAGAACATTGGTGTGCCAAATGGACTCTAACAAAACTTTGAATGAAGATAACCAGAAATTATCAACCAAAATATCATGCAGATAAATGCTTATTTTAATCTAGAAAAGTTATAGCTGAAATTTGAAAACATTAAATAAGATAAGAAAGTAATAACAGATTTACCCTCAAGTTTTTATCATCTGTATCAACATCTGTTGACGTATCAGTCATAGCACTGACGTCTGCCATCGTGTAGTACCACCAACTTCACAGACAACCACTTCAGATTGGGAACTCGTTTGTAGACTCTTTCTGTAAAAGAACTGAATTAACATGATGTCTATATAAGGATAGACTTGATGAAATTAAGTTGACAACTGCACAAAGATACTGTACAACTGTATCAAAATGCAAAAGAAACTTCACCTAGTGAGCTTTGCTAAGTATACCAGACGTGAGTCCAGACAAAAGCAAATTAAAGATGAGTACTGAAATGTAGTACTTCATGAACACTAAATTTTGTTCACTATATGGAAGCTCATTTGCCAAACATTTAGCTATAGCAAAGAGAAATCACATCTATCTCATATTTAGTACGAGGCCTCAGCCCCACTAACATTGGCCATCAGATCTCATGCTTCACAAATTAACCTACAAGAAGATTTAATCATTCTTCTAAGAAGCTCAAGGAAACACTCATTTGAGAAACACGTGAGAGAGCCGACTGCCTTAGAATTATTGCAAGCTGAACAAGGAGACAAAAACATAGCATAGATTCAGCATCGTTGAGAATCCTTTGGCATATAGTGCTCTACTCTCTGGTTGGGTGGTGCCTCTAATCAGATGATCGCCTATTGTTTTGAGTCTCTAATGTGAAATTACTATTGCTACATGCATATGCTGAAGTTCTTCGTAATCGTCATTTTCTCATTAATTTTTCATTGCCTTCTCCATTTTAGAATTAATGCACTACCAATAATATTGAACTTTAAGATAAGCTAGATAGGTCTCTTCAATCTAGAGAAAGAATTGGTCTAATCATGAGCTTGCTGGAAAAATGGCCAATGAGGTATGCTAGAGAAGAAAACAGCTTATGGAGGGAGGTCATTCACAAAAAGTATGGAACATTTAGCCATTGGTGTACCAAGACAGTGAACACCCGCTATGGAGTAAGCATATGGAAATCCATCAGGGCTCTTTGGGATGTCTTTGCAGGAAACACTGAACTACCTCCGGGGAATGGTAGAAAAATTGCTTTCTGGAATGATAAATGGATTGGCCAGGAACCTTTGAAGTTTGAAGGACGGTTTTCCAGAATTTCATAGACCGACTGTGAGTACTGATGCATTTATCAGTGCAGTCGGGAATCAAAATGGATGGAATTCTAACTTAAGAAGAGGGCTAAATGATTGGGAGATGGAAAGACTGACTTCCTTTTTGCAGATTTCATAAGGGCTGAGAGAACTCAACAATAATGAAGATGTTTTGGTATGGAAGGACAGGGGAAACAAGGTGTTCACAATCAAGGGTGCCTATGCTTTCTTTAGTAATGAGGGCCATCACTCCAGTTGACATTGGAAGCAGATCTGGAAGGCAAAAGCACCCTCTAGAGTGAATTGTTTCTCATTGTTTTTTTTTTTTAACTTAATTGTTTCTCATGGTTGGTGGCTAGAAAAGCCTGTTTTAAGTTAACTCATGAAAAAGTTCAGAGAAGGGGTATGCAGTTGGTATCCATATGTTGCCTCTGCAATGCAACAGCAGAAGATAACCGACAATTTTTTTTCACATTGTGTATATACTGCCCAGCTGTGGCAGCTTTTTGTGGTTCTGGCTAACCTTAAATGGGTTATCCAGGAAACACTTTCGAACTTTTGATAGCTTAGGACCAAGCTAGGAGGAATGTAAAGCAGAAGAAATGGTGGAAGGCAATTCATTTGTGCTTTTGGTGGACCATCTGGACGGAAAGAAATAGCAGATGCTTTGAGAACAATAGTAACCCAATGCAGAAAGTCTTTATGAACTGTAGCTAGCATTTTTGGTGTAAAGAATTTTGTATAGAGGATGTTGATGCCATCCTAGACTTTTTGGTGAAGTGTACATAGGCTTTATTCTTTTATTTGTACTACTGTTGCCAGTCCAATCTTTTTGTACTGATGAATACAATGAACCATTCTAAAAAAGTGAATTTCCACGAGTAGAGTTTGTTAATTTTCCCTTCATAGTTTCTAAAGTTTCAACTTTCTATGCAAGTTCAGATTTCTCCAAAGTAAAATAAATATGATATCTTTTGATTCCTAATTTATAAAAGGTTCTCCAAGGCGCTACACAGTTGGGCCTATGAAAAAGGGAAGAGAAACACAGCATATGAGAGGCAGGCCAACTTGCTTTAATATGGGTCTCATTGAAGGAGAGGAATAGGCGAACTTCGAATTGATTTGAAAATGACTTTGTACATTTGAGAAATAGTTTCTAGTTTCTTTTTGGTGCACCATGAAGTTCCTAGTCATATAGACAATGTATTTACTGGAGAACCAGACTTTTGAAACAGGAATTTTACCAGATTACTAAAACTGCATAGCCAAACCAAAAAGAGAACAAAAAAGATTGAAAAGTTCTTCATGTAACGCAAACACAAGCAACAGCAAATACCAATTTAGGAAGGACAAATTGAAAAGCTGAAGAATTATGGATATCTCAACACAAATAATCACACATTTTTTGAAGAACATCTGCCCATCTCATTTAAGTTTTCTACATACAACACAACAATTTTGGCTCAATCCAAAGTTAGTTGGAGTTGGCTATATGAATCCTCTATGCCAATTCCTCTACAGTTTTAGACTCATTTCATTTCTATCAGGGGCAGAGCTAGAAGCTCAGGGTTGACTAGAAGGAGTTGCACAGATGGTAAGCATCACTCACCTCCAACCTAAGGTTTTGGGTTCGAGTAACCAAGTGAGCAAGAAAGGGTGGCAACTCCTAGGGAGGGATAAAAAATAAAAAGAAAAAACTACTCAAACAGTATATTTGAATTAAGAAATTCATTTAAGTTATATAAATATTACATTTAGAAACCAGTTACTAGCACTTGAAGTAGTCATTTTAAAATCCACAACCCATGAAGTTGAAATCCTAGCTCTGTCTCACCTTTGATTCCAATGCAAATCAGGATTTCCTTTATGTAAGAAAAGAATATGTTATTCTCTAAAGTTTCAGACAAGAAAAAGAAAAGATTGTTCATCTATTATCTAATTCTAGACACACTTAACCCCAGCTGAACTTCTGTCATATGATTGAGAATCATTTGCATCTTATATATAATAGAACCCAACAAAATTTTCTCCCTCTAACCTCCCCAGCACAATTAATAAAACTTGCTCATCAAATCTTCATAAAGAACAAATATTTTCACCTTCCGCCCAAAAGACGGACACCCCCTTCTACAAATAGTACACAAAAAGCAGCCAAGTACATGATAACTGAATAGAAAGATAGGCGAGTGACTTACAGTTAAAGAACGTGAAGGATCTGTTGGGAAAAAACTAATACTTCAACAGATAACCAAAATCAGAGAAACAGACTCAAATCGTTTTCTTATTTTACTACAATTTTCTTTTGAGCCAAAGGTCTTGGTGCACATACAACAGAACAATTATGCCTCAATCAAAGTTAATTGGGGTTGGTAATATTGATCCTCTATGTCGGTTCTGCTACAGTTTAGACCCAATTCATTCCAATGCTCAATATTTTGTTTCAAGACACATCATGATTTCCTTTACAGCAGCAACAACGTACACAGTGTAATCCCACAAGTGGGATCTTGGGAGGGTACACAGTATACGCACACCTTACCCCTACCTTAATTAAGTTAGAGAGACTATTTTCGATAAGACCCTGGGCTCAAAACAGATAAAAAAGACAACAACAGCAACAAGCAGGGAGAACAACAGGAAAATACAATAATCAAGGCTAAAGAATCAACCAATAGACACACTAAAATCAAGCTGAGCTTCAGACCTATATGATCGAGAATCATTTGCATCTCAACAGCAATAACATACCCAGTGTAATCCCACTAGTGGGATCTGGAGAGGGTACACAGTGTACGCACACCTTACCCCTACCTTAATTAAGATAGAGAGACTATTTTCGATAGACTCTGGGCTCAAAACAGATAAAAAAAGACAACAACAGCAACAAGTAGGAACAACAAGAAAATACAATAATCAAGGCTAAAGAATCAACCAATAGACACACTAAAATCAAGCAGGGCTTCAGAGCTATATGATCAAGAATCATTTGCATATCAACAACCACAATATACCATTGTAATCCCACAAGAGGGGTCTGGGGAGGGTACACAGTATACACACACCGTACCCCTACCTCAACTAAGGTAGATAGACAATTTTAGATAGACCCTCCACTCAAAACAGATAAAAAAAAGACAACAGGCAGTAAGAGCAACAAGAAAATACAACAATCCAGGCTAAAGAATCACCCAATAGACAAACTTAAATCAACCTGAGCCTCAGACCTATATGATCAAGAATCATTTGCATCACATAGATAATAAAACCCAATTTATCAAATCCTCAAAAAGATCAAATCTTTGCACCTTCCGCCCCAAAACACAGACACCCTCATCTACAAATAGTACATAAAAAAATCTAAATACATGATAACTGAAGAGAAAGAAGGGAAAGTGACTTACAGTTCAAGAGAAGGGTCTGTTGGACAAAAAAAAAACTGAGACTTCAACAGATAACCAAAATCAGATTAAAAAGACTCAATCTTTTTCTTCTTTTCTTACACCCCTTATGGTTTTTACTTCCAAATTCTTCTTCTTCTTCTTCAGAATTCAGTAAATCAGTGAAATCAACTAAAGTTTTTTCAGCAAAAAAACAAAACTGAAGTCATCTTTCTTCATTCTCTCTTTCTTTTGTGTGTTGGGGGTGGGTTGCGACGGGGGTGGGGGAGTGGGGGGTGTTATTTTATACATATAAGCTATAGCTTTGTTTCACTATGAATTATTTATTTCTAAGAAAATATCAATATTTTAGCCAAATTGAGTGGATATGTCCGTCGCTAATATTTTAGCACAACCATGTTTTTATCGTCCAATACTTGATTCAAATTTATTCTTACTCACCGCACACTAATTAGATAATTGATAAGCAGTAAAAAAACAAATATATCTCCTAATTATTATAAATGATATGCATAAACATTTGGGGAAAAGGATAAATATATTCTGAACTATCGTAAATAGTATGCAGATACCCTCCGTCATACTTTTGGGACATTGGTGCCCCTGCCGTCCAAAAACTAGAACATATATGTCATTCACTCTAACGGAAGACTAAAGAGGACACGTGACGCAATTTTATCCATCAATCCGACATTTAATAAATATCAGGTCGATGAATAAAATTATGACACGTGTATGTCTGTTAGTATAAACTGCACATATGCTCTAGTATGGAAAACAAGTTGCACAAATAACTTAGGTATGCTTTCTAAAATGTAGCTTTGATAGATATTTGACAATTTTTTAGCATAACTAGAAAAAAAAACTATAACTTTTAAAAAAACTTAATAGTCCTTCTGCCCAAATTTCTAAAGTAAAAAAAACTTCGTGTACGTTTATTAAACTTTATACTTACTATAAACAATAAACTTATAAAATTATTATTTACTAAAAATAGTACTTTCGAAAAGCACTCTAAACCTTCCATATTACAAACATTTTTTTTTTTCAACTCTTTAAAAAAACAAATTAGGAACACTAGGAAATTTATTTTATTTTAAAAATAAAAGAAAGAAAAAACAAAAAGTTGAAAAGAATAAAAAGCATTATTTTTTCTTCCTACAATTTCTCACAATCAATCTTAAGTAATAACCTTCATGTTCCAACATTGAATCTAAACTTCCTCTTGCATTAAACAATACTATACAATTCATAATGAATATTCTCTCTTTAAACAATAATTATTTCTTTTCTCTTCACCCCCTAATTTTTCACTCATTTGATTCTAATACGTTTTTTTTGTTTTTCTAATTAATTTTCTGTATTTGAGATTCAGGCGTAATAATTGTTATCGTTACGGTATTGTTGAATCTCTCTCAATTATTGTGTAGTCTTTTCACCTTCATTTCTTTGCATTTAAGTTTGTGCTAATTTCCTTCTCTCTGTTTGAGATTGAGGCGTAATAATTGTTGTCCTTACGTCGTTGTTAAATCTCTCCCCATTATTGTGTGTTTCTTCACCTTCATTTCTTTGCATTTAGGTTTGTTGTAATCTCTTTCTCTCTGTTTGAGATTGAGGCATAATAATTGTTGTTAATCCTTAGCTTACGTCGTTGTTACATTTAGGTTTCCTATAATCTCCTTCTCTCCTTTAGAGATTGAGGCATAATAATTGTTATCGTTACATTTATTATGTAATTTCCTCACCTTCATTTCTATGCATTTAAAAGTTTGTTCTAATTTCCGTCTCTCTTTTTGAGATTAAGGCGTAATAACTATTATCTTTACGTCATTGTTGAATCTCTCCACATTATTGTGTAATAATTATTTCCTCACCTTCATTTCTTTTCATTTCAAATCTCCTTCATTCCTATTTCAAATTGTGGTGTAATCATTGTTATCCTTACGTAATCTCTCCCTAATTATTCACCTTCATAATTACTTCCCTTTTTTTTTTATCCCCAAATAAAAAATGGGGAATTGTTGCTCTAGTGGAGAAGAACAACCAAATGAAACAACCAACAACAACAATGAAAGCAACAACCCTAAAAGTGTAGAAAACAATTCATCTACACATAAAAATAATTATTATTATAATAATCTTGATCAAGGTTCAACAACACCAACAAAAACATCTCCTAGTCCATCATCAAAACCATCAAAACAATCACCAATAGGACTAGTACTAGGTAGACCAATGGAAGATGTTAGAACAACATATACTATAGGAAAAGAACTTGGTAGAGGACAATTTGGTGTAACACATTTATGTACACAAAAACAAACAAGTGAACAATTTGCATGCAAAACAATAGCTAAGAGAAAACTAGTTAACAAAGAAGATATTGAAGATGTTAGAAGAGAAGTACAAATAATGCATCATTTAACAGGTCAAGAAAACATTGTACAACTCAAAGGAGCTTATGAAGACAAACATTCTGTACATTTGGTCATGGAATTATGTGCTGGTGGTGAACTTTTCGATAGAATTATCGCGAAAGGACATTATACAGAACGCGCTGCAGCTTCATTGTTAAGAACAATTGTTCAAATTGTTCATACTTGTCATTCTATGGGAGTTATTCATAGAGATCTTAAGCCTGAAAATTTTTTACTTCTTAGTAAAGATGAGAATGCACCTCTTAAGGCTACGGATTTTGGTCTTTCCGTCTTTTATAAGCAAGGTACGTATATATCGATCATTTTTATATGTCACTATAGTTAAAATTATGATTGGTTGGACATTAGGTGCGATGATTTTAAGGAAATGTGTCTTGTTTCAAATATTTGTCATACTAGAAAGTTCAAGAAAAAAATTAGGTTTTTTTTTTATTGCAATTCTATCCTATTTACTCCAACAAGGCACATAGAGTGTGTTCACGAAAACATTTTTCAATTTTCTCATAAAAAAAAAGGTCTTTTTCTTGTTGCAATTCTACCGTATTTACTCCAACAAGGCATAATATAGAGTGTGTTCGATCCGATAGGGAGGAAAATATTTTTCAATTTTCTCATGTTCAGTTTCTTAAAAATGACTCTTCCAGTAGAAGTATGAAAAACAAGTTCCATAAAGATCATTTCATACTGATTGTGTTCTCCCCATCCTCCAAACACAGCTCATGTTCACCCCCACCCATGTATCCCCCACCACCCCATGTACACCTCTATCTCCATCTCACCTTTTATAGTATTTGTCTAGATTATATACAAAATACATTCCGGATAACATTTTTTGCTTACGTACTGCACTATCGGTCATAAGAAAACAATTTCTGTAGAAAAAAATGACTCTCCCAGTGGAAGTATGGAAAACAAGTTTTACAAATAACATTCTATATTGATTGTGTTCTCCCCCACCTTCCAGCACTGCTCATGTTCACCCCCACCCGGTATCCCCACCACCCCATGTACACTTCTATCTCTGCCTCACTTTTTATAGTATTTGTCTAGATTATATATACAAATACATTCATGATAACATTTTTGCTTGCGTACCAGACATAAGAGAAAAAGTAAGAAACCTATTTATTTTCCTAGAAAACGTATAATTACCCCATTAAGGAAGATTTATAAAGGGTGATTTAGTCAAGTGTTCTTTATAATTAGTGCTATTAAATAATTTTTCAATAACTTGTAAAAATATATGTGAAAATTTTGGTTATATTATATGTTTGTTTTGTGCAGGAGATGTATTTAAGGATATTGTAGGTAGTGCATATTATATTGCACCTGAAGTATTGAAAAGAAGATATGGACCAGAAGTTGATATATGGAGTATTGGTGTTATGTTGTATATTCTTCTTTGTGGAGTTCCTCCTTTTTGGGCAGGTAAAATTTACACCACACATATATAATTATTGAGAAAAATCCGACCCTTTGTTAAACCCCGCGCTATGTTATTTTGATAAAATATTATTGGATCAAATGTCACATACGTTATTGAGAATTATTCTCAAACGAAATGAAATTCGGATTAATATAGCATTAGAAATATTTTTCATTCGTTAGTTAGGAAGATACGTGGCCGTGAATAAAGTAGAGTCGTGGAAACACTTATTTCATTTGTATTTTAGGCCTTAGTCCAGCAGACACTTAGTGCACTGAGCTGTTTTTTAGTAATTTATAGATGGAGTTGCGAAAACTTCTGGATAGGTATTCTATATCTGAATCGAATTCTTTCTGGTTAAAGAATCTCTTTCTAGTTGCTCTGGAACAATTAGGAGATTCTCTAGAAGAAATACAGGGTTTCCCAACTGACAAGCAGATGCGGAGCCAGAAATTTTATCAAGGGTAGCCAAGAATAATGATGTGTGACTGTCAAAATAAAAAAATAAAAAAAACAAGCATTGTGCTATTTGAGGTTCAAACCCAGAATTTCATGATTCAAATAGACACCCATTACTACTCCGTCAAAGACGTAGCTTTTATCAAGGATGTCCAACTTAAAATATATATCATTTTAATGAAATATATATATGACGTAATTTTCCGGTGAAGGGTGTCCAGTTAGACACTCTGGAATGGCTATAGCTCCACCCCTACTGACAAAGGAACTCAAGTGAAAGACATTGACACTTCCACTGCTCAGGCTCTTATCATTTAAAAGAAACTGCACGATTAGTTGTGAATAAGATCAACCCTCTAACATGGGAAATTATGGTATTTGTATATAATAAAATAACAATAGCTATGTTAAATTCATTGAATATTGTTTTTTTAATTATTTTTTATTTTATTTTTAGAAAATGAAAATGGAATTTTCAGTGCAATATTACGTGGACATGTTGATTTTTCAAGTGATCCATGGCCTTCAATTTCAAGTGGAGCAAAAGACCTAGTCAGAAAGATGTTAACTGTTGACCCTAGGCAGAGGTTAACTGCTATGCAAGTCCTAAGTAAGTTTTTTTTTTTTACATCTTTTGAATTACTAGTAATTTTATATTTCGGGTAAACAGATGAGTCGGTTATGGTAGACTTCTATCCGATAGGGTTTGTGGAATTGAGAATTTTTTAATTTCCAGTATAATAAAAATCAAAATGTTTTGAGGTGGTATGTCATGTGGCGTCTATCATACTTAAATATCAGGTCATGTGGATTTTCAATTTGTCACGGTGAACGAGTGTTAAAAAGAGGGTATTTTTGTTAACTTTAGTAAAGACAGAGTATATTTGACCTTAAAATATAATTAGGGATATCTACATAGCAGATAGACCAAAGTAAAGGGGTATTTTTGACCTTTTTTCCTTAATTTATGGAGAGGGATCACACTACTTATTACTTCTAGAGATAATTACAGTTCAATATCTTTGAGTGATCTAATTTACAAAATAGTCAGCAAATATATATAAAACTTTTGTATATTTAACTACAGAGATACATAACCAATACATAATTTTTGTATATTATATACCAGCCAAGAGTGATAAATGTTTTTTTATCCTTAACTAAAGACTTCAGGTTTGAGCCCTTAAAATGAAGGTATTTTTGGTAAGAGTGATTTATCCTCTTTTTAGTCAGGCCTTAAAGGGGAATATCAAACACCAAATGAAAAACTAATAAAATATATATTCAACTAATATTATATAAAATAATAATATCCATTTTAAGATTTTTAAAACCCTCATGTTGTCTAACAAATTGTTGTATATATATATTAAGATCATTCATGGATCAAAGAAGACGGAGAAGCACCAGACACACCTCTTGATAATGCTGTATTACATAGGCTCAAACAATTTAGAGCTATGAACAAATTCAAGAAAGTTGCTCTTCGGGTAATGTTGTATTTTACTGTTTAACTACAAAATTTATCCGTCAGATATTATGTTGAGTATTTTCAAAAGTAGACTAAATTAATTACTTTGAGTTTTTGTTTTTAGGTTATTGCAGGATGTCTATCAGAAGAAGAAATTATGGGATTGAAGCAAATGTTCAAAAATATGGATACTGATAATAGTGGAACAATAACACTTGAGGAATTAAAACAAGGATTAGCCAAACAAGGGACTAAATTATCTGATTATGAGATTAAACAATTAATGGAAGCCGTAAGTTTTATCATTCGTATTCATTCACTCTAATCTGCTCAGCTAATATAATTATTTTTTCTGAGAAAAAACAAGCTTTTTCGAGTTATTCAATAAAGTTGCCCCTATGTCCTTCTTTCTTATTTTGATTACTAGATAAACCTTTCACAAGAATAATCCTGATTTTTTTTCCTCTAAATTATGGATTTAGTTTATTCATTTTGAATTTTAATGAATATTGACGATACATATAGCTGACTTTAACTTTCTTCTGTGTGTTTAGAAACTTTGTTTGAAATAATTAATACATGCACATATACAATAATGATTTTTCTTTAAATTTTTTAAACCTAAAATATTTACCATGACATAGTATTTTTTTTTAATTCTAATGCTAATTAACTACCTTTTTTTATGTATTGGGAAAAAAAATTAGGCTGATGCTGATGGAAATGGGACAATAGACTATGAAGAGTTCATCACAGCAACAGTGCACATGAACAAAATGGATAGAGAAGAACATCTTTACACTGCATTCCAATATTTTGATAAGGATCATAGTGGGTAAGTTTTATCATAGATGAGATTATTTTATTTTATTCATCTATATTTCATGAGTTCGAGTTGCGAAATCAGTCGCTGATACTTGTACCAGAATAGGCTATCTGCATCAAACCCCTTATGAATTCGAGCTGTGAAATCAGTCATTGATACTTGTATCAGCATAGGTTGTCTGCATCACACCCCTTAGTGAGTTGAAGCTATAAAATCAGTCAGTGATACTTGTATCAACATAGGTTGTCTGCATCACACTTCTTAGCGAGTTCGAGCTGTGAAATCAGTCACTACTGATACATGTATCAGCATAGACTATTTGCATCAAATCCCTTATAAGTTCGAGCTGTGAAATCAGTCACTGATACTTGTATCAACATAGGTTGTCTACATCACACCCCTTAGTGAGTTTGATCTGTGAAATCAGTCACCGATACATGTATCATCATAGACTGTCTGCATCACAACCCTTAGGGGTACGCGCGGCAATTCTCCATACCTTGCATGAATGCAGATGCTTAATGCAATGGATTGTCTTTTACTTGAATTTTGAAATTTGGGGTATTCTCAATTACTAATGATTTTTTTTTTCCTTAGATATATATCAAGAGAAGAGTTAGAGCAAGCTCTTAGAGAATTTGGTATGGATGATGAAAATGATTTGAGGGAAATCATTAATGAAGTTGACACAGATCATGTAAGTCAAAACTAAACAACAAATTATATACATAATCAATTTCGCAATTATTAATTAATTTCGCGATTTATTGATCATAATATATATTTTTTTTAGGATGGTCGGATCAACTATGATGAGTTTGTAGCAATGATGAAGAAAGGAAATCCAGAGGCAGCAACAATGAATCCAAGAAAAAGAAGGGATTCATTTGTAGCATAAAGTAATTAATTTCATCATCAATGAAAAAATGTATGCAAAAAATCAAAAGACTAGATTATTTGTTGTGATGAAATTAAAGACCAAATTGTTACATGGTTAAAAGAAGGATAAGGTTTTAGAATTTATAGGTATGTTGAAAAATACAATTTGGTTAAAGGATAGTTTGATCCGGACACGACTCTCATTCCATCAGGAAGATCAATAGTATTTTTATTTATTCTTTAACGTGACTTAAATCCGCAACTTATCAATTGATGATGTAGGTGATCAATTAGTAAAGTAAATCTCGCTTTTCTTTGATCGAGATATGATGTGAGGACTTTAGAGGGTATATGTTTCTATGTTTCTTGCAATTAAAAAGTAGGATTTTAAAAGTTTCTTTTCTAATTAATATAATTAATTACCTTCTGGATTATCAATTCAAATTGTGTTTGTTAGTAATTCTTTTTATATATATCTAACTTTGTGATGTATTAAAAATGTGACCTTTGGGCTTTAAGATAAAGATGTGGCATACTCTATCTAATATCCTCACTCAGATCTTCTTTGGGCCTACTTTACATGTCTTACAGCTTGCTATCGATAACCTCTCACACCTCCTAATTAGTGCATTTGAGTACATATTTTTTATATGTCCTGACCATCTCAGCTCGATTTCCTGATCATATTCACCACAGAGGCCACTTCAACCTTGTCATGTATAATATTATTTCTAATCTCATCTATCCTAATATACTCACACATTCATCAAAGTATCCTCATTGTCACGACCTTTATCTTTTTAACGTGTGTGTTCTTGACTGACTAACATTCTTCCCCATACAACAAAATAAGGCTGACCATCGCTATGCAGAAATTACATATTAGCTTTAGCGAACGGTTCTTATCATACATTATCGTAACGATAGCCTCCATTTCAGCTACCCTGCTCAAATGTAAAAAAAAAAATTAAAAAATTAAAAGCCACTACCAAAAATGGTGTATGCTGACCTCAAAATTACCGACTTTCAATGGAAGTTGATATTGTTTAAAAAAATATAAAATAATTTTTTAAAGAAAATCGACACCCTGAAATCGAATTTTATGCAAGAAAAAAATGCGAAAAAACTACATACTGACATTCGGAGGTCGAAAATTTTCTCGAAAAAAATAAATACAAGAAAAACCGATTGATTGTAGTCGGTATTGAATTAATCAATAAATAATAGTATTTCATTTATCTCAATTAAATATGAAAAATAAAAATAAAAAATTTAATAAATTTAATTAAACCGTCCTCCAGAGGACGGTCATGTGAAAAATAAAATCCCCAAAAATAATAATAATATCGACTTCCAAAAGTTGATAAAATTAAATTTTACGTAATTAAATTAAATTTTATTAAAATATTTATATAGTGATTTATGGCTACACAAACGGTTGAGTACCAAAAGTCGATATCTTTATTTTTATTTAATTAGTTTTATTAAAACCAACCTCCTATGGTCTGTAATATAGTTAGCAAAAGAATAAAATTTAATCTTATCTAAATTTAAAATACAGAAAACTTATCAAAATAATATTTTCAACTAACTTTAAATAAATCATATTTTGAAAGACAATTTTATTAAAATAAAAAATAAAATAATATAGAATACTGACCGCTGAATGTCGGTATTATTTATTTTAACATGATTAATTTTATTTCTATTAAAATTTCATATGATGCCGACATCCGGAGGTCGGTATATTTTATTTATCCAACTATTTTTAATAAAATCGACCTCCGAAGATCTATTTATTAAAAATATTTTTATTAATCATTATTTTTCTATTGTGTACGACACTAAGTTTTCATTATACGCTTACCATTAATTCTATAACAACTTCATATAATTTTATTTTTTAAAAAAAAAATTCATGAAATATAGACAAAGAAATACGGATAATTCATATTCAGAGTATGAAAATAACATCTATCTATATATAAAAGGAGAAGAAAAAATGTCACGTGTCAGCATCACAAAAAATAATACTCTTATTTATTAAAAAATCAATTAAAAAACTGATTTTAAAAAAACAATAATTGCCATTAAAAAAATTAAAAAACTTATTGTAAAAAAAAGAAGTTAAAACGGTCAATTAATAGTTTGTTGTAGAAGTGGGGTAGTTTATTTTTCATTCATTTTAAAAATTAATAGAAAATCTGTAAAAAGAACTCACCACAAAAAAAAGAATTAATTTAAAATCTAAGAATCAAAAAATAAAAATAAAAATTTGCAATCACTTAAAAAAACTTTAAAAAACATAAATCATCAAAAAATGAAAATATAAACTAATAAATAGAAAGATATACAAAGTAACGTATGTTTTCCTTTTTAAAATCTGATTTTTTTAGAAAAAAATGCAAATTATGACTTTCTTTGTTTGGAAGTTATTAATTAAATTAAAAAGTTAAAATTTAAAAGAAGAAAGAAAAACCGCACGTTCTTATCTCTCATTGCCCCCACTAACTTGCAAACCCATCCACAATTATATTTCAATTAAAATTCAAATCTTAACTATAGCAAACCACTAATCCCCATTTAAAAATCTTCTTCTTTGGCTTTTAAGTATTCAAACAACGAAAAGTTCTTTGATTAGTAAATAAAGACAGGGAGAAAACATTGTCAACAGTATCTTTTATATGCTCCTTATTCACCCTCATCAAGACAGTGAAATTTTTTTAGAAAATCTTTATATTTATTGTCACAATTTAACATGCATTATGTTTAGTGACTATTTTTGCTCAATTTATGATTATTATTATATTTTATAGATTTATAGATTCTCTCAAAAAATAAACATATTAATTAAAAAAAAAACTGACAAAATACTGATAGGTACAAGTGTTAGTTGATTTTCATTTATTTTAATTCAAGTATTCTACAACTACAGTTACCTATTATAATTACTATTACTTTCTTCTCAATTTTTTAAATGTATGTTTTTATTGCAATTATATATATATCCATTCAAGTAATGAACAACTATTTGTTGTAATATGTTTTTGTTGCAAAATTACATATTCCTTTATTATTTATTATATATATAAGTGTCCATTCAAGTAATGAACAACAATTATAGTGTAATTGATATTTCTTTTTATCTTTATTCGCGTTAGTCTTTGTTACAAATTTGCATATTTTTCTTTCTATAAAATTATAAATTATTAATCTTAATTGTGAAGATTCTCAATTTGTTGATATAATGTAGAATGCAGAGGGGGAGTGAGTGTATATAATATGCATGATTATGTATGTACACATATATAAATAATTATTAATTTAAGAATTTTTTAAAAAAAAATGCACCATGTTAGTCAATGGAGAATTTTTAGGAATAATGGTAGAGAATTTTAAGGAATAATTTCAAAATTTAAAATAAAAATTACTGTAGCAGTTTTCAATTATATAATCCACCAAAAAAATTACAAAAATATTATACAAAAACTGTCGTCTTTTATTTATTTCTTTTTAATTTGTAATTTGAATTGTTTAAATCGTAATTTAATTGATATTTTTTTATTTTCAAATTGGTGAAAACTTCTCATCAATTATTTATTATCTTCTCCGATATAAAAACGCTTTATGATTAAAGAACACAAACATTTCGATACCAATTCTAATAGACTTTGTTGATCATCATACAAATATACTTTTGGTCTGTGCCATGCATGTTTTAACCAACTTTTTTATATTTTATTAAATTATCATAAGCACAATCACACAATATGTGATAGTTAAATATCTTTTTGAATAATTTTGTACTTGGATATACTAACGATATAAATGTTTAATTTTAGATTTTCACTTTGCTATTGAAGCTTATTAAACATATGTATGATATTATTGTAATATAATCCATCATGGAATGGCATACATATGAATTTCTTATTTTAACAATTGCGTTAAAATACACAATATAAACATAATATGAAAGTATGCCCTTTTTTACAATATATATAGTAGGTATTTTGAGGGACGACAACTTTAAGAAAGTGTTCTATAATTTTTTTACTTCTAAACTGCAACTACAAAAATATTATGTTTATTAAAATTAATTTACGTTTAATGGTAAAATTTACTAATAAAATTATTTTGTTTGAAATAAGTTATAGTTCTAACTTGAATCTATAAAAGGATAAATTTTATTTTTAAAAACTATTTATAAAGGATAATATTTGCTTAAAATTAGTTAATTAAATTAGTGTTAAATGTAAAATTTTAAATTTTGAATTTGAATTGGAAGTCACATATTGATCTTCTCTAATTTGAATTGAAAATTAACTCTATATCATATAAATTCGAATTTCAATTTAATATTTTTTAAAGAGGTTGCATGTACGCTCAATTATTTTTATTTCAATCGTGCAAATTAATAAACTAATTAAAAATAAATATTGACAATTTAATTTTAAAATCGTGAACTATATAATGAAAACAAAAACGTGAAACAAAAAAATTATTTGATGCTTGCATGATTCGTTGTCTCTATTCATATATATATAGATGTGATTATTGGAGTTAGAGGTAGAGAAGAATGAATGTTAGTATGTTTCATTGTGGAATACTATAGTTGCATTTTCTTTAGAGCTAACTCATCGGTGGCCCCCTAAACTTGGCACATCTTTCACTTAGACACCTCAACTAAAGGATTTTCATTTTAAACACCTAATGTAGGGTTCCCATGTGTTACTTTAACACTTTTTGCACAGGTAGAGTGTCGCGTGATTTTCACTCATTCAAGGCGCGTAAACATCAAAATTTCGTCTGATGTGGCGTCCCCAACGGTAATATTACTTCATATCATCTATTTATATTATTTTTTCTCCAATTGTACCATAACTAAGACCCCAATTTCTCTCTTCTTCAGCCTTTCTTTAATTCTTGGCCCTTAATACTTTCATGTCGAGCTTCTCCAATTCTTCCATGGCATCTGTGGATGAAGGTCGATATTGTAGGTGTGGTAATGAAGCACTATTAAAGACTTCATGGACCCAATAAAATCCAGGGCGTAAATTTTTTACTTGTAGAATTTCAAAGGTAAAATTCTTTGTTCCCTTATTTTTTTCAAGTCAATTAGATGATTAATTGTTGGCGTCTAATTCTTTTTGATTGGTTTTATAAAAAATGGGTGGTTGTGACTATTTTCTTTGGTATGAAGATCGACACCCTCCACAAGCAAACAGGGTAATGTGGGGATTGTTGAAGAAAGTCAATGCTTTTGATGAAAAATTAAAGCGAGCAAGAAATATATTTATGTTGGTGTCGTTGCTACTGGGTTGCTGATGTTTGGAATATGGAAATTGAAGCCTAATTGCTAGTGTTCTTGAGGTGTTCGGTCTAGTAGTATTTTGATGTTATTGTTGCTGTAAATTTTCGATGTAAATGTGCATTTTGGATTCAATGAAATTCTATGTTGTTGCAGTAAAATTGGTTTTTTGGCTACATACAAATCTCAAATTCGTTCTCACTAACACCAAAAACAAATAGCCAAATTACACAATTGGTCATATTCGTCACAATGTAACACCCAAATTACATAAAACATAGACAGTTATATTGGATGCTCCATAATGAGCTCAAAGTTAGCATTATGCTACATACCATTCAAGGCTATAACCTTCAAAAAAGTGTACCAAAATAAGGTCCCCAAAATAAAGCTAGCATAATCAAAAGCTACATACAACCTTCACAAAAGTGTTTACTAGTATCAAAATAAGGGCCTAAAATCAACCTATTCTAAGTTGGTGCTACTTCTTTTTTTGTTTGCCATTTGCTGCAATTAGGAAGTGGTGACAGCCTCCTTGTTTTTCCATCTCAAGCCTCTAGGCTTAAAACCAAGGTCTATACCCGTTAAACTTGCATCCTTATAACTTAAACCTGTTGGTAGAATCCTTTGACTTGAAGTCCCAGGCTGTTTTTTGAAGAAAAAATCAAAATTAATATATAAACTTGCATTTATTTCAGAGACAGTTTGTGACAAACTTACGTTTAGTATTTGGGTTCCACTTGCACTTGTATAGATGCCAAATCCAACATTACTTGATCCACTATTAGTTGGCCTCTTTGGTCCCCCTCTTGCATAATCTTCTCTAGTTGCAACTCTTCCTCTTTTTTGTCCAGCAGTTTGTCTTATCTTTGTAGGTAGTTGACTGGTTATTCCTCTTGTAACAGGAATACTTGTATCCACAAATGGTGGTGGTTGGCTTGTTTTTGTAGTTTTCCTTGCCCTCTTAACTCTACTGGTATCACCACAAACTGTTGTTGAAGAAGCATGACTGTTTGATGTTGTTGAAACAGGTTGGTTGAATCTTGTTGGTCCAGGTTGGAAGGAGCTTGTTGGTTCAGGATGGCAACTTTCTTGTGAACTTTGACCAGCAGTAAATTGTGAACTGTGGCTAGCTGGTTGTGAAGTATGGACACCAACCTAAATATCAAACATAAAGTTTCATTACATTCAACAAGAATTTTAAAAAGGCACAAACAAATAATAAGCTATTTTACCTTGCAATATTTCTTGTTGTGGCCTTGTTGTTTACACTTGGAACAAGTAATTTTCAACCCTTGTTTGGACATCTTTCCATACTTCTTTCTTGGTTCATCTTTACACTTTCTTTTATTTCTTGGAGGTCTACCAGGCATTTGCTTAGGTTCAGGAGGCTCAATCCTTGGATTGTTAGTTTCAGGCCACATCTTCATATTTGAAATTGGTTGAATAAAATGACTATAAGCCTTTAAGAATGTATCCTTCCTATATCAATGCTCCACAAGTGATTCAGGTTCATGTTCTATGTGGTACAAAGCAGAAATAGCATGTTGGCATGGAATGTCTCTCAATTGCCAAGTTCTACAGCTACAAACTCTATTAGTCAAGTTGACTGTATGCCTATACTGCCCTTCTCCAATCTCAAACCCAACATCAGCATTCCACAGCACCTTGCATGCCCTAGACTTTTCCTTATTCTCCTCCAACATAAGTCTAGCCATAGGTGCAATATCACATATCCATGTGTCAGCAAACTTAACTATATCCACAGTTCTAGTCATTAATTTTCTCCTAATTTCCTCCAACATGGTTATTATAGATTTGTGTCTACATGATAAGATCCATGAGTTAAAGGTTTCACACATGTTATTTTCAACTGCATCACATTTGGAGTGCTCTTGAAAGAATGCTCTAACCCATGACACTTGTGGATAATGCAATAAATCATCATTAATTTCATTACCAAGTCTGCTCATTTTGTAAAGCTCCTCACTGTACTTCACTTCAAAAGTTTCCTTCGAACATCTCCATAATTGTTTTCGCCTTTCCTCTCCCTTCCATCGTTTACTCCAATTAGACCAGATGTGTCTAGCACACATTCTAACTTCAGCATTTGGCAGCAGTTCACCAACAGCTGCTTGAAGACCCTACAATAAATAGAATTCAATACAATTCAAGAAAGAAAATACATTTTTATATATCTAGAATTATCAAAGTAACAGACAATTACCTTCTGCATATCTGACATTACAGTAAGACCCTGTCCAGTACCCAACTGCAGGTCCTCTTTCAAGTAGTTGATAAAAAAGCTCAAGCTATGTTTAGTCTCCTTGTCCACAACTGCCCAGGCTATAGGAAATATCTGATTGTTTCCATTTCTTCCAACTGCTACAAGAAGTTCACCCTTACAAGCACCCTTTAAGAAACATCCATCAAATCCTATTATTCTTCTACATCCTTCCTTCCACCCTTTCTTCAATGCATCCAAGTATACATAGAAGTACACAAACAAATTCTTTCCTGGTACAGTTTCTCTATCCATCCTTACCCAAACAGAACTACCAGGATTGGTTTGTTTAATGACTTCAGCATAATCACATAACCTTGCAAATTTCATATTCCAGTCACCCATGTTTTCTCTAAGAATCATCATCTTTGCTTTGTAACAAATTGTTCTACCCACTTTTAGTCCTAACTCCTCCCTGTACAACTCTTGTATTTCCCAAATCCTCAAAGATGGTTGTTTAGTTATTTCATCCTTGAATCTACTTGCTAGGAACTTAGTTGTACACATTTTGTTCTTATTTGATGGTAAACACTTGTGTATAGGATAATAATTCTTAATCATAAAGTTACCAGAATCTCTATTAATAGCACCATAGCATAACCATTTGCATTTTTCTTTGAATTTACATTTAGCTCTCACTCAATGAGCTTCATTAGGCCTTAACTTAATCTGATAATTTTTTTCAACAACATATTTTGCCAAAGCCTTTCTAAATTCCTTAGCATTCTCAAAAATCATTCCAAGTTCAAAAATAGCAACAGTACATTGATCATCATACCTGACCTTTTTGCTCTTTCTTCTGCCTGGTAGATCAACACTTCCAACAACTTGTGCATCTAGCATATCAGTGCTATCATCACTATCACATTCTGAGCTATCAATATACTTCTCATCTCCTCCCAATCTGCCAACATATCTATCCTTCTTATTTATTCCAATATCTTCAAATCCTCTATCCACACCAGCCTCACCTATTGGTACTTCTTTAGTTATTGTTTTCTTCTCCCTATCTCTTTTCTTCCTAAGATTAGGATTTCTTTTGTTTCTCCTTTCAGCCCTAAGGGATCTTAATTCTTCATCAACATCTGAATCATCTTCATCTGGAATAACATCTACATCTGTGTCACTACTAGGCAGATCTGATTCAGCTTCATTTTGATTTGTATCACCTCCAGGCAGTTCTATATCAACTCCATTCAAATCAGAATCATTCTCCACAGTTCCCTCAGTATTTATACCCACAGATTCATCAATAGTATCAGACCATGGTAAAAGACCAGTTGGAGCAGGCAATTCTTCCAATTCATCAACTTCATGGACCACATACACATGAAACTCATCACCATCCACCAAGTCTTTCACAAATTCTAACAATTGAGTATCAGAAGTAACTTGAACTAATTCATTGTTATCTTCACAGTAAAATCCCTCACATTTGTATACCCAAGGTCTTTAGTGTAGGAAAGAAACTCGACAAGACTAAAATGGTCTTTATCTATGCCAACACCAAATACATCTACTTCTCGTTGGTAAGTAGGGTTAGGGTTTCCAACAACACACCCCCCATGATGAAAACAAGTTAAAATATAGTTGTCCATATCTCGAAAAGAAGACCCCAATAAAAGGAAATACCCAAAAAGCCCCTTACTTTACCAACCAAAACCTATATTAAAACTGAAAATAAAAAAAGTGGAATCAACAACAATATACACCTTCTTGAAGAAAACAAAAACAAAGGTAGAAAACAAAATACACCATTACCTTTAATTTCTTCAATTTCTCCAATGTCGCACAGCCCGATACCTCGTCAATACAACCTTAAACCTGAAAAATGGCGACATAAAATACAACAATGGTTATTACTAACAACGAATTGAAGGAAATACAAAGAAATACATGTGAAGAGAAGGGAGATTTACCTAGGGTTTTCATCGGAGAAGAGAGAGAATCGTAAGAAGGAAGTTGAAAAATCACAAAAATGGTTCCATTTTTCTTTTAGTTTGAAAAAAAACGACGTGTAAAGAGGTTTAAGAGTTGGTTTCATATAATTGGTCACTTAATCCACGTAGAACGGTTGTCTTGCACGCGCTTATAGTCAACAGATGTCTGTGCAAAAAGTGTTAAAGTAACACATGGGAACCCTACGTTAGGTGTTTAAAATGAAAATCCTTCAGTTGAGGTATTTAAGTGAAAGATCGTGCCAAGTTTAGGGGACCACCGATGAATTAGGCCTTTTCTTTAAGATAATATGATTTAACATGATCAATCATTGCAACTTGAAACAACTAGAAATAATATTTTAATATTATCCGCGCATCGCGCTGGCACATATACTAGTTGATATTAATTAAGAGAATACAACAAATTTCTCTCACCTCGCAGCACCACATCGACCAGCGCCGCCCCTCTCTCACCTCGCAGCGGAACCGGAAGTCGCAGCGGCACCACACGTCGGAGGTAAGGTTTTTTAATTTTCGAAAATGCTAAGTCCATTCTCCGGTGATTTCAGCACCGTGAGAACTTATTTTGTAGGATTAAATCTAGACTTGAATAATAATTCCATTGAAAAGATTAATGTTTGCTGATTGAACATTGTAAACTTGTTGTTACTTGAAATCTCAGTGAGATAACTTCAATGATAATACTTATTTGCTGATTAATGTGAAGTTTTTGTTTGGTTGTCCATTCTGCAATCTCAAAGGTAAGGAATATTTTCTCATTTTCTAATTTTAATACACATTTGTTGCATCTGATTAGGAGTAAGACACACAGATTAGTAATTAATTTACGATTTTCTCTAATCCTCTATTTGTTGCTTTAATGTTAGCACGAACCTATCATAAAGTTTATTGGAACACGGATTTATTAGGCATTCGATTGACATTGAATCTCCCTTAGCATTAGATTAGAAGCAAGTTTTAGTTGATCATGACTTAAAAAAGATTTTATAACTGAATTTGCTTGCTGATATATTCAGCTAATGGGATTTGGATTTATGATTATCATCTATATCTATAGTTTACTATGTTTAATTGACTGCAACTTGTTGTTAATGTTATGGTCTTGCATATATGCTCCACACTACTTTGCTATTAGTTCTTTTAATTACTGTTCTGATTTGCTTGAGCGGAAGGTCATTCAGAAACAATCGATAATGGTAAGGTTTGCTTACACTCTACCCTCCTCAAACCCCACTTTGTGTGATTTCACTGGCTTTATTGTTGTTATTGTTGGTCAAAGGTCTATTAACTCTCCAAAGATTTTCAAATTTCGAGTTAGCTTACGTTGTTCATCCTTTTCTGTGTAAACCTTTCGTTCAGGAGCTGTTTTGTCTGCCATTTTCAAGCGCTCTTATTGATTACATTCTATCATTATGGATGCTCTGAATGAACTGAGCTACAAACCACCCCCAGAATTTGAGGAGGTCAAAAAGGATTCACTTATCAATCTTAACATTGCAGACTCAACTGAGCTCTGGCTTATACAGTGGCCATTTAATCAAGTAAGATTCATGAGAATTTATTGTTCTTCCACTTTTAGGATGTAATAAGGTGCATTCTTTTTTCCTCAATCATCAAAGTGACAATTGAAAATAATATCGGAACAAGTTCCTTTCAACATCTATGTATGTTAGTTTACAAAAGATGATATTTTTGGGGATTTTTTTCTCACATTTTCATAGTCTAAGGAACATTCTCGCATTATCATAGTCTGATGTACATTATTGTCTCTTTTTTTCTTTATCTATGAGATCTTATTTACGTATTCAAAGAAAATATGGATTTCTTTCATCATACAACAGCATAAATCATGCAATTAAAGTCATGCGGTAAACAATGAAGAAGTGAACAGTAGCAACCCCAAAATAATACGATTATCGAAGAAAATGAAACATCAGGTAATACCAAATCAAAGAATAAGATTGTAAGAGAGTAGTAATAATAACAATACTAGGAATGGAACTAGACAAAGCTCGACCTATTAACCTTTTACTCTACCTCCATATCTTCCTATATCTTCCTATCTAGGGTCATGTCCTATGTAAGTTACGACTGGTCCATGTCTTGTTTAACTACCGCTCCCCAAGACTTCTTCAGTCTACCTCTCCTAAACCTCTCACTCCTCACTAGGCCATATGTGCATCTTCTTAGCCTCTACCTCTCCTTACATCCACTATAGCCAACCTCTCTCTCCCCACTAGGGCATTTGTGCATCTTCTCTTCTAGAAGATAATTTTCTAATCCTTGAATTGATGTTTTGTTTGGAAGGTGAGGAAGGGAAAGGAATACAAAATGACGACGAAAGTGAGACAAAGTTTTTCTCTTCCTTCATAAATGCAGGGAGCAAATAGGAGATTTCAGGGAAGAAACTCAGATGCCATGGTCTCTAAGTGAAGAGATTTTCTGTCTCTCTCTATTTCCTTTTCTGGGACAAGCCACGTAAAAATTAACCATCCTTCCCTAGTTTCTAAAAAAAGCAAGAGTTTACTTATGAGATTTACTATGATTTTGGATGGAGTGAGAATGATTGTGCACTTGAGGTTGTAAATATATATTTCAGTCCTTGTCACTTTTACGATTCTGAGTTATGACATTTCCAATTGGCTACTCCAGCATCCAGGTCTTGATGGGCAAGAAATTTCGTTGAAGCTCCATCATGATGGGCACATGGGCAGCTTTGAGGATTCATCTGGCAAGTATAGTCTGAAGAATAACATTTACATCTAATTGAGTTTTTGTCTCCCCACCTCAGCAAATCTAGTATTTATAGCAGCCTTTTTAAAATATAATGAAAATGCTTTTAATTTCTTAAGTCTTGCTCAATTGTTGTTTTTATAACAGGTAAATCATATGAAGTGGTCAGTTGTAGAGCACAAGACCCAGATGCGGTAGTCTTTCTATCTTCTGAGTCTGAGCCAAAAATTGGTAACTCTTAGTTCCTTTGCATTTTGCTATCCATTTGTCTGCTTATTCATTCATGATCTTGCAACACTCAAAATACGCAATTCTGCATGCTTCATAATCTTGCTGTACAAACCATTATGTTTGTACCATGCATTGTTGTCATGTGAGTACTGAAGCTAATGTGACTCGATATCTTTGATGATTTCAATTTAATCTACTATGTCCACATATGACATGCTCGTTTTGTTTGCATATTGAAATTTTACTGCTCTCTCTTAGTTGTGCGGAACTTGCACATAATCCAACTACTAATGCTCTTCTGTTTATATTTTTGGTAGAACTTATTGTTATTCCTTAACGTAAACCTCTATATGATCCAAATGCTGCTAATTTCCCATTCAAGCACAAAATTAAGGCGTTTGAGCAGATTTTGACAGTGATCTGTTTTCAAATTGTTCTAGTGAGCAATATAAAGAACTTTACAAGTCAACTATAAGATATTTACGCCTAGATTGTACCTATGACTCCAGCTTTTATTTGTCAAGGAAATTGTTCTTGAGAGAGCACACACAGAGTCGAACGTGGACTGCATTCAAACAGTATAATCATATGTCAATTAGTGTCCACTTCTTCAAGACTCTCTCTGATGTTTAAGAATAATGTTTTGTTTTGCTTTTTGCACGAAGACTATCCTGTTTACGGAACTATACTATGATCCTTTTTATTTGAGATTCAACTCTTTCTCCCTCACTGTTATAATTGTTGAGCAGTGAGCACCATGTGAGATGGTTTGTTGCACCAATTATGATGCTTTTGCATGTTTTGGCAGCTGGCAAAATTTCGCGGCGTGTTTCCCTTATCCACTATCCGGAACCAAGTGAGCTAAAACAGAACAGCATAAACTTGAAGCAGATGATGGCTCAGAGATCATCTGGTACTACATTGACCAATTCTTCTCGTCGCTTTGCAACTCCTAGTCAAAGTACTAGGACACGGAGTATTATGCGATCAGGGAGTTCATCCAAATCTACCATGAGAAAACACAGTGATGGCCGCCCTGCAAAATCCAATGATCAATCTGTTCAAGATTCAGGCAGAAGTGGTCGTAGTGCATTGACCTCTTCAGGGTCCTTCGAGCACTCTCGAGATCAAAAATCAAAGAAGAAAAGGAAAACTGATGGTTGAAGTGCTGCCTCAAGTGTTCTAAATCGAATTGTTTTTGGTTAATAGAAAGAGCGCGTTAACCATTCAGCCATGAACTCGACCACGACATTAGTTTCTCTCTTATGTTAGTTGTAGAACAAATGTATGAGGTTTTTGTGCCATAGCTTGTGTGCCTTGTTAACAATACATGGATATAAGCATAGAATTGTCCTTTTAACACACCAAATCAAACTTTGGACAGGAAAAAATAGTTTCAACAATATTTTTGCAAGATTAGATTAAAAAAAAAACAGCAATTAAAGATTATAGCCCTCCCAAAAAAGGTTAAAATATTGATTGAAAATATGAATATGTATATTTTAATGTAATAAAAAAAATTAATTAAAATTTTTATAATGGATATTTAAAATAGTTTCTCTATAAAATAATTTTGATATTAAAAGTACATTGATGTTTGTCTTTTTTCATAATTTAACTCTTGAAAAAGATTAGTCAAACATAATTTATTTATCAAAAGTACTTTTCAAATGAATTAGCCAAACAATTTTTTTTTTTATAAAAAAAAAGCACTTTTTTGAAAAATTAATTTTAAAAAAACGCTTCTAGATTAAGCAGTTTGACTAGCAATGCCAGACAAGACTCTAAAATATTTATTAAAAAAAAAGGGGAAAGGGTTTTTAGATTTTAAGGAAGAATCAACCCTTCAAACTTTTCAAATAAACTTAGGTGGATAACGACTTTATGACATTTAATTAGTCAAAATGGACATAAATGATCTACTAAATGCGTAATTAATTGAGCAAGAGTAACAACCAAAGCACAAGTGGAGCAATTAATATTTATAAATATTACTTCCGTGCATTTTTATTTATCACTGTCCGACTTGATATATCCATTAAGAAAGTAATTATTGATATTATCATACTATAGTATTGTTATTGTTAAAAGTGACAGGTAAAATGAAAATTTGTTTTAAAAAAGAATGACAAGTAAAAATGAACGAAGGGAGTCATATTATTATAAAAAGTCAGTAAAACATAAATCTAATTTTATAGTACTAGTTTTTTAAAACAATATTTTATATCTAGAAGCAACAATCTTATAATTCACACACTATTAATGTAATATGGTGGATACATGTTCCTTTCTTAATTAGAGATTTTGGGTTTGAGCTTCGAAATATAAAAAACATCATGATCCTACAAGATGTAAATTCAAAATAAAGTCCAATACGTATGTTGGACACCTAATGAAAAAATAAACTATTTTTCTTTTGAAAGGACGGAGAATAAAAGGAAATGAAAAAAAGTGAAATGCAAAATGTTTTTCCATTTCTTTTTGTTTTTGTTTTTAAAGGTATGTAAATAGAATAACAAATAAAGTTATTGTCATATTATCTGAAACTCATGAGTTTGAACAATGAAATAATCTTTTGTAGATATATAAAACAAAACTATATATAATAAATCTATATTATTCAATCGTTCTTCAAATCCTAACCATACATAACAAAAGTTTAATACATCAAACTGTTCTCTCAATATAAACTAGTTACGAAGACTTCGTGTTGTGCACATGCTCAATATTTGTTGACAAATTTAATTTAAAGTGATATTATTTAAATGATATTGAATCATCTCATTAAGTGTAAAATAAATATTTGAAAAATATTATTGATATTGATAATTTTTAACCGGCATTGATTAAATGATTTTAAATTTTACTCTAAAATACATTATACATATTTATGTAGTAGTAGATCATTTCTTTTTCATTTTTGCGCAAATCTAATGTGATGAGGTTCATTAAGATGTTTAATTAATGTATTTTTGGTCATCGATAGTTGATTTTTTACTCAAAATAGTTATAAAATATATATAAATATTACTGTCATTCAAAATAATAAAACTATAACTAAAGAATATGAATTTAAAACTAAAGATTAACCAACACAAATCATATAGTTTCAAAAAAATTGTACACTAATTAAATTAAAAAATATTTTTTAAATATTTTTCTTCAAAAATATTTTTAATAAAGCAGATACGTCGACGGAGACCCGTAATGCACATCATAAATTAATTGCTCATTTGAGTTGGATTTGTGAGGAAAACATACCACAAAGAATAAACCATGAGTCAGATGCCAAACAACAGTCAATGTCAGTTCCACTTCGTGGACCATAGTCCATAGGGTCCCCCACCCCACCCCACCTCACACTATTTACTCCAATATTAAATTCTTTAAGGAAAATGGTAAAAAAAAAAACTTCCTTTTTTTATAATAACAATATTTTAATTTTATCATTCTTTATACTTTGTTGATCATTCTCATTCACAAATCGTCTTTATATTTTCTCTGCAAGACTAATGAAGTTTAATATAATGTATAATAGAGGGTATTTCAAATTGGGTTTAGCAAATATCAAAATAATTTTAAATTATAAAAATGAAACGGATAAACATAAGACCTTATTAACTTTAGGAAAATCAACTAAGCTTACTATACAAGAGAAAGTGAAATTCACAACTCGTCACTCTACATACAATAACAGTATAACAAATCTCGTGAAATTTCACAAGTGAGGTCTAAGAAGAATTGAATATAAGCAGACCTGATTACTATCTCATGAAGATACAAAGACTGTTTTCGAAAGACCATCTGCTCAAGTGCAACAAAATCAAGTGGCAGGTACATAGAAGACTAGACATTGTAAAAAATATAGCAAGTAACAACATAATAGTACAATAATTGAAATATCAACACAAACACTGTCCGAGACCACAATCTTCCCATCTACTCGGACGCCACAATCAACAACAATGACAAATATATCCCTCTAGACAAAACAACACTATATTACTAGATGTCTCATAAAAAACCTTAACCCTCTATCCCAATATACATACATAACTCCCTCAAGACAAAACAACACTATAATATTAAACGTCTCGTAACAAACCTTAACCTTCTATCCTAATATGTGTCTTTCACATGACCGAACGTCTCGTAACATACCTAACTCCCCCCCCCCCCCCCCCCCACACACACACACACACACACACACACACACCCACCCACACCACCCCCATACACACACCTTAAACCACCAAAGCAACTAACGTGGTCTCCACTCTCCCCCTACCCCACTTTCCTCTGTTCACTCACATTTTCCCTCCAATGTCTCTCTCTCTCTCTGCAATGAATATACAGAGTAAGTCACGGCCAAAAGTAGGTAAAAAGCAACCAAATAAATAACAAAAATTTACATAAAATTAGTATCAGTTTCCATAAAATAATTACTTCTCCTAACATGTACTTTACTACTATTACAATCTACGCCACTTAATAAAAAATCCACCCACCCCCAGATGAACAAGAAAACAAAAGTAACCAGACAATACTGTACAGAGGAGCAAATAGCCCTTTCTTTGTGTGTAGCAAAACCCTAAACTTTATTTTTTTTCAGATCTCTTCTGATTCATCAGTTATTTGAGTTATTTTCTTGATCTGAGACAACCCCATTTTCTTGATTTTACTGTTTTATGGTGCAATGTTTATGTTCTTTGCTTTAGTTTATTGAACCCCAAGAAGGGAAATGTCTGCTTCACTTGCTGCATTTGAGCGTCCAAGAATTGGTTCTTCTTCTGCGGTAAAGTTCTATTCTTTTTGCTTTTATTTATTTGTCTAAAATATCAGTAAGTTCTGTGTACACTGTACCCTCCTCGGACCTCACAATGGGTATATTGTTGTTGTAGTATTTGTGTATCTTGTTTTGTTGGAAATGTAAGAAGTTTGGGAAAAAAAGGAGAAATTTTGGGGCCATTTGTCATGTCAATGATAGTCAAATGAGCTCTGGACCTCACTTGTGGATAACAATGGTTATGTTGTTGTTGTATTTGTCTATGTTGTTTTGATGGGTTTTGTTTGCTGGAAATGTAAGAAGTTTGAAATAAAGGAGAAATTTTGGGGTCATTGTGATGTCAATGATAGTCAAATGAGGTAGGGGTAAGTTCTCTATATACTCTAAGTCTACCCTCCGGACCTCACTTGTGGGAGTATATTGTTGTTGTTGTTGTTGTATTTGTCTATCTTGTTTTGCTGGGTTTTGTTTGTTGGAAATGTAAGAAGTTTGAAAAAGGAGAAATTTTGGGGTCATTGTGTAGTCAATGAGGAAAAAATTGTTCTTTTGTTGGGGTTGTACTTGTTTAACTCAATATGAAGATTAAGAAAGGGAAAATTTGGGGTCAAATGATTTTCATTCAGAAAGATTAGTTCTTTAATTTGGGTTATACTAGATTTACTCAAAAGATTGTTCTTGGTCAAACTGTGATTAATAGGTAACTATAGCTAAATCTCAGAACTAATTGGGATGGATTACATGAATCTTAAATATCAAGTATGCTCCATTGGGCCATCTCATCTCAGTACTAAAGTAAATTGTCTTTTAAGGGAAACTAGTGACGAACAAGTGATTTCTTTTTTGCATTTCTTATATGCTAAACACCGGAGAGAGAGAACAGTGTGCGATTCGTTTTGTTTTTTTAAATTTACACCTTGTCTACATCTGTCTCTTTTTGGTATAGGTATTTTCTATTAGGACTGAAAGTTATGGATTTATACCTCTGTTATCAGCCTGGAAGTCTACTACGTGGTATAGACATTGTGAGAAATATAGGAAAAGAATATTATTGAATTGTTGTTGTAATAATTACATAGAGAACCCTATTTATAGACACTATATAATACAATTCCTTACCAAATAGGAGACTATAAACTATTCCTAGTTTGTGTAGGATTGTGTTTTCCTATTCTATTCTAACACTCCCCCTCAAGCTGGTGCATACAAATTATATGTACCTAGCTTGTTACAAATGTAATTAATACGAGGACCGGTCAGAGACTTGGTGAAGATATCTGCAAGTTGATCATTTGACTTCACAAATTTGGTAACAATATCTCCTGAGAGTATCTTTTCTCTTACAAAGTGACAATCAATCTCAATGTGCTTAGTCCTCTCATGAAACACTGGATTTGATGCGATATGAAGGGCCGCTTGATTATCACACACAAGTTCCATATGACCGGTTTCTCCAAACTTCAGTTCTCCAAGCAACTGTTTGATCCAAACTAGCTCACAAGTTGCTACAGCCATTGCTCGATATTCTGCTTCTGCACTGGATCGAGCAACCACACTTTGTTTCTTACTCTTCCATGACACCAAATTACCTCCAACTAAGACACAATATCCGGATGTAGAACGTCTATCAAAGGGTGATCCTGCCCAATCAGCGTCTGTATATCCGGTGATATGCTCATGGCCTTGATCCTCGAAGAGTAGTCCTTTACCAGGAGCTGACTTTATATATCGCAGAATACGAACAACTGCATCCCAATGACTATCACAAGGAGAAGTCATAAACTGACTTACAACACTCACAGGAAAAGAGATGTCCGGTCTAGTCACAGTGAGGTAATTCAACTTTCCAACCAACCGTCTATACCTTTCAGGATTACTAAGTTGCTCCCCCTGTCCTGGAAGGAGTTTAACATTCGGATCCATAGGAGTGTCAATGGGTTTACATCCCATCATTCCTGTCTCCTCAAGAATGTCTAAAGCATACTTGCGTTGAGAAATAACAATACCTGATCTAGACTGAGCAACCTCAATACCAAGAAAATACTTCAATCTGCCAAGGTCTTTAGTTTGGAAATGCTGAAAGAGATACTGCTTCAAATTAGCGATACCAACTTGATCATTGCCGGTGATAACGATATCATCAACGTAAACAACCAAATAAATACACAGATTTGGTGCTGAATGCTGATAAAACACAGAGTGATCAGCGCCACTACGAGTCATGCCAAACTTCTGAATTACTGTGCTGAACTTTCCAAACCAAGCTCGAGGAGACTGTTTTAGACCATATAGTGATCGACGCAATCGACATACAAGGCTTCTAGACTCCCCCTGAGCAACAAAACCAGGTGGTTGCTCCATATAGACTTCTTCCTCAAGATCACCATGCAGAAAAGCATTCTTAATGTCCAACTGATGAAGAGGCCAATGACGAACGGCCGCCATAGATAGAAAAAGACGGACTGATGCTATTTTGGCCACAGGAGCAAAAGTGTCACTATAATCTAGCCTAAATATCTGAGTATACCCTTTAGCAACAAGGCGAGCCTTAAGCCGATCGACTTGACCATCTGGACCAATTTTGACTGCATAAACCCAACGACAACCAACAGTAGACTTACCTGTAGGAAGGGAAACAAGCTCCCAAGTACCACTCGAATGTAAAGCAGACATCTCATCAATCATAGCCTGCCTCCATCCAGAATGGGAAAGTGCTTCTCCTGTAGTCTTAGGGATGGAAATAGAGGACAAAGATGATACAAAGGCATAATGGGGTGAAGATAAACGATGATAACTCAAGAAAGTATAATGGGGATTAGTATTTCGAGTAGATCGTATACCTTTTTGAAGTGCAATCGATTGGCTAGCAGGGGGCAAGGCCACAGTAGGAGCAGGGTCCGGCGCATGACATGAATCATTTGAGACTATTGCTGGACGAGGACGTCGATGATAAGTTAGGAGTGGTGGCACTATAACTGGAGATGGAGAAGATACCGTAGGTCCCTCAAAAGTCGGTACAGGTAAGACCTGAGGTATGGGTAAGACCTCAGAGATATCAAGATGATCAGAAGATGTGTAGTAAGGTTGAGATTCAAAGAATGTTACATCGGCAGACATAAAATATCGGCGGAGATCATGTGAATAGCAACGATACCCTTTTTGAACTCGAGAGTAACCAAGAAAGACACATTTAAGAGCACGAGGGGCTAATTTATCTTTTCCTGGGGCTAAGTTATGAACAAAGCATGTGCTCCCAAATACACGAGGAGGGATAGAATAGAGATGTGACTGTGGATATAGTATGGAATGTGGAACCTGATTCGAAATAGAAGATGAGGGCATTCTATTAATTAAATAGCAAGATGAAAGGACTGCATCACCCCAAAAACGCAACGGAACATGGGATTCAATGAGGAGAGTGCGAGCAGTCTCAATGAGATGCCTATTCTTTCTTTCCGCTACACCATTTTGTTGAGGAGTGTATGGACAAGATGTTTGGTGAATAATTCCTTGGTGAGACATAAACTCCTGAAACTGGGATGATAAGTATTCTAAGGCATTATCACTACGAAAAGTACGAATAGAAACACCAAACTGATTTTTTATTTCAGCAAAGAAACTTTTGAATATAGAAAATAACTCAGAACGATCTTTCATTAAGAAAACCCAAGTACATCTCGAATAATCATCAATGAAACTAACAAAATAACGAAATCCTAAGGTGGAACTGACTCTACTAGGACCCCAAACATCAGAATGAACTAATGAAAAAATAGACTCTGAACGACCCTCAGTACCACGTGAAAATGTGGCACGAGTGTGTTTCCCAAGTTGACACGACTCACAATCTAATTTGGACAAACTAGATAAACTAGGCACCATCTGTTGCAGTTTAGATAGACTCGGATGTCCCAAACGTTTGTGAATGAGGTCCGGAGGATCTGTAACAGAGCATGCTGTGAAGGAATTTGAAGAGGTAAGATAGTAAAGGCCTTGTGATTCATGTCCTGTGCCAATCGTCTGTCCCGTACTGCGGTCCTGCATGAGAAAAAAATCATCAAAAAAGGTTATGCCACAATGTAGGGCACGTGTCAAACGACTAACAGATGCTAGATTAAAGGGGGAACCAGGGACATAAAGAACAGAGTCTAGAGTGACAGAAGATAAGGGTGTGGCTTTTCCAACCCCTTTTGGTTTTGTTTGTATCCCATTGGCCAAAGTAATAGCAGGAAGAGATTGTGAATAAACAATATCTGACAGAAGTGATTTGTTACCAGAAACATGATCAGAAGCGCCCGAGTCCATGACCCATGATCCATGAGTATTAGACTGTGAAACACAAGCAAAAGAATTACCCGCAACAACATCATGTTGAACAACCGAAGCTACTTGTGGAGACTTTTGCTTACTTGCTCGATATTGAAGGAACTCATCATATTCTGATTGAGCAATATGAGCATTATGGGATGGTCGATCAGGCGGAGCAACAAATGCTTCTTGTGAAGATGTATGCTTACTTGCACGATTACGAAGGAACTCATTATATTCCTTTAGAGTAGCAGGATCATAACTGGGTGGTGGACCATGCAAATTATGACATATGTCACGAGTGTGTCCAGACTTATGACAATAACTACACTTGGATCGAGGTTTTCCAAGACGACCTCCTCCTCGTCGATTCTCCATAGATTGATATACTCGTTTTTCTATAGTTTGAGATGCGAGAGCAGAGGAATCAAAGGTCGGTGATGAAACTACTTTGTGGCTGGGAGGCGCAGCAATACGAAGTAGACGAGAGAATAATTCATCAACTGTAGGAATTGTAGGACTAGCTAAAATCTGATCACGCACTGAATCATGGTCAGTAGAGAGTCCAGCAAGTGTAAGAACTAGAAACAACGTCTGTCTGTGTTCTTGTTGTTTGTCCACATTTTTAGTGATTGGCATCAACGTGTCAAATTCCTCCATGACTGATTGTACCTGACCCAAGTAAGTAGACATATCGGATTCTTGTTTCTTTAAGCTAGTCATTCTAGATATCACATCATAGAATCGAGATATATCATTAGTATATAAAGCACGAGCCTTTTCCCAAACTGAATAACATGTTTGGGATGAGCGAAACAAGGGCATCAACTTGGAATCGATAGATCGCCATAGGAGACTACATAATTGAGCATCAACCTTCTCCCATTGTGCTTTGACGTTATTATCCGTCTCACTAGCCTTTGCCTTTTCATCTACCACACAAGTATTGTTGGTTAAGTGATCATGAACGCCTTGCCCCTTGCACCATAACTCAACCGAGGAAGCCCAAGCTAAATAGTTTGAGCTTCCCATTAATGGTTCTGAAGTGATCATAGCACTTGAACTACCTATATTCTTGGAGCCAAAAATATCAATCCCTAAAGACATATTATGAATTTAGAGAGAGGAAAAAATAATAAAAAAAAAGGCTGGTCCGGTCAGAATCTGGAAAAAAAAGGTTGCAGTCGCCGGAAATTAGGTCTGACTGCCCGAAACTGGTCGGAATAAGAAAATAAATATACAGTCTGCCTCGGAATGGAGAGGCGACCGCAATGGAAAAAAAAATTGGTCGAAAAACTGGCCGGAACAGGTCTCACGCGCCGGCGCGTGGATCTGTCAACTCGCCGGAGAAATTCTTCCGGCGGCGCGTGACGGCGCGTGTAGCACTGGTTTCCGGCGGGGATGATTGGGGTTTGCTCGCCGGGAAGTTCCTCAACTAGTGGTGGTGTTAGTTTTTGAAAAACAGTGACGAAAAATATTAAATACCTGGACAGCCACTAGGTTACCGGGAAAAAAAAAAACTGTGCGATTTTTTTTTTTTTTTTCTCTCACAATTGCTCTGATACCATGTGAGAAATATAGGAAAAGAATATTATTGAATTGTTGTTGTAATAATTACATAGAGAACCCTATTTATAGACACTATATAATACAATTCCTTACCAAATAGGAGACTATAAACTATTCCTAGTTTGTGTAGGATTGTGTTTTCCTATTCTATTCTAACAGACATCAAAAGCTAACTTATGCCAGGATATTCTTCCATTAATATGTTGGGGTTTTCCACTTTATCCAATGGGAAATTTGGAGTGTGAGCAACGCAATTTTTGTCGTAGTCAGAAATAACTTTTGGTATAGACTTTTTGCATGAAACTTGATATTTGGCAAGTAGAATTTCCATATGCTTGTAGTTTATCTGATGGAGTGTAATTTGTGATGTCAAAGTAGATAGCAGAGTTTCAAAATCTACTTGAAATGCTCTAAAAAAAACAAACCTTACTGGTAAAGAGACAGGTTTCTTGTAGATGTGTGCTAGAAAGCAGTGGATGATTCTCAGTAAAGAGTTACACTGTAAGTTGCTTTTAGAGAGAAAATGGGGTTTCCATCATGTGTTGGTTTAGATCCCTAGTGTGCCAAGAAAAAAATGTATTTGCTTGATTGGTGGTTAGGGGTGTGATTCTAATGGCTGAAACTTGAGGAAAGGGAGGATCACATATATTAGCTGGTGCTTTATGTGTAACACTCCGTAGAGGATATGGATCATCCCTTACTACATTGCTAGGTAGAATCATGTTTGTGGTGGGAGATTTTAAGATGGTACTGGATATAATGCACCATGTCGAGTACTGTGAAGGAGGTACTATTTAGTTGACCTGTTCAAGTGCACTTAAAGTCAACTACAACTAGAAGGCATACCAATCTTGCTACCAACAAATCTTTGACTTTGAATGTGAAAAGCTCCAAATAGGCTAGAGGACTTAAGAGAGGGCACCGGGCATGAGATATTGCTCCAGTAACACTTATGTGGATAGTATGGTGGAAGAGTAATGGAGGTTTTGAAGGGAAAGAATTTGATTATGTATCTGAGGTATATCATCAATTTCAATGTCTCTTGGTGTACCTATGCAGTTCTCATTCTACTTTGTGGAGAATGCTGTCTTATGGAAGCTTCTCTACTTTTTGGTACCACTTGTATGCGCTGTAGTCTCAATGCTGTCCTAAAACCATAAAAAGTCCATGTTTTCTATTGTTGGAGGCTTGGAGCTCATCCACTTAGGTTACATATGATCCATGTGTGTCGTTTATAAGTAACTAAATGGTATACCTCTATACCATCTTGTGTATCTCTTCTAGTTGTGAATCTCATTTACCTATTTCGCTACCAAATGCTCCCATCATATGAACATGGATCCCCTTGTCATATATGACCCGTGCTTTCAAAAGATTTGGTTTTGTTACTGCTAGCAAGGACGGATCATTTGACTAGTGCTGTGCAGTGCCTTTGCTATTTCTATGACTTTCTTGAGAGAAAGGTTTGCGCTCATGAGGGCATTGCAGCAAAACAACTATGGAGATGAGATCTTTTTGTTTCAGCAATTCTGTAGCTGAATTCTTCTTTTGATCACCAAGTTCTTATATCTGTTAATGGTCATTAAGCTAAGTCTTTGGTTGTATGGAGTTGTTCTTAACGGGATTCTATTGTTTCCTTGGTTGTTTATTCACGTTGTTATTCTTTTTCTACTGTTCTTAATTTATTATCATCCTTCATCTCTTGTCTTTATTCTTGACAGGATACAATATTTTTTTTATGACTGGGAAATTTCACTGTTTTAGTTTAGAAACTTAGGGAAGGTGGACCTAATCCCTCTATCCTCTGAAATACTAGGATCTTTCCTCTTGAGGTCACAAATTTCTCTTGTACGTAATGGTTTCATCTAGAAACAAAATGGAGCAAAAGAATTACTTCTGTTTAGATCTAGAATTTCCTACAGTATGACTTTGTGGTGTCATTATTGAAGCCTATAAACAAAATATCTCCTTTATTATTCATGTCTCTAACCATATTTTCTCCAAAAGTTTGTTACATGCAAATGCTTCTAATTTTCCTTTACTTTTTTTCTTGCTCTTAAGGTTTTAATTATGTAATAATCTGCAGGTTTTCAAGAGTGGACCACTATTCATCTCTTCCAAAGGTCAGTAGAGATGTTTTTAATTTCCTCAAGACCTTATAATTGGATATTATGGTCCCTGATGATTTGTCATGCTCTAGCTTACACAAGAACTCCGAACATTGTCAAACTTTTACTTGCTAGATTGGTCATACTCTAGCTTACACAAGTAACTCAGAACATTGTCAAACTTTTACTTGCTAGACTGGACTTTTAGGTTTAATGAAGGGCACGCTGTTTATGTTTACCCCTTCTCTTTTGGATCCAATATTGGAAGAACAGTTTGTTGTTAGCAGATAATTAGAAGGATGCTGGTCATGACCATGATAACATTTGAATAATTAATTGATGGGATCAGACATCATAGAACATTAAGATCCAGTGGTCTTTGACCTACTAAGTATTTATACACAACGGTAGAACTACTAATTCCTTGAATGAAAGGATGACGAGAACACGGTTCAATCCAAACTGTAGAAGAGGAAATATATTCTTCTGAGATACACCCATGAGAGCTAATGTTGAAGAATTACTATCTTAAAGGAGAAAAGATTTTGAAAATACTTAGTTGATGAGTTGAAAATATTCTCTCCCAAGATAGTTGCAGGAGTAGTGCTGGCAAAATAAGCCCATATTTTAATGAGTAAAATTTGGGCTTCAATGCATATTTGACCCATAAGAATGTGTTAATATGGGAATTTGAGGGATCATATAGGGTGTGTTTAATATGAAGATGTTTTCTAGTTGGTTGACTTAAATGTTTTCCAAATGGACTTATTTTCCTCCAATTTAGGGAAAATTACTTCCCTATATAAAGTAAGAAAAATATTTTCTGGACCCGGAGCCGGGACACAACACCGACACGAGACCCAATTTTCTACCGCAACTCAGAACCCTGACACAACCTAGGTCCGACTCCAAACATGACCCAAACTCTGGACTCAACTCGGAAACCGACCCGGGACTTCACCCTCAACCCCAACTTCGGTCTGAAATTTGACTCCCAACCTCGATTCAAGAATTGACCTGAGATCTGACCAGGAACCCGGCTCTTAACCTCAACCCAGGTATCTGTGGGACCCGGCTCTTGATCCAAACCGAGAACCAACCCAAGACTTGACCCGAGACCTGATTTTGACCCCAGCCTGACCAGGGACCCAAAACCCAAACCCGACAACAATCCCGACCCAACCCAAACTCCTTGACTACCTATTGCTCTTGTCGGGTAGCATGTCGGTGATGATGGACTATGCTGAATATATATATGGTACACAGTGGTTGATGTTAGTGACAATCAACGGCATGTCTAGTTGGGCCTTTGAACATAGAAAAATAGGACACTAAAGCATGGGACTATTCCCTTTAGCACACAAGTGGGTGATATGGTAGAGAAAAGGTAGGACCTTTTAAGAGGAAATGAACACTTCTTGTATAGATAAGAACATGGTTTCCATTCCTATTTAGTTTTTGGTGAATCCATCATGCTCTAGTTAGTGAAGATGATTAGGTACTTTTTTTCTCTAGAGAATTAGTTTTTATGTAGTTCTCTACTTTTATATACCTCTTGTATACCCGGATTTACCCCTGCATATAAATAATATCCTTACCTTATCAAAAATATTCTTGGTTGAGATGTTCTATCAAAAGTTACTAAGATGAGTAGACTATTTTTCTCAAAACATTAAGGATACTAGGGCTCCGAGAAAGATTTGTTTTAGCTGGCTAGCAGCTAGATGTTAGCCTTTTAGTCGAGGACTTAAGGAGCCAAAGGATAACATATGCTAACTCTGCCATCCTCTTGCAGTTGAAGAAGTTATTCACATCTGCATCCTCTTATATTTATATACAAATAAGACCAGGTCGAAAATATGGTCTTCCTTTTTCTTTTTCCCCTACAGTCAAATCTGGTGCCCACCAACTGGTGGTGGATTGGATGGCGTCGTTGGTTTGATTTATCTATTTATTGTCCTTGAGCAGTACTTGTCCACCTTGCTGAGACTCTTTGGATTGAAAGTAAAAAGCAAAAACTATTTTATTTTTATATCAAAAAGGAAATAAGAGAAATCAAAAGAATGCCTGAGTACTGTAATTGGCTTAGGGGTTTTGGGTTGGTTATGATTAAGAATTAGGTTCAATGGATGATGGGTAGGAGGGTGAAGACACTATGGAAGTCGATAGAAGATGCGTAGTTTCCTCAGTTTGGGAAGAAAAGCTTCCTGATGCTGCTTGACCATAGAAAGCGGAAACATTGGCCTTTTGTGATTAATGAAATATTTACTTGATGAAAAAAAAAAAGACCAAAAACCCCATTCATACTTCAGAATGTGTATTTATTAGTAATGAATCCTGAAATAGCTGCTGCATTGAAGGAAATAATAATTTTTTTGGGGATAGGGAACTATGATTAAATACATAATTTTATCTTCTCAATAAAAAGAAAAGCACATTCTCAGTTTCTCACATAAACAAAAATGGGGGTAGGGGGATGAAGAAGGAGAAGAGCAAGTGAAAATAATTGTATTTTGTGAGGAGGGAAAAACTATTTGGAAGGGAACAATGCCTGTAATGGTTATTCATTATATTACCCCATGTGCCTGTGATAGATTGGTCTTTTTGACTTCCCTTTAATTTAGGCAAAAGTTTGTCCCATGCTTTACAACTTTCTGATTATCTGTAATTGATAGAATTCTTCTGTGCTTTTATTCATTTTCTTCATTCTAAATTTTCTTTTATTATTTAGACTCGTATCCCAACAAAAGAAAATCCAAAGAGCAATTAACTACATGAAGAAGTTCTAAATGTTGGTTGTTGATGGTGTAAAGTGGATTTTTTAACTTCCTGCAGGACTAGGTTGGAAGTCTTGGAAAAAGCGCTGGTTCATCCTTACACGCACATCTTTGGTCTTCTTCAAGCATGATCCGGTTAGTATCTTTTATCCCAATACTGACTTTTATTTAATGGAAAATCACATTGAACTTACTCTTCACTACCCCATTCAAACTTTGTACACAAACAAGTTGTTGAAGTTAGAGCGACGTTTGTCTTATGATGTTCATATCTATGACCATTTGTTACCTACAAGATTCCAATAATTATATACGGTTGGTATGCCATTTAGTGGAGGTCATATTTTGTGTGAAATTATCTGCTTTTATGTACTGCTTCTGTACGGGATGCTCTATTTAGATCAATAAAATGGATTAATGTATAAAAGTTATCAGTTTGGGATTGCAACGTAGTTGATCAAAGAAATATATATGAACAGTTGGTGTTTCCAGCATTGCTGGTGGCACACGATTTATTTAGATCAATCATCGAGAGATGGTTTCTTTTTGTACAAGTTCTAGACAATGTTGATACTTGTTTGATTTATTTCTTCTAAAAGAGTAACAACAAGAAAGTTCATTAATTAATCTAGAGACTACATAACGTGAAGTAGGATTTCATTAATTTAAGGATTTCCAGATCTCTCCATTTTGTATTATTTTTCTTTTTTTTAGCGGTTGAAAAATTAACTATCCTAAGAGGCATCAAGAAGTATCATATTTTTAAATTGAAAATACTTTGATACTTGACTTAATAGAAAACACTTGTTAAGAGATGATGGAAATGTCAATTGCATGGCTTCAAGATTTCTTCCTGATTTTGTTACTTATAGTTGAGGGATAATTATCCTTGCACAAGCTATTAAGGGATATAGTCCTCTTAAGAGCCAACTGGAAGAGCCAATATATGTCTAGGGGAGGTAGATTAACCATGGTTAATAGTGTGCTAGATGCAATACCTGCTTATATGATGTCTGTGTTCCCAACACCATACAATGTCATACAGAGGATAGATGCTTTGAGAAGAATTTTTTTTTTGGCAGGGAAATGAAGATAAAAAGAAGTTTCATCTAGTCAAGTGGGAAGAGGTCATAAAAAATAAGAAAGAGGGGGGACTGGGGATCAGGAACATGAAGAAACAAAACAAAAGCCTAATGTTAAAATGGCTTTGGAAGTTTATGACAGGAGAGAATATGCTATGGAGAGAGGTGATCAGGGCAAAATATGAAATGGAGAATAGGTGGATGACAAAGATGGTAACTACACCATATGGATGTGGTATCTGGAGATCAATAAGAAATCTTTGGCCTCTGTTTCTTTCTAGAATTAGATTCTAGGTGGGTAATGGAATGAAGGTGTCATTTTGGGAGGACAGATGGATAGCCCAAAGAACCCTGAAACAATTATTCCCAAACTTATATACATTAAGCCTTCAACAAAATGCAACTGTGGCTGAAATGTGGACAGGACAGGGGTGGAACTTACATCTTAGGAGGAATCTAAATGATTGGGAGATGGGGAACATAGTGGCCTTCCATGATACAATGGCACAATTTAGCAATCTGACTAGTGAAGAAGACAAGGTTGTGTGGAAGATTGGTAGCAAAGGGGTTTTCAGTGTCAAGTCAGCTTGCAAAGATCTTAATCAATCAAATTCGAATGATAGGATGGAGCTCTGGCCATGGCAGATGATATGGAGACCTAAAATCCCATACAAGGTAAACTGTTTCACATGGTTACTAGCAAAGGAAGCAGTGCTGACACAAGAGAATATAAAGAAGAGGAAGTTCCAACTATGCTCAAGATGCTATTTGTGTGAGGAACAGGCAGAGACAGTCAATCATCTCTGTTTGCATTGCAAATGGCCAGATCAATTATGGAGAATATTCAGCCGCCTTAGAACGATCACTTGGGTGAAACCAAGAAACATAGTACAACTCCTAAATTGTTGGATCAATATTGGCAATACTACAATTAAGGAGGAGAGAGATGGAGGATTGTCCTAGCTTGTATATGGTGGACAGTGTGGAAAGAAAGGAATCAAAGATGTTTTGAGGGCAAGAAGAACAACTTGCAGAATTTCAAGATGAATTGTATAGCTCTTTATTATTTTTGGTGTAAACAAAAAGTCTTAGTACAGGCAAAAGAACTTTTTGATGTTTTAGACTATTTGGGACAAAAAGCACAGATGGAGTCAGTCTAGTTTGTAATACTTTTGGAGGGGGGCTACTTTGATGTGGTATACCTGTGGATAAATAGAAGAAAAAGTTACCATTCTCAAAAAAAAAAGTTGTAACAGTAAAGCTATAAGGTGACGGCTTTTCCCATGACCTACTTAGAACTACCATTTAGGGGGAAGGTTGAAGATAGAGATTTATAGAATCACCTGACAAGGTGGAAAAAAGTTGGGTGGATTAAATATGCAATATGTCCGAGGGAGAGAATTATTTTTGTGAAATCCATTTTACCTAAAATAATCAACATATTACATGGTTCTTGTTCTGTATGCCAAGCAATACCAAATAAGTTGGAGAAATTGATATGGCACTTGTGGGGGGATGAAAAAGAGGAGAATAAATATTTTCAGAAAAAGAAGAAGAGGGGAATAAAAAGTATCATTTGGGGTGGCCCAGTGGTTTGGGCTTTGGGACTTCCATGTTGGAGGTCTCAAGTTCGAAATCCCTTGCCAGTGAAAGCAAGGGGTTTGCCTTCTGGGTCGAGCTCGTCGCACCGGGCTTGCCTAGTGCGGGTTACCTCTCCTATGTGGTTTGCGAGCTATTGCATAGGAGCGGGGGTTTTACCCTGTGCGCACCCAAAGAGTAGCGGCTGCGGGTTTCCCTTGTCATCAAAAAAAAAAAAGTATCATTTGGTTGATTAGATGGGGAGATACTTCTTGTGCGATGTAGAGGAGGGGAATAAAAGGTAGCATCTTTGGTTCAACGGAAGACAATAGAGGCCTCAATGAATGGGTGCTGAACTGCTGGGATTCGACAATTGTCAACATTCTGCTTGGCATTATGTAGGCAATAGTTATGAAGATTTTCCTATGAGGAGAATGTATTACCTAGAGGATATAACTCCTTAATGTGGATTAGCATTGATTGGTTGTTCTCAAAAGAGGTAATGAATCCTTTTGGAGTTGGTTCATGGAAGGATATTACGATGGGAAGAGATAATTTTTCATAATACAAGGCATTCAGAATGGATAATGGCAGGAGAATTCAATTCGCAAGAATCACCTCTAGATGAACATTTCCTTTAGGTTTTTAAAATTGGTTTCACAGGGAATCATATCCTCTAGGTGTAGAGTGATAAATAACAGGAATACTATAAAGTTGCCAGTTCCCAAAAAAAAAAACAAATAGTAGGAATACTATGTTACTTGACTACTAACGATAAAAGACCAAGGATTACTTCATTAAAAAAAGGAGAGAAAACCAAGGGATCTCGTGGGGCATTACTTATAGGAGGGCTATACAGGAGGTGGAAGGGATTATGGAACACTGGGGGGAAGGAGGACCAAACTGTGAGGTCTTATTACACTGTGGAGGAAGGAGGAACACTGTGGAGTCCAAGACCCCTCACAGTTTGGTCCTGCTTCTTTTTCCTTTCTTTCTCAGAATCAAGTGATTCAAGTTCAAATACCAATTCCATCTGAATAGTTCTATTTTAATGTTTTCATCCTCTCCTGTGGGTGTGAGTGACCTTGATGTATTGAATCCATAACATCTCGTTATCATTGTCAATCTATCAAATGGATTTCCAAAAACATGGAGAGCCGAAAAAGTTCGAGATACAATATGCTGAAGGATCACACTTAATTTTGTCAACTAGTAGTCGAGTTTTTGATTTTACTCGCATGTCATCTAATTATTTTCTCTATTGATTTGTTCACTTTTAGCTTGTTGAGACTCTCTTAAACTTTTGGTGGTTAGTTACCATGTCTTATTTTGTCTCTGTGTACTTGATTATCAAGTTTCTACTAATTACAAATGTCAAGTTTGAATTTCTGTACATAAATGCTTACAGTTAATGCTCCTCATGTAGAGCACACTTCCTCAGCGAGGTGGTGAAGTGAATCTAACTTTGGGGGGAATCGACTTGAATAATTCAGGGAGGTAATACACACATCATATTCTGGTCATCTAATTTGTGTGTGTCTTTCTGCTAACAACTGCTTGCTGTTCAGTGTTGTTGTCAGAGAAGATAAAAAGCTATTGACTGTACTGTTTCCAGATGGACGTGATGGACGAGCTTTTACACTTAAGGTGCTTCTACCTCTCTATCTCCCCTTAATTGAACCCCCTCCAACCCACCACCACACACACACACACACACACACACACCCACCCACCGACACACACACTCTTCTACATTAAAAAATGTTCTCAGAAACTCAGAACTTGTGATGTATCTGAGAAATGACCCAGCTGCTAGCAGAATAGGTCTCTCATCATATCTTTCTATTCATTTGCGTTTTTTATAAGCCTCTTTGGGTAGTTTTGTATTAGTAATTCAGTATGTGTTGTATTCCATACTTCATAATCTGAGCATTGAAAGATAGTATTAAATAATTATTTTTCTGAAACTATTTTTGATGAGGCATCTTTTTTTTCTTTTTAAATTGGTATCCTTTCTTTCTTTTAATCAGTAATTGGTGAGGCATCTTATCTTCTTATATTGACAAATAACTCTTTTTATATGTGTAGAATTGTTTCACTGACAATAAATGTATATGGAATCTCCCTACACCCACACCCAAAAAAAAAAGAAGAAGCAATCTTGTTGAATATTTAATATTTATACATGCACCTCAGTCACACGTCAATTGAATTTTCTCTACTAAGCCCCAAGCTTTCTACTGTAGGCAGAGACATCAGAGGATTTGTATGAGTGGAAGACTGCGCTCGAGCATGCTCTTGCACAAGCGCCTAGTGCTGCTTTGGTGATGGGACAGGATGGCATTTTCCGGAATGACGCTAGTGATTCCTTTGAAGGGTCTTTCCACCAATGTTAGTGCACTCTTTACTGTTATCTGCCAAGACTTATTTTCATCTTCAATGAGCAGATGAACATTGATCTGTTCAATTTTCATTATTTTTAAGCAGTTTACTTTTCATTCAGGGAAGGATAAACACCCTGTTAAATCTTTTGTTGTTGGGAGACCAATTCTGCTTGCCTTAGAAGATATAGATGGAGGCCCTTCCTTTCTTGAGAAGGCACTGAAATTTCTTGAGAAGTATGGTAAGCCCACCCTTGATCCATTGTGAAGGCCTTTGGTGTAGGTTACACAGTGACATTATTGCGTGACCTTTTTGGTTATTTTAGTATTATTTAATATCATTTAAGCTTTCTGGAATCATAGCTAGTTTTCTTCAATTGCTGTTACATTTATGGTCTAGCTTCCTTTTTATAGTAAGAAAACTTTCTAATTAGGAAGAAAGAAGAATGATCCAAGGACAAAAATTTTAACTGATGGGAAGGTGGATGATCTTAGAATTACATTGAATTTGTTAAGAAATTCTCCCTCTGCTGTAAGGCGTGTGCATTGTTGTCCTTATCTGTTTTCGCAGGTACCAAGGTCGAAGGTATATTACGGCAGTCTGCAGATGTCGAGGAAGTGGAGCGGAGGGTAAAAGAATATGAAGAAGGTAAATTTTTTGTTTGATGAATGACATCTTCCTTATATATTGAAACATTTGGAAGAAAGCTTGTATGTTGTCTGATGCTATTTTTTTCTTCACATGGGAAGAATTGAAATATCTAATGGCTTGGCATGTTTAGATGGAATATTGTACCCAATGCATCTTGATTCCATAATTCCCATTGAGAATATTGAATATAGTAGTTCTATAGTCTTAACTTTTGTATATGAGCAAACACAATCTCTCTCTTGTAACATTTGTTTTTCTGCATCTTCTTGTAGCTTTTTAAAATGAATATCCCTTTCTTTATCAAATAAAAATCGTGTTTACTAGTTAGAATCAATTAATCAGATACTATAATATGCAGTGTTGAATTCTTTCCTAGTTAGAATATGATTTGCGAGCTATTGCATAGGAACGGGGGTTTTACCCTGTGCGCACCAAAAGGGTAGCTGCTGCGGGTTTCCCTTGTCATAAAAAATAAAAAAATAAAAAAATGTATTTGTACTAAAAACAAACTTTTGTTTGTCCTTCATGTCCATTTCTGGTCTGTTGTGGTTAAATGTTGATCCAGATCTAGTTTTAGCCAAGCTTCGCAGAAGAAGTAAAAAAAAAACACTAGCCTGCCGCTTTCCTTTGGTTGAAAACATGCCACAAGAGACGGTCAGGGAGGCTGAAGTTTACTTGTTTGCTTGATACCTTTTTTCTTGTTTTATTTCCATGCAATGCTGACTTGCTATAGACATATTAAAGTGTGATTCACTTACTATCCTTTTCTTGCCTTTCTTTTCCTATCCTGTCTTTGGTGTTTTAGAAATATGGTCTGGCTAACTGCTACACTGTCGGAGAACATGAACTAAGAATTTGTAGGGGTTTATTATGTGCCCTCAGCCCTGCTGTTTTAGAATAAACATATTTTCTATTGCTAATCCATGTCAAACTGTTTGAAGGCAAAACTGAATTTGGCCCCGGAGAGGATGCTCATGTAATTGGTGACTGTGTTAAGGTATTGGTCTGATGAACTTATTATTTGTTTGACCCTGTCATCTCATTCTGCTGTTGAATATCTTAATTCTCTTTAATTATGATTGGAGCTACCTTTTATGCAGCATGTGCTTCGTGAGCTTCCCTCATCTCCTGTTCCTGCTTCCTGCTGTACTGCTCTGTTGGAAGCTTATAGTAAGTAAATTTGCCAACATTTGTTAAGAGATTTTTACAATTATTTCTCAGAGTATTTAAGTGCTTGTTACTTTGCGGTTATTTCTAACAACCATCACAGCTCCCTTCCTGATGTTTCTAGTAGTTTTTTTTCCACAATTTTGCTTGTTTTCTTATTGTCTACTGTATAGATCCGATGAATAGAGTGCCTTAATAAATAGTTCAAATTTCTTGGGCTTCCAATTATCAAAGGCGAAAGGTTTTGAAGTAGTAAGATTTGAGAAATTTAAGATTTTATTGAAGTTCTTGGAACTTTGAGAGGAACTTAATTCATCTCTTTCTTTGTCAGTCGTATAAAGTCTCAAGATATGAAATTATCTGTTGGTCCATTTGTTGGTCGCCAGAACCATTTCTGTTCATTATGGTTACATGTGCTACTTGATTGTATTTAGTTAACCTTCTTCAGTTTAGTCAGGTAAAACTTAAACAAATCAGTTTTCTAACTTCTAGTTGTTTCTCTTTTTGGCCCAAAGAAATTGATCGAAAGGAAGCCCGAGTTAATGCTATGCGCTCTGCCATTCTCGAAACATTTCCTGATCCAAATAGGCGCTTATTACAGAGGTATGCTCTTTTAGTGATCTGCTGATATGGTTGTGTTTTTCTGTTTTGATCCTTTGTTTTTATTTTTTGTTACTATCTTTTATGTGGCCGATGATGTTTTACTAGGTGAAAAGTTGTTGATGATATATAATGGATCTGTTTTGGCAATTGAATGCTTTACAATCTCTTTGTTTTATTGGAACAGTTATAGAAAATATGTAATGCTGAGTGGATCATCTGTAATTCCCTGATTTCTTGGCCAAATAAATCATTGGAAATCTTACTGATTTGTTAATGTCACAAGAAACAAAAAATTGTTCGGATATATCCGTATTGTTTGCTGAGCAATTGTTTCTGCCTGTTGTCCATTCACTTTTTATTGAGACAGACTGTATTTTATCTGGATTTAAAATTGTTATGGTTTGCTGGACAATGGTTTCATTGTCTGTCCATTAATTTTTAGTTAAGACATTAGTTTAATCATTGCCAAAATGTCAAGAAAAATAAATGGAAAAACAAGAAGGATCTACATTTCAGGCCCTTGATTTGCTTCCATATGTTAAATGTGTGTGGGTGGACGAAAAACTTTCTTTCGTATAGCAGTTTTTCATGTAGCACCATATTCATGTGATGTGATGCACCATTGTAATGATTAATTAATTCTTTTTGTCTAAAATGAACTTCATTTATCTGAAACTTAATTGGAGAAAGTGGGGAACTGAATGAAATTGAATTCTAGAGGAGCAGATGATAGTAAGGTGTCAGAAAGTACAGTTTTATATATTTTCATGAACATCTTTCTGGAGGTTTATAAAATAATAAATATACTAAATTATGGTACAAAACAATAGGCAAAATTAAAGAAAGTACAGTTGTCATCTATACTTCCAAAATTGAATAGGGATTCCTGTGTACTATTGTGAACTGACTGAGGAATCTCTATATTCTTCAAAAGAGCTATTTGATGGTTAAAGCTCATCAGTTGACTATTATTTATCTCAAAAGGACAAAGTTGATCTACTTGATTATCATGTTCTGTTTGCGTTTGGCCTGTTATTGGTGGTAGAAAAATTAATTACCCCAAAACAACTTGGTGTGGAGTTATACATCCGTGTTGGTCACTACGCAACTATAAACCTGCCCTTTCCCCTTTCTCCAAATGTTTCACCCAATTTATGCACCTAACTGGTTTATGCTGGACTGCCCTCTGTGTCTCTATTTGCAATTATCCTGATGAGAGGTGGTTAATCCCTGGGGTTATTCTGGCCAATCTTAGATATTTCATTTTACTGCCATGTTGTATGTCCATTTTGCAAACTTTTCAAGCAAGAAGATTAGTTATGAGAGGAGATGCTCTTTAAATCCTCAGTTTTCTAGTAATACACTTCAGATCTGTACATTGTTTTAGTTTCCCTGTCTTACTTTGAGGAAGATGAACTTTGTAGGCTAATGTTAATATTTTTTGTTTTTTGTTTAATTAAAAGAAACCTATCATTTTGCCAACCTTACCTGTGAAGTTGCTAGTGCAGAATTCTGAAGATGATGCATACAATTTCTTCACATCATTCTGAAAATCGGATGACACCATCTGCTGTTGCTGCTTGTATGGCACCATTACTTTTAAGGCCTCTTTTAGCTGGCGAATGTGAGTTGGAGGATGATTTTGACTTCAATGGTGACAATTCTGCTCAGCTTCTTGCTGCTGCTAATGCGGCCAATAATGCCCAGGCTATCATTTCAACCCTTCTCGAGGAGTATGAGAATATTTTCGATGTAAGTCGCTCAATCCTTGATGAAAAGAAAAACAGTGAAAATCTTTTAAGATTATCTCTTTCATCTTTTTCCCTTGATTTACTTTTGTTGGTTTTAGCTTGGTCAATCCTACAACAATGTGTATCGGTGGATGTGCTTAGCTATTCGTTGTGTTTCTTACAGGATGATAATCTACATAGATGCTCTATTTCAGCGGATTCTCAAATTGGACATAGTGGGAGTGAAGAATCATCAGATAATGAAAATATGGATATGAAGGACAATGGTTATCATGATGCTGAAAATGAGGTTGACCCAGATACCGATGATGATTGTGATCGCATATTGAGTGGTAAATTAAGCGAAAGCAGTGGTTCCGCTGCCAGTGATCTTTATGATTATAAGGTTCTCTCTTGTTCCCTTCATTCTCATGACTAAAGATTATGTGTCTTCCATTTGTCGTATTCCTATTTTTCCTTTTTAGTCTTAATAGTCTGTTTGTTACTTGAGCTGGGGGTCTTTCAGAAAACAGCCTCTCTACCTCCATAAGGTAGAGGTAAGGTCTGTATACACTATAAACCTACACTCCCCAGACCTCACCTTGTGGGATTACACTGGGTATGTTGTTGTTGTAGTCGTATAGTCTGTTTGTCCAAGCTTTTGAGAAGTCAACAACAACATACCAGTGTAATCCCACTAAGTGGAGTTTGGGGAGAGTGGTTTAACATAGTCAATCCTACAACAATGTGTATCAGTGGACGTGCTTAGCTATTCGTTGTGTTTTCTTACAGGATGATAATCTACATAGGCTACGCAAACCTAACCCCTACCTTGTGAAGGCAGAGATGCTGTTTTCAAAGGACCCCTGTTCCTTCTGAAACAGTACTTACTCCCTTATTACCCAAAGCAGGGGTCAAGACAAAAGGGACAAGAGATTTAGAAGAATGTTCCCCAATAGAACCCAGGGAAACCCCCTTTCTAGAGCCAACAGTCACACCAACCCCGTCTCCACCTACCCCAAGCAACTAAAACCTGTTAATATGGCTACTGTAAATATGGCTTTTAGCACTGCCTTTTTGCTAATGGAATATAACTATGTTTCCTTTTAAAAAATAATAATTTATCACCAGTTTGGCGATTGTAAAACTGTCCTCTAAATAACTTTTGAAGTTCTCTCTCCTATTTTTTTTTTCATTTGACAAAAGTCACTTGTTTTTGTGATGACTCAATTTGAGTTGTTATGGAACATAATCTGAGGTTACAACTACATTTTTCTTAGTAGATTAAGTGTCATCATTGATTACTTCTAAACTTCCTGCGAAGTAGTCATGTTATGGGACTATATTTCAAAAGGGTGACAATCTGAACAAAATGTAATGGCAGTGTGTCCATTATTACTCCTTAATCATGTACGCATGAAAAATAACTCCATAATAAGCTGGTAGAAACTCAGAGAAAGTTACTTTGATATTTGTGTCATCTGGCCTTATAATTGTTAAATTTCTAAGATGGACTATGAGGAATTTAGAACCCCTATAGCCTCTGTGTGCTATGTTCTGTGAGTATTTATTTGGATTGCGTTGATTTTCTGCACAGGGGGTTGGAGGGAATGACTCAGATATTGGATCTCCAAGAGATGGTTGTTTAAAATTGAAACCAAAAGTGGACCCTCAGCCACTTGCAGGCTCTAATGTCCCATTGCATGAACAATTGGAAAGACGTGGAAATGAGATCAACGCTTTTCGCGAATTAGCTGTTACTGAGTCTCAGCGATCCATGGGTGAGATACTCTCATCTATGGATCCTGGGCCACCCCTGGGTGTCCCTGTACCTGATTCTGGCATAGAGAAACCGAGTGGCAAGCTAACACCTTCAAACCAGAATGTCAAAAGGTCAACATTTTGGGGGAGAAGCAATGTGAGTGTTAGCATTTATTTGTGAACTTCATTTTCCGATGAATACCCTATGTTCTTAGTGCAAAATATGAGGCATTAATTCCATGATTGCAATTAGAATGTTGATTTTTGTTACATAAAGCATTCAGGAGCAGGTACCGTTTTATTCATGCTAGGATTGATGGAAAAAATCCACAGATTTTCTTGTGTCTAGAATAGCCTACACTAGATCCTATAAGTTTGAACTGTGACTTCATTTTGATAGTGCTGGTGATTACGATATGTAAGATGGGAAGCATACCTGTACTCATTTCTTGCAGCCATAATGGTGACAACAGCTTAATGTGCTTGCTGATTAAGATGGGATTGTCATTCATAAACATTATTATTTGTGGAAAACACATCAGTACCCTCGTCATCAGTGAAGAGTTGAGATTAAATTTGATAAAATCATTGAATATATACATCTGCTTCTGTGACTATTATAACAAATATAAATAGGGTAACTTGTCGGCTTCAATAGATGTATCATGATTGCTGAATAAGGAATCTAATCCTCTGATTGTTACTTTTGCACAGGGTAGAAGTACTCCATCAACAGAATCAATTGATTCTTCTGGAGAGGAAGAGTAAGGCTTCTTCTCTCTCCTGGTATTTAGAGACTTATTTTAGAATTTGAGTTGATTGAAATGACTCCATCTTGATTGAAGAAGAATTATGAACGGGTGTCTCTATGGTACCAAAAAGGATTTTAAATTCTTTTATATCTAGATGGTTTAATTATCAATAAATTGTATATCTTGTTTTAGGTCAAAGTTGGGAGAAAGACAAGATTCTGTGATGTTGGAGCGGTAGATTGGTGATTGGTCAAGTAGTAACAAATGATAATACCTTAAATAGTTGTGTAGCTGAATTTAGACCAGTCTTTTGTCCTTCAACTAAACTAGTAGAAGGAAGATACTAATAAATAGTCAAGTTCAGGGTGGGGGTGAGGCAAGGTGATTATGACAATGCAAAGTCTTGGTGTGCTCTGAATTAAATGTGCCAAGTTTAGGGAGGTTTTAGGTATTCTTCCTATCAAAAAATTATGATCTCTAATCTAATGAAACAAAAGGAGGGGGACATTGTGCGATTAAAATAATGCTTTTATTTAAATGAAATGTTTGTGCAAGTAGGCATCTTTTTACTTGTTGTATCTTGCTATTTGGAAATTGCTGCATTAGTTTGTCAGTGTACCAATGCCATCTGATGTCAGCACCTACTATTTTTGCAAATATGCATATTATGCTTGTATCCTGCTAGCTGCAATTTCTGCATTGATATTTCATTGACTCTCTGTGCCTTTCAATTTAAATTTTGTATTCTTTTGATTTGTATCCTCTCTGTAATTCAACACTAGAAGAGACAATGCTTCAGGTAAGTTGGAGTGACACTAAATTTCCTGTTTCAAAGCTTGTTTGTGGGTTATAAACTTTAGAAGATGGCCTCTATGAATGAATTTTTGGGCAAAGTACATTGTTAGTTTCACCTTGTTTCATCCTTTTATCATTCGAAGTCTCTAAGATGGGCCTTTTTGATATGTCAACAGGCTTGCTATACAGAGACTTGAGATAACAAAAAATGACTTGCGCCATAGGATTGCGAAGGAGGTATAGATCCCAGTTTGTGTTTTATTTTATAATTCATGAGTTTCATTCTCTTCTTTGCTAAGTCCATTTAGTTTTAACCTGTGTTAGGCAAGAGGAAATGCGATTCTACAAGCAAGCCTGGAGAGACGAAAACAAGCTTTGCACGAGCGTCGCTTGGCCCTTGAACAAGATGTATGAGAGTAATTACTCCCTGATAAGACCACAAAGTGTTGTCCATTTAAGCTAATTTATTTATTCTCTCTTTAATAATGTAGCAACTGCAAAACTCAATTGCGTTGCATGATTCTTGATAACCTTTTGCTTCTTTTCCTTTCTATATATGCATATCAATTGTAATTTTCAAAAATTCTTTTTTCCCTTATTTTATGTGGTTAGTAGGCTGCTGTTGACTAATATCCCTACTAATCATCTGTTTCTTCTCTACTTTGTCCAAGTTTTCATCTTTTGGTCACAACTGTAAATATAGCTGGTTTTGCTACTCTAGTATGATTCCTAATTCTTCTTAAGATGTGTTCTGCACTTTGTAGGCTGAAGTTTTTGCACTCACAAGTTCACACTTTTTTTTGGTAAATTATTAAACCACATGTAACTTTTATGAAGGTGGCCAGACTACAAGAACAGTTACAAGCTGAGAGAGACTTGAGAGCTGCTCTAGAAGTTGGTTTGAGCATGTCTTCTGGACAGTTGTCAGGTTCTCGTGCTATGGATTCCAAGGTTGTAGTGATGATCTAGTAACTGTTGGCATTTTCCTTCCCATTGATTTGCTCTATTTCTAATAAGGCATTTTACTTTTATGAAGACTAGGGCTGAGCTTGAAGAAATAGCCCTTGCGGAAGCAGATGTGGCTAGATTAAAGCAGAAGGTTGCTGAGTTGCACAATCAACTTAATCAGCAACGGCAGAATCATTATGGCTCGTTAGCTGATGCTTGTGATCGTTATCAAAATGGGCCAAACCATAATTCTCAGCTGTGAGTGTAATTTCAGTTTTTTTGTACTTTTTCAAGTGTCCTTGTTTCAATTTCAAGTGCTTCTTAGTGGCATGCAAATGCAATAATTGAGAAGATATTGTTGTTTATAACTGACTAGAAGAGAATTCCATTTTGATTATGGGCTGTTCCATTTTATCATGTCAACATGACTATATAAACTATAAATCAAATTTTAATTCCAGCACCAAGTGTTTCCCAAGCAAATGATATTTTTTCTTATTCCTTGTTATAACCAGAAAACCACTTGAACCATTGCAACTGCTAGTGATGCTGCCAATAATTGATTGTCATGATAGCTCTTTTGTAAATCATTAGGAAAAGGATAAGAAAAAGATTTTTTAGGGCATAAAAATTAAGAACCAATACACCCCACCCTTCCTAGACCCCACTTGTGGGATTGCACTGGGTATGTTGTAGAAATAAAGAATCAATATGTCCCAGTGAGAAATAAAGATGCGGGAGAGTACTATTAAGATGCACAACATTCCTGTCTTACACAAAGCCCTTATTATATGCATACTTTCGACAGTACCAAGTACTTAATTTTCAATGTGTGACACTAAGCATAGTGTTATATATCATATCTGACGGTCCCTGTATGTGAAAATATAGGATTGCTCCGTACTTGATGATTAGCTTCAATTCTAAATACTCTCAAGTACTGCATTTTGACGTACTTGATGTCATTCTATCGTAGTAAATTTGACTGAGAAGTGCTTGTCTTATAATGTACAAGTCTAAATAAGTTTTAATTATGTAGTCTAGTGGTGGATGTTGCGGGTTTTCAATTTCTAGCTACTCAACACACATTGGGTATGCCATAAGCACAAGCAGACATATGTTTTTTCTAAGATGTACATTTATCTCTGCATTGTTATTTCTTTATCTACATGAAATATTCAAGGCTTTCTTATATAGCAGCTGATTTTTTTTTTCTGTTTTTTGTTGTACGGCATTCATGTTAAGAGTACACAGATGCACTGTCCCTTTCCAAAGAGATCGACGGAAGTGATCCTAGTTGGAGCATTGCATGCACTTTCCGTTTCTTTGAAAATTTATATTTTGATAAAGTTCTCTTTACTTACCAAGTGTATTCTCCGTCTGTAGGAAATATTACCAGCAAGATTTTGACACGACACTCGCTTTCTGTAATCATGAAAGAAGACAAAGAAATGAGGTAATTTTGTCCTCCTGTATATATTGGGTTTTATATAAGCATACAAGTGGTCATGCATTTTGTATGAACAATTTTGGCCTTCACACATTCTTTTCGAATTATGTCTCCGTGGTAAAAGTCAAACATGCAGCATCCTCTCTGGTTTTGCACATTCTTGGTTATGCTGTCAGTGATGTGTTTTGAGCAATTAAGTTGCGTAGTATTGTATTTTTTCGAACTGTTATACCCCTAATGGCTTCTTTCTCTTTCTCCCCTCCCTGTTATGCTGGTCTTTATTCTTTTTTAGTTCTATTGGGTGATCAAGTGCCATTGTCTGAATCTCGAGTCTCAAGACTATGTTTATTGTTTTTGTAGTCTTGTGTGGAGAGACTGCTTATTGTGAATAGACCTTTGCCCTTTATCTTGCTTTACTTTATATAATTTGTGAGCTAATTTAAAAGATCTCCTTCCCTTGATGGTTTACAAGTTGAATACTTTTACCGCTAAACGTGATGGCCTATCAGAATTCAGAAGAAAAAATGAAAGTGGATTTATGTAAATGAATGCAGTCTTAAGCCTCATCCATACCTGAAAAAATATTAACTGAATTTTCTCTGGATGACATATTCATCCAGGGAGCATGCTATAATTTTTTTCTGAGATTTCAATTTATTTATTTTTTCATTTGGAAATCGCAGAAAACTGAAAAGGTAAGATATTGAAAGAGTTGTTATGGCTGAGCTCTACGGACTTGAAACATGTGAATGTTTTTCTGACTAATTTATTTATTTGTAAAAGAAAAGAGAAGTAGATGCAAATTATGATGTTTTAGATGCTGGAACTTGCGATATTTTCTTTCATTTATAAAGAAGTTCAATTAAATGCAAGCATTCTAGATTCTAGGTTGTGGAGTTGTAAATTGATTTGTTGATTCTATGTTTGTAGTTTATAGAGTTTTCTCATTTGGTGAACGTTCCAAAACGATGCAGGAATTGCTGGGATCAGATTTGAGGAATATGAAAGGACAAGTACTGACATCCACCTCTGGTGTTAGGCAGCCTGCTCGGAAACAACTCCGAGAGACAAGCTTAAGTGATTCTAAGAGTACTGAAGCATCAACAGGTCTGTCTGTGGGTGAATGCGATGCTGTTGATTCTTCCCCCCTGCATCCCACTTCAAAGGCCACTGAGGTAACAAGTGAAAACTTCATCTTTTTGTTCTCACACAAAAGCATGCATGAGTGGGCACACGAAGGCTCCAACACATCAGCACATATGGATGACCCCACTGATGTAGAGATAATACATCACAATTTTGCTAGATCATTTCTATAGATGGTAGCTTGTGCTCACCTCGACTTGACTGTTCCACACCTCACTAGTATAAGTATCGGGTAATTTTGTTCACCAAGGCTTAGGTAGAGAGATTTGAACCCTGGTTTCCCATGGTTTACACCCATAAATGCCACTTTAGCCAAATTTGGACCACGGTTTGCTTGTATCACTTCTCAATTTCGCCGTATGAGAATAGTAGAAATATACACCATAGAGTTGACACTTCTTTTAAGATGAAGTTAGTACATTTGCTGAAATGTTTTGTGTGGTCTTTTGACCATTATTTTAGCAGGTTATGGATTATACACGACACCCTTCGGCTGCATCTTCCACTTTGGTTGAACTAACAACACGTCTCGACTTCTTCAAGGAAAGACGCTCTCAGCTGATGGAACAACTCCATAACCTTGACCTAAACTATGGATCAACATCTCATCAACCTATGTACAAACCTTCATCTCCTCCATGGAACTAATTGCAAAACGGAAGCTGCAACACTCCCCATCATCTGTATATCCTTTGTGTATTATAGCGTATAGGTTTCTCACGTACTGTATACTTCGAGGTATCGTTATTGTACTCATCTCTGCCCTTCCTGTTTTGGTTGTATTGTTGTTGTCTCTGTCTTGTTAGTGATCTCATTAATTCTGAAATTCATACTGTAACATAATAAAATGTATATTATTGTGTTGTCTAATAGACAAAGCACCTTTGCTGTGTGCAGTTGGAAACTTTTCATGTATATTTGATGTTAGTAATTTTGTTGAGGTTGTGATTGGTCTGAAGGGCGGATCACATACATATTTCTCGGTTATAAAAAAAAGTAATTTTGTTGAGGCATGTCATGTTACTTGGTACTTTGGAGCTCAGATAATTGTCATAAAACCAATGGAAGCACCAAAATTGAGCTTAAACAAACTATTGTCATACATATTTCGGAAAATTCATGAATTTATACACAAAAATTGAGATAATCTTAAATTTCTATCTGTGATACAAACTTGAAAAAGTGACTGTTATGGTTGGTTACACATTGTAGTAAATTGATGGATTTGCATACAAAAAATTGAAAATAAGAGAGGTATGTTTTTGAAAAATTAATGGATTAGTAATTTTCAATTTTTGATTTGGGATACAAACTCCAAAATAAGAGAGGTATGTTTTTGAAAAATTAATGAGTATTATTTGATAGGTCATAATAATGAGCACATAAAATTTGGGCTCAAACATAGTCGATCACATATATTTTAGAAAAGTTATGGTCTTATACACATGAATTATCAAAGATATTTTTGAAATTCTTTTTTGTAACACATAAAGTCCTAAATAGCGCGGTCAATATATTGTCTCCAATGGATCCATAAAATTTAAGCTCAAACAAAGCTGGTCACAACATTACAAAAAATTGAGATAATCTAGAGGTCTTATTTTGTAACACAAACTTCAAAAAAAGTGACGTCCGTCTTTCGAAACAATGAATATTCATTTAATAAGTTGTCATCAATGGAGCAACAATATTTATGAACAAACAGAGACGATCACACAAATTTGGGAAAAATAATTCTCTAATACACACGAAAAATTGAGATAATCCTAAATTCCTAGTTCGTAACATAAATTTCAAAAAAGCGATATGTGTCTTTCGAGGTCGTAATCAATGGATGCACAAAATTTAAGCTTAAACATAATCGATCACACATATTCTAAAAAATCATGAATTAATACATACGAAAAATTAAGATAATTCTGAATTCTTAATTTGTGATAAAGGATAATTACTATAAAGTGTATTGAAGTGTGCCAATACAATATATTTTGCTTGTACCATATACAATGTTCTATTCTCTTACACAAATATAATATATATGCTATATTTTGTAAATATACAAACAACATAATACATAAACATGACTCTTAACTTGAGTTGAGTGGATAACTATGCCCTCCAACTTTGTATGTGCACAAGTAGACACTTAAACTTGTATAAATTGAACCAGTAAACATACATATCCTACATGACATAATACACATACGACGAATGCGTCTATTTATTTAATTTTATACAAATTTTAATATTTATTTGTGTACACTCAAAATTAAAGATCATAGTTATTGACTAATGTCAAGTTAAGAGTCGTACTCTGCATATACAAGCTATATTTTGTAAATAGAGGTCAAATTATTGTATTTATGAAAATTTTCCTTTACAAAGTCAGTGGGTAGGACAAGTGTCAAGGAAGTAGAAGCTTCAAAATCTCATCTGAGCGTCACATGTTCCCATAATCACGCCAACAAATTCCAACCAAAGAAATTCTCAAAGAAAACTCCCTTTCCCTTTCTCTCTTTCTGCAACACATGAACTCATTTTTGTGCTAGTCAATGAAGGTTTTTAGGTACTTATCTCTTTCTCTCTCAATTAGAGTGATTCTTGTTTTTCCTTACTTAATCCTCTTTTGGGTATTCAAATTGTAAAGTTTCTTGCTTTATGGTTTACTATTCAGTTTCACTACAAATTCTGTGTCTTTATAGTAAATGGTATTCAACTTTTATGTTGTGTTATTGAATTTATATGTTATTTTGGGATATGGGTTTTACTGATTCTTGATTGGCGGTGAGGCGGAGGGTACTGGGAGAAGAGGAGGAGGAGGTAAATGGGGGAAAGAGAAACCTTCTTTTGGGTATTAAAATTGTAAAGTTTCTTGTTTTATGGTTTACTATTCAGTTTCACTGCAAATTCTGTGTCTTTATCGTGAATGGTATTCAACTTTTATGTTTTTTTGTGTTGTGTTATTGAATTTGTATGTTGTTTTTGGGATGTGGGTTTTACTGATTCTTGATTGGCGGTGAGGCGGTGGGTACTGGGAGAAGAGGAGGAGGAGGGAAATGGGAAAAAGAAACCTTCTTTTGGGTATAAAAAATGTTTAGTTTCTTGTTTTATGGTTTATTATTCAGTTTCACTGGAAATTCTGTGTCTTTATAATAATGGTATTCAACTTTTATGTTTTTTTTTGTGTTGTGTTGTAGAATTTGTATGCTATTTTGGGATGTGGGTTTTACTGATTCTTGATTGGTGGTGAGGCAGTGAGGTGGTGAGTACTGGAAGAGGAGGAGGAGGAGGAGGGGGGAAATGGAAGAAAGAGTTTTATTTTATCTTAAATAAATTTAGATAATAGAAATATAAGAACAGAAAGACCCATATAGGCAAAGTTTGTTTGTCCTGTACGCAGAGCCAATTCGAACCCATTCCGTGGAAAATTACGTTTTTTATCAATGTTGCTCTGACTCTTCAAACATGTTGATGCGTGCGTGTCGGATAATCCAAAAGTAGTGGTAATACTTATGTGTAAATTTCTCAAAGTATAGCCAGTTACAAGCCTGGATAAAAGATAAGGGTTGTGGTACTAGTATAATAATAACCTAATTGATATGATCCTCTAAATGGTGAATACATCAGACGTATCCACTTAAGCAGCAAAGTGGAATGGATATGGAGGGTTCTCTTTTGCCTGTTAGTAGAACAAAAATAGAGTATTCATATTCCTATCCCAAGCAATTTGGATTTAAGCATAGTTGATTGTTTAGTCATTTGACTTGTCAGAAAGTATGTTTTTTTCTTCTTGAATAACCAAGAAAACCGTTGCACCTAGATTTGAAACTTGGTGGATAATTGATCTTCCACTTTATCATTGTCCACTTAAATACACACTAATGAACGGGGGAAGATTCAAACTTGTGACATGCATGTACCACACAACTCGTGCGATACGATCATGTTATTGAATCAAATCCCTAGGGCGCTAGCCAAAAGTAAGTTCTTAAGAAGGTTAAAGTCCTAACCAAGGTATACATTGTTGAGAAAAAAAAAAGTAATTTGGTCTTCTCATTACGAATACATTGTTTACTCACTAGATGTACAGTGCGAAAGCAAGATGTTGAGTCTTCTCATTAGTCATTACAAATACATTGTTTTCTCACTAGATGTACATAGCGAGAAATGTTGAAGAGAAGCCTATGCAACAATTGGATTTCTTGAGGGATAATAGTTGTCTGAATAGCTATTGAGTTAATCTCTCCTCATTGCAAGGAGAATGGTGTAATAAGATGTGAAATAAAAGATGCGTCTTTGGAGCTTCTCAATGTCCTAGAATAGGGTATGCCTTTATCATTCTTTTGGCAAATCTCCAACTAGAAGTTATTTGATCATGTTACCCTTCGGGGTGGCCCAGTGGTTTGGGCTTGGGACTTCCATGTTGGAGGTCTCAAGTTCGAAACCCCTTGCCAGCGAAAGCAAGGGGTTTTGCCTTCTGGGTCGAGCAAGCCTGGTGCGGGTTACCTCTCCTATGTGGTTTGCGAGCTATTGCATAGGAGTGGGGGTTTTACCCTGTGCGCATTCAAAGGGTAGCAGCTGCGGGTTTCCTTTGTCATAAAAAAGAAGAAGAAGTTATTTGATCATGTAAAGGCCTCCAAGAGTCTGATGGCAACGTAAATTTATTGCTACGTTCCAGATTAAACTTATTCGCTTTAATCTCACGTTCTTTGCTACAGACCTTGTCACTTATTCTATAGGATGACCACTTTATTATTTGATCTATTATCTTTCTATCTTCCTCTTTGACGGAAACACCTAGTTGGTGTCCCCTTTTTCCTATTCCTCATCACAAAAAATATCTGGGATACAAGCTTTAGAAATTCACCAAGGACCAAGTAGTGGGGATCTTACCCTACAATGCCCCATTTCTTACTAAGTTTATGAGGGTGTTTGGACTGGCTTATTTTTAGGTGTTTTTGGCTTTTAAGCTCTTCTTAAGTTTTAGAGGCGTTTGACAAAGTAGCACTTTACTTTAGGCTTAAAAAGTACAAAAAAAGCCAAATGTCAAAAGTAGGTAGCTACCTACTTTTGGCTTTTGACTTTTAAGTCACTTAAAAAAGTGTATCCAAACACCCCCTATATCCCTTTCTACACGAATGTGCGATTTGAATATGTGTGAGATCCGCGCTCCCACGTGTGTGTATAACTTTCATAGGCTAACATTTCTCTATACCTTACCTAGAAAAGATGACTTAAGCAAAACCTCCATCTCTCCGGAGCTGAAATTCACTGGTGGCTACTCACGTTATGCCTGTGCCCCTCCTCCCCCCTACAGGTCTTGTTTTTCTGTTTTGACTGGTTACTGATTGCCAATGAATTAGGTGGTATTTGGACTCAGTTTCTGACCTCCTAATTTTGTGCACTCTCTTCTTCCAAAGAAACTGACATTTAAACAGTTGTAATCTGTTCTGCAGGAAGGTATATTTTTACACTGTATATGTGCTGTGTGCAAAACTGCAAATGCTATGATAGTGTGAATTTAATGCACACAATATAGATAAATTGTCTACGATGAAATGGACAGTACTAGTTATCTACTGCTTTTGACTTTTAAGATTTCCTTGGTCAACGCAATGGCAAAATATCTTCTTTATACTAGTCTGCTAGAAGGGGACAAATGATGTATTACTAAAATAGTAACAATCTTCACTCTCCAACCAAAGAGATAAAAGGAAGAAAGACAAAAACAAGGTCTCTTTTCCATATGAACAGGAACAACCTCCCCTTTTTTATGAACTGGTTGACAATATATTGTCTTCTAGTTTGTTTGTTATGTGTTACTTGAGCCGGGGGGTGGGGGATCTCTAGGAAACAGTCTCTCTATCTCCACGAGGTAGGGGTAAGGTTTGCACACATTCTACCCTCCTAGACCCCACTTGTGGGAATACACTGGGTATGTTGTTGTTCATTCTTTTTGTAAATTGTAACTAAAAATTATTGCTGCATTTGATGTGATGATGTGTGGATATAGGTCCTCTGATTGTACAAGTTCTGGTGGCTGAAGTTGTGTATCGGCAGTGGCTTCCATCATCTAGCAATGGATTTTTCATTTTTCGGTAATTTCCCGTGGTTCAAACCCCATTCTGCAAATGATATGGCATCAACAGTTGCATCTACTAGCACCCTAATGCAAACACCTAAACAAAATGCTCAGTTTGATGATAAGTTTTGGAAATGGACTGTGTTTTCAGTTCTTCCTTGGGCTAAAGGAGCTGAGGGTAATATTCAAATGCCAACAACTGTCAACAAGAAACTGAAAAGGCGACGTCCGTTTCGTGAAGGTGTAGACTCTCTAGCTCGGACGTCAACCATACGCTTTAGACCATATGTTTCTAAAGTTCCATGGCATACAGGTCCAAGAGCTTTTCTTTCTCAATTTTTCCCTCGATATGGTCATTACTGTGGACCAAACTGGTCAAGTGGAAAAGATGGAGGGTCACCAATTTGGGACAGAAGACCCATTGATTGGTTGGATTTTTGCTGCTATTGTCACGACATGGGCTATGATTCACATGATCAGGCTGAACTCCTCAAGGCAGACCTTGCATTCCTCGAGTGCTTGGAGAAGCCAAACATGAGTACGCGAGGAGATCCTCATGTAGCTCTACTTTACAAGACTATGTGCACATCAGGTGCAATAAATCGCTTCATAAAATTATTCTGTATCTATGTTATTCTCAACTATCGATGACTGATTTGGCAACTCCATTTGTTTTCAATGCAGGCCTCAGGAACATATTGATACCTTACAGACAACAACTTATTACCTTACAATCTAAGCAGCTATCTTTTGGATTTGGATGGCTCGGCGGTATCATGGAACCTGCAAAATGCTTGAAAGATCGCTTCGTATGGTTACAGAAGTAGGAATGTGAACAATCCCGCGCTTTCGTTATGGAAACAGAAGCAGATGCAATCTGCATTTTAGAAAGGTGAAGATTGTGATGCAGAACAAGACATTTCTGGCAAGTCTATTCCATAATGTCTTAAGATAAGATAGCCTGTATATATGATATTGGAAATCAATGAAACTGTAGAACTCCATTATGATATAATTAGTTGTGTAGCTATTCCACTGCTTGTATATTATTCTCAATTAACTTTGCATCAAGTGTAAATTATTTGCTATTTTATAGTAAAGAATGTTTGGATCTAGTGTATTTTTTTTGAAAAAAATTAGACTTGTGGGCAAATCAAATACTAGATGAAAAAATTATATGGGGCAACCAAAAACATAGTAGGTATGATATAGTTCTATTGACAGCATGGACACTGTCTATAGGAAACAGTATTGTCAATTTGTCATTAGTCACCAATTAAGATCATCATCGCTAACCATCATTACTGCTATAATTATCAATCACCACTACCATTGGGCATCATATTATATATTATTAGCCATCATTATTATTTACCAACATCATTAACTATCACTATCACTCACCATAATGATCAACTGCCATCATCACCATTAGCTATTACTCACAGGTCAATATTATTTATAATTGTCATTTACAATCATTAGCTATTACTCACATTCCACCATGGGTCAATATTATTTATAATTGTCATTTACAATCATTACTGTTAGCTATCACTTCCACGAATCCACTGTATAATCATTAAGAAATATTTTGTTGATTTTAAGTATTAAATTAATTTTATTTATAATTTTTAAATTAAATGAATTTGATATATTCAAGTATAATCTTAATTATTTAATATTCAAATCTTAATTAATACAACATTTTGACAATTTAGATGTATATATAAATTTTAATACATATCTTAATATTTAAATATGTATTCAAATTTAATGTTTTAATTTTAACGAAAATTAATAGTTGAATGACTTCATTTTGTTCTGGAATTCTTTTTTTCCAAATAATTCTAATCTATCCTACATGAAATACCAAGAGAGAAAAAATAATATTCTTTGACTACAATTTCTTTATATTTTCTTAAGCATTTTAATTGTAATAAGTTCTGAATTATTACAATTTTTCTTTTGTGTAGTTCTTGTCCCTTCTTGACTATGTCATAAATCTTGTTAATTGAAATATGATTTTGCAAAAATAAAAAATTAGTACTCTGAAAGGCAAAACAAAGTAGAAGATCATGCAAAACATCTCATAGCCTGTGGTCAAAGAAACTCTTTTCACTAGGGCGGTTTAAAAATTGAACAGATCAATAAATTAAATTGAAAAAAATATAATTGCTTTATTGTTATTAAATTATTGGATTAAAGATTTTTTAATGATTTTATAAAAAAAAATTATCGGGTTATCCGATCTTGATTTTTTAATATTGGGTTATAAACTGACAACTCATTAAGACTATAATAGTTTACTACTTTACTCGTACATAAGTATTAACTATTAATCTCGCATTATAATTTATTAGTTATTGTCTTTGTCCTTTCGCCTTCAATTCACACTTCACAGTGACTTTAAGTTCACAACTTCACGTTATACAAAACGTCGAAATCTAAAGCAAGAATCATATTCCTCTTAATTTCTTTTTGTGTTACACTTGTATAGTTCCTTTCATTTTAATTAGTATTTTTTTTTATGAGAAGTTGTAAAACTACATTATTGTCTTTTCGCATCAAATTATTGGAGAAGTCATATATTTATTTTATAAGCATTTTCTTATTGGTTAAATCGAAAATCAAACCGTTAAATATCAAAATTGATAAATCAAAAATCGATAAAAAATGGAAATATCTTATTGATTTAGCATAATTAAAAACTGAATAAACCAAACCAATAATATATAAAACCAGACCGAACCGATCAATTCATACACTTACTTTTTGCCTCTAAAAAATTTGGCCAAATAAGCTATGAATAATTTTTTTTCTCAAATATAGTACTTTGTGGAAAAAAAAGTATTTTCTTTAATTTATGAAAAATAACTTCTACTACTCCCTTAAAACATTTATTTGCTATGAAAAATTTGATCAAACACCTAATTTTTTTTAAAAAATACTCATTTTTTAAAGAAAATATAACACGTTTAACCTCTCAAAAACTTGGCCAAACAGATCGAGAGTGTAATCATACTTTTTATCCTATTATTCTATATTCAAAACTTGCAAAATGCTATTTCTCTATTCGTTAATGAGATGCAAGCAATGGCAACCTCCATATGCTCTTTGATGTCACAATAACATTATATTACCCAAAATGAATGACATCAAGTGCACTACGTAAAGATCCAAGTGAGCTTTTCCCTAATGTCTTTCTCACTTACATGCTAATTTAAATTGGGAGCCCGACTAATTCAGATTCGTGTCGCGTAAGATTCATTTGAGGAAAACGTTTTCTATCAAAGTTTTTTTTTAATTTAAAATTTAATATGAAGACTTCTAATTAAAAGAGCAGTAATCTCATCTGCTGCACCATATCTTTTGTTGATTACTCAAAAGTATTGGTTATATTAAATTTGTATGATAGTTTTTTTTTTTTTTTTGAATTTGACATGGAAGATAATTTTTAAAATTGTCACATTTAAATGCATATGCCCATCCTTTGCCGAAAACCTTGAACCTCCCTAATTATTATCACTAGGTCAAACCATTCCCTTTTAATATATATATATATATATATATATATATATATATATATAAAGGTAGCATTAAATTGTAGTAGTAAAAATCATTTTGGATTAAAGAATATAGGAGTATTATTTTTTTTCAAGTTTAGTTCATCTACGTGTTGAGGAGTCTCACGTCAGATAATAAAAGATGAGTGATCTTTTTATATAATTTTGGATAGTCTTCGTGACCTCATAAACTAGCTTATTTCATTTCTTTACATGATATTAGAGTAGAGCTCATCACAATTTTTGTTTACTTATGTTAGGTGCTTGTATTGAATTGCCCTGGAGTAAATAAAGAAATTGCCTCCTTGATCAGAATTTCCTTTATTTTTGAATTTTAACTTCGGTTCAAAGCCAGAACATCTCTGTCATACACCAACTACACCTTTATAATGATAGACAAACATCATGTCTTGATCCATCGATAACAGAGACCTCAAGAAAATAGAGTGAATGACATTAACAATCGTTTTAAAAATAACGTTTTACTAGTCTGACGACTTAAAGCAAAGTCGAAATCCATTGCTGATTAATTAACGACCCACCAAGCTCTAAAAATATTACATCTTTATCCATATACCACACTATTTATAGTGATTACATTGAATAAGATATTTTGTGCTTCCCAAATCCCAATTAACAAAACAACAAAACAAATACACTCCAAATTCCCCACTCCGCGCCCACAACTCTCTATAAATTCCATCAATTCACTCATTTTCACGGACCACTTCTACACCCCCACCCCCAAAATCACACTCACAATGTCATCCAAAACCAAATCGCCGGCGACGAACACCGTCGCCGGACTACTAATTCTCCTAATTCTGCTATCGAACCGCCACCATAACTGGACCGCTGCTGCTGCAACATCCTCCAGCAGCAGCAGTCCAATAAAGACGGTGGTGGTTCTGGTAATGGAGAACAGATCGTTCGACCACATGTTAGGTTGGATGAAGAAGCTGAATCCAGAAATCAATGGCGTCGATGGTTCAGAATCGAATCCGATTTCAACATCGGATCCGAAATCCCGTCGGATTTTCTTCGGAGATCAATCTCATTACGTCGATCCTGATCCTGGACATTCATTTCAAGCCATACGTGAACAGATTTTTGGATCAAATGAAAGTTCGAAAAAACCAGCACCAATGAATGGATTTGCTCAACAAGCTCTTTCAATGGATCCTAATATGCCTGATCAAGTCATGAATGGCTTCCAGCCTGAAATGGTAAGTATTCACTAGGCTATGTTACTCGGACTCTTCGAAAATATAGACGGATGCTTGTAAGAGTGCATTTTCGGAGAATTCGATATGGTGCGACAATATTTTTGGAGAATTTGAGCAGCATAGTCCACTACTACTCTCACTTTAATTTTTTCGAGGGTTAATTCGATTAATTTTGACATTAAATTGGACTAGATAAACTCAATATTTTAAAAGTTATAAATTCGAAATTATGGAATAATGAATTAAAATGGTTCATTGTTAATTTTTAAAAGTATTTAGGAAAGTACAGTTACGAATAATCATTTATATCCTCAAATAGTTGTAATGACTCTTTTTTGTGTGGTTGTTATTTGAGTTATAATGACTCTTTTTTGTATGGTTGTTATGTATAGTATATTGTATTGTTTTAGTAAATGACGAGGCCTGAATTTTCATTTAAAGGGTTTCAAAAATGAAGAAGATGCATGAATTAGCTAAAATAGATCTGACATTAATCACATATATATAAATTATTTAACTATATATAAATAATAGTATGATTTTTTATCGAAGAGGTTCATATGACCCCTGACCTCAAGCAGTCTCGTCCATGATTTCAATTAATACAACATTTGAATAAATTATATAATTTATTATGGTTACATAATGTCATACCTAACAAATTAAAATATGAGATATAACTATTTTTTAAAAAAAATTCTTTATATTCCAATTTAAGAATCATTTTTGGGTGGAATCACCAAATGCGGATTAAAAAAAAATTAAAACTTCCTAAAAATTGGGTTATATATGAACACGAAAGAACATAATTTCGAATTGACGTTTGTATTATTATTATTATTATAATTATTATTTTCCAATTTATTGGTTAATAAATATATTGTATATGACACTTTAGAATGAATTTTGCTACCAAATATGTACCAGACAATTGTTTTGTATTGTTTTCAATAACTAACTAAATACTTTTTCCGTTTTAATTTTATAGTATAATTTCAAGAATGAAATTATTTTTATTTGACGTGAATTTGAATATGAAATCTTTAAATTAAACTCCTATTATGCATGTGCTTTTGTATGAGTGGCACGGATTGAACCCGTGATCTTCTGATCACATGATTACGGATTACATTAACTGGTGTTGTTGTTTCAGGTGTCAGTATACAAAACGCTGGTATCGGAATTTGCGGTGTTCGACCGGTGGTTTGCGTCGGTGCCGGCGTCGACTCAGCCGAATCGTCTCTACGTTCACTCCGGCACATCTCACGGCGCCACCTCAAACATCGCGTCGCTGTTAGCTAAAGGTTACCCACAGAGAACGATCTTCGAGAATCTCGACGACGCCGGAGTAAATTTTGGAATCTATTATCAGAATATTCCGGCGACTCTGTTTTACCTGAATTTGAGAAAGCTTAAGTACGTCGGAAAATTCCATCCTTATGATCTCACATTCAAAAGTGATGCTAAATCAGGAAAGCTACCAGGTATGAATGCCAATTGTGAAAGTTCGTATTTTAATTTATGTGACATTTTTTTTTTCGAAATGTGATTTTTGATTAGTTAAATAAAATTAAATATACTTAATTTTTAAATTTTTAAAAATATTGTATGAAAATGTTATTAGTTAGCAAATTTCCTCGTATTAATATGTTTAAAAGTATTGATTAAAATGTATATAGTTTTAGTCTTTTCACGTAATACAAATAATATTCTCATGTTGAAAATGTATTTTTAAACGTTGGCAAGAATAATAATATCAATTTGTTTAAATATGAAATATTGGTTGGTAAATATGAAATGATTTTCGTGAACTAATAATATTACTCGAAAAATTTATGATTAAACCATGACTTCTTATTACCAGGGTATGTTGTGGTGGAGCAGCGATACATGGACTCAAAATTAATTCCAGCTAACGATGATCATCCATCACACGATGTTTATCAAGGACAAATGTTCGTAAAGGAGGTATACGAAACTCTAAGGGCAAGCCCACAGTGGAACCAAACCCTTTTCGTGATTACCTACGATGAGCACGGTGGGTTCTTCGATCACGTCCCTACACCTGTCACCGGGGTCCCTAGCCCGGATGGAATCGTAGGACCCGACCCGTTTGATTTCAAGTTCAATAGATTGGGGGTTCGAGTTCCTACTATTATGATCTCTCCTTGGATTGAAAAAGGCACAGGTACGATCACTTTGTTTTAATTTGCTTATCTGATTTTAACTTGACACGAAAATTTAAAAAATATAAATTTGTTTTTTAAACTAATGATATATGTGTAATACACCAAAATGTATTTTGATCTCATATGGACTATGATTTACTCATGTTATGTGAAAGTTAAAATTCAAGAGACATTCTTTATGAAATTGACTAAAAAAAAAAAAAGTAAAACAAACAAAATGAAACAGAGGGAGTAAAATATATTGTGTTTACTGTCTTTTCTCCTCTAATTTTAAATAAAACCATTATTAATTTTTTTATACTATAAGATCATTTGTAATATAATAGTTCGGACTAAATAAAATTAATAACATGAATAATAAGATATAAAATTGTGGCAAGTTAGTTAGCTCTAGTGGTTGAGTATCTCTAGTCTCTACCATTAATTTCGCCCACATTAAAGAATAAATGAGAATATTATAAATCCTCCTAATAAAATGAGGTGGGAAAATATAATAAGACAATGACTATGCTATAATATGTTAAATTATACTGATGATAACATTTTACCTCAACTCTAACTCAATAATTAAAAAAAAAATGAAGAAAAATATTAGAAATTTATAAACAAATACCTAATTAATAATTTTGGACATTTAGATCTCATTGCATCATCAGAATAAAATATTAGCACTAAAAGAAACTACTAGACTATTGAATTTTTAATTTATTTTTTATAAACAGAATATTTAATCAATTTCCACTAAAAGATGAGATAAGTAGTCAAAAAGTGCACAATCTCGCCGTATTGCTAATATGACATTTGAAGTCACTTGTTCCCATTTACATAATCCAACATCTAATTACTTTGAAATTCTTTTTTTTTTTCTTAATCATCTGATTCCAAGATTGGATTAATTAATTTAAATTCGTGTCGGTAGGTTTTATGTTAGTAAAAAGAAAAAATTATTAGAAATTTCTCGATTTTTAAAATTCAAATCTGAAACTTGATTTCTTTATGAGTGAAATAATTTTATTCATTCGATCGAACTTTGTATATAGATTATATATATTCAATATTTGGCAATAAATGAATGCTTATCTATGTGTCAACAAGTCACATTATCACTTGTTAGTTGTTAGATAGCTCTACTTCACAAACTTTTATTAATGGTTTTGGACCCCAAAAAATAAAAAAGAAACTTCTATTAATGGTGTGTGAAATGCTTTTAATGAATCCAAAGTTAATTAATGTGCCCCTACATTCCACCTCTTGTGATGTTAACATGTGGAGACACAAATGAGTGAATTATTTAGGAAAAAGATGTGTGCAAAAGTAGTCATTTTCACACTAGAAAGAGGACAACAATGTTGGTTTTGCCTCCACTTATCATTTTTAAAATTTTAAATTTCACATCCAATCAATTTTACTAATGTTTATTTCTGAAAAAGTGAGATATCTTGCCCTCTTAAGAAAAATAACTTTTTAGATCTCTTAGGTGTAACAATAACATTTCTTCCTTGTATTTTCTTGAGGTATATCTTAACTGAAATATGAATTAGTACAATCAACTTTTTAATAACAATATCGTTTATTTCAACATTTATTATAGTTAGTGAAAAGTATTGTTAAAGAATATATAATATAAATGAAATATCATCAAGTACATAGAAAACATATATAATTGTTACTCTTTCCGTCCCATTTTATATGTCATCCCTTTCTATAAATAGCTAAACCATAATACTTGTCATTTTATAAAATTTATGCATAAATTACCATATTTTGCCTATTATACACTTGATAGAATAGTTAATTAATCTTGTCATTTATTAATAAAGTTGACTTAAGAAAACATTAAATAAGGGTAAAAGGGTAAAGTTACATAATTTCTTAATGCAAGTGTAAAGTAAAAAAATGACATATAAAATGAGACGGAGGGAGTATAATGAAATGTAGTTAAAAGAGAAATATGACTCTACTTTATGGTTGTCACAATTGGTATATAAAAATATATATATATATATCAATTAGTTGCTTTGTAATTTTCATCATTGTTTGTTAGAAAGAAATATAGAGACATTAATGATCTCTTTGACTTTTGTCACACATAATTAAAACTTTAAAACTAACATAAATAATTTCTTTGACTTATGTCACACAACTAAAAACCAACACAAATAATTTCTTTGACTTTTGTCGCACATTACTAAAAACCAACACAAATAATTTCTTTGACTTATGTCACACATAACTAAAAGCCAACACAAATAACTTTTCCTAGAGCGCGATCCTTCTCCGAATCCTGCTAATGCGGGATGCTACACATAAAAACTAACTCGAATTTGAAAATATGACAAATTATTTTATTTTTTTGCAGTTGTTCATGGTCCTAATGGCTCTCCGTTTCCGACGTCGGAATATGAACATTCATCAATTCCAGCAACAGTGAAGAAGATCTTTGATTTGCCATCACCTTTTCTTACTAAAAGAGATGCATGGGCTGGCACTTTTGAACACATTCTACATATTAGAAAGGAGCCTAGAACTGATTGCCCTGGTTAGTCACATTCTTCCTCGGAAAATTATATAGTCTACAGAGATTACATGTTAGCTATTACGAGTGTACATTTAGTTTTGCACACCCTTCGTCAAATTCCTGGTTCTATTGATGGTCTATGTTCTGTGTTCAACCTAACTTTGTGTACTCTCTCCACAGAGAAACTTCCAACTCCAACAAAGATAAGACAGGGAGATGCAAATGAAGATAAAAACATAAGTGAATTCCAGGAAGAACTAGTGCAACTCGCCGCGGTTCTAAAAGGAGATCATCTCCTAACAAGTTATCCAGAAAAGATAGGCAAAGGAATGACTGTAAGAGAAGGGAAAGCTTATATGGAAGATGCGGTTAAACGCTTCTTTGAAGCTGGATTAGCTGCCAAGAAAATTGGTGTTGATGAAGAACAAATTATACAAATGAGGCCTTCACTCACTACAAGATCATCATCTACTAATATGCACCCTTAAGATATATGTAATCAAATGAAATAATGTACAAATATATCATACTCAAATATGGTATTATTGAAGCCATATTATGATGTAATTATATGGTTCAATGGTGCATTATAATCGAAATTATTTGAGCTCGATCATTGGATTACTGGAAATAGTCTATGTTTGATCCATTTTCTTTGTGATCCATTCATCTGCAATTTGTTTTTCGAGGCAGGTACTTGTTAGTAAATGTTTAAATCTGATTATATATCGAAATGAAATGTAAGAAGGAATTATAGCATACCTAAGTTCTTTCGCGAATCTGTTTCTCAGGCAGAGGAAATGAAACATGTGAGCTTCATAGGTAGTGTCACTGGTTCTGTTGTCAAAGTACCTTCAAAGGCATCTTCATCTACCAACGATACTCAGTGATATCGTTATATCTGTGATACATCATTCCACATGAAAAGCAGATCGAATACTAGTTAGCAGAATACATGATGAAAGTTGCATGTGTATATTTACCTGTATTTAAGCTAAATTCCTCGATTTGCAAGAAAGAGTTGCGATGTTTCTGAAGAGACTGGCTACTCTCCCACGAATATTAGAATGTGACCTTTGTTTCATAGAAGAGGAGCAACTGGCTTCATTGGTGACGGAGTCATGATGTTCACTATTGTCATATCTGTTGCTTCTGATCCCAATGTAACGTTCTGTTGATTCATCGTTATTTTCCCTCATCTGTAACAAGGTCTCAGCAAGCTCAGGCTCATCTTTATACAACAAACGACATCCAAACTTCTTCATTTCTCCAGAAAAAGATAACGTAATGAGCCTATAGTCATTCGGTGTTTTCCCATTTGCCTTAGATGTATTCCATAAGCTCGAAAAAGGTACCAAGAAAAAATGAAGAGTAGGTTCAGTATCACATTCTGAATAGTCAAATAATTCTGTCTCACATTCCAAATAATCAGATAATTCTGTATCACATTTTGAATCGTGGGATAAGTTTAGTTCCAAGGTCATCCACGACAGCCCATCATCACATAACGGAATCAAGTGAGCTGTGATGTCAACTAGTTCACTAGAGTAACATACAGCAAATCCCAAGAAGTTATCCGGTACATACCAATTTTCAGGCAAATTGACAGATACAACACTTGTATCCATTCCTTGATGGTGGAACCAACTTGGGATCTTCTTCTCAGGATGATCAATCGTAAACACTCTAATTAGTGATAAAGGAATCTGAAGCAGAGATGTCATGCTGCAACGAAACGATCCTCTGAGACAAGGAATGTGGAAATGAACTATTCGAATTTAGATCACACATTACACTGTCTAACATGTGAATCTCTGATTCCACTTTCATGCTTCCGATGATCTTAGGATAACTTTCTAAACTAGAGCAACCCCATGTACGGATACATTTAAGGGAATCGATGCACATACCTGGAAACCTCTTAAGGCGTTTACAGTTATACAAGCATAAGTGAGTGAGCTTTTCGAAAAATCCCAGGGAATGATGAACCTCTTCAAGACTCATACAATCTACCAGATGCAAAAAATACAACTCAGGCATCAAAATGAAGTCTGGCAACTCTTTAAGCCTCGTGCAATTTGATACGTCCAAGAATCGAAGACCACCAAGTTGAGCTATGCTTCGAGGCAAATGCTCAAAGATATTTCCATCAAGATGCAATTTTTTCAAAGAGGATAAGGATCCAATGTCTTCCGGAAGTCCTCCATCTATTAGATTGCAGTAACCAAGATCCAAATCTTCCAATGAGCGTAATCCATCGTTCACCTGAGGGAACCCTTTAAGGTTAGGACAATCTGATAAGTACAAGTGTCGAAGAGCACCAAGTTGAGCTATGTTTCGAGGCAAATACTCAAAATTGTTTCCAATGAGATACAACTTTTTCAAAGAGGATAAGGATCCAATGTCTTCCGGAAGTCCTCCATCTATTAGATTGCAGTAACCAAGATCCAAATCTTCCAATGAGCGTAACCCTTCATTCACTCGAGGGAAAACAAAGAACACTCCATCTTCGAGGCCTACTTCTGAAGTTTGTTTTGCAAAACTCAAGAACTTAAGCTTGTTCAAGCGGACGATAGAAGATGGAGGTCGTGAAACTAGAGTGCATGTGGCATCAAGTTTCTCCAACTTTAACAAATCACCTATCTCTTCTGGCAAGCTTTTAAGTTTCGAGCAGTACGACACATCTAGCTCCACCAAGTTTTTCAACATGCAAATGCTGCTCGGAAGAGATACAAGTTTTTTCATATCTTTTAAATTCAGCTTGGTAATATGAGTTAGGTACTGAATAGATGATGGTAGTTCCCTTATCCCAGACCGTTCTATCTTAATCTTCAACTCCGGCTTCATTCCTCCGAGGATTTCTGGAAATGTATCTAAGCTATAGCAATCATGTAGATATAGATATTCAAGAGATTCCCCGCTAACACATGGAAACCTCTTTAGGAGTGTACAAAAACACAAATATAACAAATTGAGTTTTCTTGAACATCTGAGGGAATGGTGAACCTCTTCAAGATTACTACAATATGATAGATTCAAATACTCCAAATTTGGCATCCCCGTGAAATCTGGTGTTCGCATCAGGTTTGTAGAGTAGCTGAGATCTAGCGTCCTTAGAGACGGCAAATGCTGTTTAGAACACAGAAAGTATTCTTTTCATATCTTAAAACTCACAAACATGTTAAGATGTCTATCTATTAGAGAGAAATGAAAATGCAATTAAGCTAGTGTACCTTTGTTCCAGTCCATAAATGATGCAACGCCAAACTGAAGCGGAGATTAAGATGAACAAGCCTTTTGGGTTCAAAATTTTCTGGCAATGACTCCCAAGGATAGTGATAAAAGGCAAGCCAACGCAAGCTGTTGGGAAGGTACTCAATGGAATCAACATGTATATGAAAGCCACCGATGTATAATATTCTAAGCCTTCTCATATTCTTCATGGCTATTTCGCTGAAGCATAGGTTTTGAATATATTGTAGCCAGATTGCTTCCATTGCTTTTGTCCCCTGATAAAAGGATTATTAGTCTACAAAGTATAACTTCGAATGTTTGTATAAAATCTGCATGCCAGTATAACTACTTTCTCACTTCTCACAATGCCAAATTTTGTCATGTTTTGTATTGTTTATTATTGCACTTGAATTTCTTGAAGAGCCACAACAACAACATACCCAGTGGGGTGAGGGTAGAGTGTAGAGTGTACGCATACCTTACCACTACCTTAGAGGTAGAGAGGCTGCTTCCGATAGACTCTCAGCTCAAGAAAAGACCGTCCAAAGCAGTATAGAGAAAGCAAAACGAAAATGAAGATAGTCATGAACAAATCATCAGTCATAACAAAATAAAACGATAACCGAAGTGTAAAATAAAACCATAGATAATAACCAGACCCAAAAGGGTAAAAAACTACAAAAGTAATACTACGACTAATAGTACGTCTAATAGTATAGAAGAATAAGCGAGACAACAACCAACTATCCGACTAACCTCCTACCCTAATATGTGTCCTTCATAACATCCTATCTAAGGCTATGTTCTTAGTAAGCTGAAGTTGCATCATGTCTTGTCTAATCACCTCTCCCCAATACTTCTTTGCCTACCTCTAAAGGTATAAAATTAGTTGGGACATTCTGAAGAAATGTGTCACTTAAGAGAGATACTCTGTCAGAATACAAGTAAAGAGAGCTCAAGCAGTTCATTTATGAACAAGAAGTTGACACTATAGTAGTACATAGAGTAAATAAGAAGTATGATGAGAAGATAATAAAATGGGTGACCCCTGGATGGAGAAGGACAACAAACTATACGAATACTGATACATGCAGGATCTCGATATTATGGAATCCTAATGTCGTTAGTTATGATATACTTACTTTACATGATCAATTTATGTATGGGATACTTAGAAGCCAGTCCATAAACTTCAACAACATGGCAGATCATGGAACAACAATGGAAGTTGTGTGGGGCGTCAAGTTGATATATGTGAAGCATGGGTGAAAAGTGCTCAAGAAGGATGAATTCAATAACGTTGAAGCAAAACGTGATAGAGATTAAGCAGCAACTATTGGACATTCAGAACCAAATGAGGGATGGTAATCACCATAACACGGTGAGAGCTGAGAAGGAGCTTAGAACATAGTTCGAAAAATGGGCTATAATTGCAGAAAGTATAGCAAGACAGAAATCAAAGGTCCAATGGCTTAAACTTGGAGACTCTAACTCTGGTTTTTTCTTTGCTAGTATGAAAAATAGGATTGCTCAGAATCTATGTTTGCTTGGACTCTTCAAAAATGTCATCGGGTGAGTGTCGGATCCTTCAAAAGTAGTGCATTTTTGGAGGATCCGACATGAGTGCGGCAACAATTTTGGAGAGTCCGAGCAACTTAGCTCAGAATGCCCCAAACCTGGAGCTGACATTTAAATCGGAAATCAACATCGGGTCCCGGCTATCTGAATACTATTCAGGTCTTACTGGATACAGATGGCCACACTAGACTAATTTGTGGCTTAATAACATAAGATAAACAAATTTTGAATGAAAACTGGAAATATAATAGTATTGCATTGTTTAGTCTACTTACTGTATCGTTGACCATCACTTCTTCAAAATCTTCATCGTCCCATAATCTGCTAGCTTCTCCCGAATATTTTTGCATTTTCACCACATATTTACCCATCTCTTGTATCAAGTCATGCATTTGAATCGTATTATTTTCAGAAATGAACACGAGAGATTTGTCAATTAGGACACGCAACCCGATATTTGCTCCAGAATAACAGCTCTCGAGAATTTGCATGATGTGATCTTTTACTTTCCCTCGAAAGAAACATGCTATATCTAGAAATATATCTTGTTGTATGGCCTCCAGTCTATCATAGCTAATTCTAAGCTTCTCAACGATTTCCGAATTGGAGTTATTTTTCATTTCCTCTATAGCACTTCTCCACTCAGTTATGTCCCTCTTATGTAAGAAAGAACCCCACACTTTCAGGGCTAAAGGAAGGCCTTTAGCATGACGTACAACCTCCAACGAAAGCTTCTCAAAACGTTCATCGGGAACTTCTTCTTTGAAAGCATATTGATTGAACAATTTAATAGCGTGACAGTCA